GAATTTTGATGATGCTCTATCAACTTTGAAGAGCAGCTACTGTCATGCGAATTCTGCTTGACTAAGCAGAATCTGACAATTTCCTTGGTCTCGTTACAGATGCAGAGTGTTCCACCTCCTAACATCCAAGCTAAATCTGTTTCGTCTCGAGCAATTCAAGTCTGGTACCTTCACCAAAAACAGTACAAACATGAGTGACAACCAATTCTGTGTAGCTAAGCAGAAACGGCCAATTTTTGTGCCGTCTCTCTTGAAGTTAATCACCTGGTTCCTTCAAATGCCTGAAATTCCTTAATTTTACTTAATGTTACCAGGATGAGGGCTAAAATTTTATTGATCGTCATGGTAAATGAAGCCTGGAACCATACCCAGCAAGCTTAAGGATATGCTGTGTTACTGTCACTCAGAGACTTAAGGCTGTATGCTACCTTTGTTCTCACATGGCGACTTAAGGCTGTATGCAACCTTATTCTTACATGTATCCCCTTTAAAATGAGGTTCTGTCAAGAAATTTGCGAAGTCACATTAATGAAATGTTATCTGAACTTGGATTAATCAATTGACAACATGTTCAAATCACATACAAAATAAATGATGCAATACCAATCAAGTTACTCTAATTTAAATAGATAAATACAGATAATGTAAAAGGAACACAAATCATACGTATAATATTAAGTAGTAGTGTCAATTTATTTAACAACAAAAATTTCTGAATACATATTTTATTTATTAGGAAATTAGGTTTATTGATACACAGGCATATTGTACCATATTGCAACACAGAGATGAAATATTGATATATTGGTATATTGATATATTGATATATTGCAATATTTTTCAAAAGCTTATTTTAGTGTATTTGCTTTGTGTTTGAACTTTTCAAATTACTACACATTCCAGGGGTCGAAATCAGCTTTTTTAATCACCAGCAAATCCTCCTGAGAGCCTTACATACCCACCAGCTTATCATCCTGAGAGCCTTACATACCCACCAGCTTACAATATACATGTGTCTGTTGTACATTATTGTCGGCATAATTAAAACCTTGAGACTTCTGCACATATCTGTGACTACCACAAGCAAAGCTACTACCACATCTGATGACACTTCATGAATGCCAACATTGAAAGTCGTCAATTTTCAAACTAAATATGAAAAAAAGTTTGTCAGTTAGTCGCCGATATTTTCAAGATGACAATTAATTGAATTCACATTTTATTTCACCGTAACTAGCATTTTGCGAGTTGCAAAGAGTTAATGTTGAACCCTGCATTCTAACTGATATAACCATTAACAAGCTATTTCTAGTAGCGTGAAACAGCTTTTTCTGATGACAATAAATTGGGATACGTATCACAATACATAAATTCTGTATTGCGACATATTGTGACACACTGTCTCGTGTATTGTAACAACCGTAATACTTTCTATATATACATCGTAATAAAAGGTATTCAAAATGTTTTATTGAGCATATTTTTAATGCCAATAATGATTAGGGTGATAAATTTATGAATTGTGTGCTTTTTTTAAAAATTATTAATCACTGTATAATTTCTCTTTAAAGTATCTAGTAACATTTTATATTAAAATATTAGTTACGCTCCAGATTTTGTGTACAGCTATTATCAAGACTGAAATTAATTTTGTTTAAATATCCACAATAAGTCTATGGATCAATTTTCACTTACATAATAAAGAAGCTAACTAGACTTGTATAATACAATATTGTCAAGATTGGTATATTTTCGCAGAGGAGAATGTGACTCGCATGACAAGCCGACTGTCTGGGCTTCCCAGGCCATTAAATCCAAACTCAAACCTTCTGGCAAGCCACAGCCACCGTATCAATGGAGCAGTTAGCTGGGAACAAAAACCAAGAAGTCAAAATAAGCCAAGCACTAAATCAGACACAAGATAAACCAACAAACTGTTGTAATGTAAAGTGCTGATTAACAAACCAAAGTTTGAGAAATATACCTGTTTCTGTAACAAAGCATATCATATATAAATATATACAAACCACAAAATTACTTTCCTATTAAACCATGTTTGGCCTTTTGGATACAAAGTCATCTATGGCGTTAATGACGTACAGGCCGGGTTTTTTCAGTCAAGCTAAGTTTTTTAACACAAAGCCAGCCATGGCATACGATACTAATGACGAATACTGGCAGACAAATAATGTGTGAAAACATGCAACTTGAGTACAAACCAATTTAATTCCCGCAGATGTAAAAAAGACAAAGCTAAAGGATCAAAGGAATTACTGACAACCAAGCATCAACAGCGTGATAGACTGCATGAATTGTGAAAATATAACAATGTGTTTGTTGTAATTAGGAAGATATTGTACAAATGCAGTTGGCAATGAACATATATATTCTTTGTGGAGAGCTTTATGGAGGATATGTTCATTGTCCACGGTGTTCATACTACCGTACACTTCATCATAATGTCTATTTGATACATGAACCAATCATCTGTAAGCACCTGTGGTTTCACAAGTGTCGCATTAATTAAAGTGTATCCAGACATATGTTTTATTCATTATTATTGTTGTGACTGACAACAACACACCCATATAGTACTGTAACAAACTATGTAACTCGACATAGATGTATAATACATAGGGCCTGACAACCGGTATATTGACAGCTTGTGAGATTAAGTGTCCACAATGATAAAAATAAACACTGTAATTTAATCAGTATTGTATTAGATTTTCTCACAGTATCGTGTTGGATGTTTAGGTACAAACAAGCAACTCCTCCAGAATTCATCATGGCTTTCCTGAGATTTATCAGAAGTGCCTTTTCAAATAAGTAAATAAAATATTTTCAAACAGATGGATTTTTCAGTTGAAATTTTTGATTTTGAAATATTTCATAATTAATGATTTGCAGTATTGAAATAGTCAATTTGCAACACATTCTTGACACTTTACCAATCATTTTGGAAAGTGTTTAAAATCAGAACCTACATGTAGTTCTTATGGCCAATTGTACCGAGGCCTTGATCTTCAGACACGCCTATATTTGTTGTTTATAGAGATCACCATATTCAAGTACCTGTACAATGTGCAAGGCTGTCTCAAGATCAAGTAGGTATGTACTCAGATAGACAATCTTTCATGCTGTACAGTAAATACTCAAAATGACAACCTTTCACACACAATACCGTAAACACTCTAATAAACCACTCTTCATGTACAGAGCAGAAATTCTCTTGGTAAACCACCCTCCATGTATATATATATATATATGTAGAGTGAGATCTGAAATACTCAGATATAGAACGCTACAAGTAGTGCTGTAAATATTCAAAAGAATAAACCACTCCTCTCAGAGCTGAAATACTCTGGCAGACAAATTCAACCCCTTTACGACCAGTGTTGTATAATATAAATACTCTGTTAAACAACCCTTCATGTCCAGTGCTGTATTATATATATATATACAGGTACTGGTCCTTTCATAATCATATCACTAGGAGATACCTTTCTCTTATTCTACTCTTTTTGCTCGTAATCATTACAACTTTTAAATGATATTAGCACATGTGTTATAAGATTAACACATGTGTTATAAGATTAAATCATGTGTTATAAGATACAACTACATGTATATATACATGTAATTGTATGATCGAGATGCCCTAAACATTCAACATCATCATAGCCATTTGTCCTTTGGCAAGATTATCAACTGGATATTACGAAATAAATGAAGTCAAATGTGTTGTTATTTACAATCGGATGAAATAGAAATAACTTAAAACACCCTCCAAATATTTTGTTCTGGTGAAACAACATTTTTGTAAAGATAAAAAGCAATGTTAATATTTACCTACCTGGTATTTTTGGCAAGAAACCCGAAACATTTCATTATTTTCATTAAACCTTTATCTAGGCAAAACACACCTACAGAAGTCTACTATGACTGCAATTGATTACACGGTCAAGTTGTTAACATGAATGGTTATATTGCCTTGACCCTTCAAAAATTTAAATCTTTCCATGTTATCATGATTTCAGTATCATTTTACTCACAACATCAGAATAATGGCATTAAGCACTTAAAAACAAAATCATAATTTAAAACTTGAGCTAAAATTGTTGTGACAAAGGGTCTTTGCACCTAAATATGTCCAAAGAAAAAAGCTTAAGTTATTTGATTCATATTTGGGAATTCAATGAAATAGGAAGTTAACAGATAATATGATAGAGGAGAAGAGGAGAGGAACAATATTTGCCATTGGAATATATATGTGTATAATGATACTTAAGGATAATATAATTAACTCAGAAAGTTTTATATAAAAATACATTCACAAATACATGATCAGTAATTGGCTGATATTTCAATATTTTTATTTTCTATTGAATATGAAGTACCCTCTGAATTGTGCTGACTTCCTGCACAGCAGATCTGTCTAACATAGGTGTGATCTGTGTATAGTGCTATCAATTAAACTTAATCACGTACATCGTCCTCCTCATAATACAATTGAGACACACTGGATACAAATCTAGAACACCCCCACAGGCACTAAAAACGCCAAGGCTCTTTGTGTACTCTACATGAGGCACTGTCCAGTGTCAAGAAGAGCCAGGTAATTAGTGGACAGGTGAGATGTTAATTATCAACAGGAAGCGTAGGTACTAAGATTATATAACAATTAAAGACATGCCAAACATATATACAATGTACTCTGTCATCATAAAAAGTTTTGACACAAAAATATGTATATATAAATTTCCCACAACATGCTTATGGTCACTTGATGCAGACATCTCTGACTGTGAACTTCTGTACTGATATATTAATTCAGGTGGCACAAGTAAGGGTATATTTAGTAGTAGTGACAAATTCTTACCTCCTTCGACTTAAATTGTATCAGTGTACTTCCATGGTCTTTCTCCAGGAGTAAAATTCAGAAGTTGTGAAATTAAGTTTTCACCAGCTGTATTTTTTATATAATTGGAATGACCTACCTGTCCAAAGAATCGCTCCATAAACCCGCTACTATCCACGTTAACAGCAACATCATCAGCTTCTTCATCGTCGCTTTGTGCCTATATGTAGGGGGAAAAGAATAAAATAATTTAACAGTTTTTACAGGTAAGATTTTTTTCCATTAATTTAATCAAGACAACTGAAGTTGTAGGCATGTATTCATGAATTGTAGATGACGTTTTTCTTCATTCTTTTTCTATGTCAACTACTGGGTATATGAGTGCATTTCCATATTCAGAGTTCTAGCATGAAAACTTGTTATTTTTGAAAGTTTGTTATTTATGTATATATATAATCTACTACATTTTTTCCAAAATTTGCTACTGACCAGTGTTTGACAGTTAGTGGATGTCAAGTTTGCTCTACTCAGCTTTTAAAAACTGACCCCAAGATTGAAGTTGTATTATTCAATTTGAATTAGTTATATGTTTAAACTTTGATGCTTCCGAGTTTCATAAAAATTTAAAATGTTTATAACATTGATTTGAAATTAAATGATCGTGGGGCCAGCATGACAGCATGAGTGATTAGGGAAAAAAGGCTGCACCAAACAAAGCAATTCCAACGCCACTGGCTAGTAGATTTTATATGATGGCTTGTGAAAATTTTCAATATTTACAGAGTTTTTGCCAGTTTTTTTGAGAAAGGGCCCCTGAGCAGGTATTGGGAGAATATCATCAGCATTTGGCAAAAATTGGGAAATATCATCAGTGTTCCCACATGTACAGATTTGGGAAAATATCATAACGGTTTTCAGTGTTTTTTGTTTATTCAAATTCAAATTTTCGTTATTTATGTATTTTTAATGCTCCAATCCATCATATCATAGACAATAATACTTTGATCATTGCACATATAATGACGGGAAACTTGCATAAACATGTTTTTAATCCAATTGGGAAAATAAAGGCCGAAATTGGGGAAAATACAGGGTCGTTTTTCAATTGTGAATGGGTCCCTGTACCGGAACCTATAAACACCTGGCAAAAACCCTGATTTGCCATGGAAATATAATATATTAGGGATAGCAATTTCCCTGTGAACTAATACTCTAAATAAATCATTAAGATCAAATAAACAGAACATGCTTACATGAATACTGTGTTAAGTTAGGAAAAACATACAGGTCCCTATACAAATGTTGTGTTATGCTGGAGTTTGTCTGACTAAGCAGCTTGTCATTTAGTTCCTGACAAACCATTAGACACACCTTTCTTTTGGATTAAATACACACATGTAATAGGTACCAATGGACTAGCTGGCAACATGTAAAAGACCTTGACCCTTTCCAAAAAAATGACACTGTTTATGTTACATACTCATAGATGTGGCACAGTGATAAATGTGAACATTTCATATGTTAACATTTATTTGCATTTTACGTTCTGGCATTGAATACTGATAAAGACATGTACACAAATCATTGAATACATGTGTAACAGGGGCAGAAAAATGCATGGCAAGACTGGGATTCAAACCTGGAACCCTCCGAATTCTCAAACTGACACTCTACCTGGTCACTGCTATTGACCCAGTTCAGTACACATGCAGTTATTATATATCATAACATAATAATCAACCCAAAATTAAATTACTGACATAGTAAGAAAAATGATAAAATGAAATGTTCAGCAGGCCTGTCAAAAATAGAATTGTGAAATACTATTTAACAAGTTGAAATATATTTTTTTTTACAACTGTAAGGAAACGAAAATAATTGATGGATTTAACTTTAAGACATGAAATTTTAAAACAATAAACCAGCTATATCAACTGAAGGCATTTCACAATATCATAATTCAAAGTCACTGGGAGGTAAATAAAGAAAAAAAATACTCATGACTAATACTGTACCACCCAATGAGCTAACGTAACAGCTCTAATAATGAATACATAGACATGGTCCGATTCAATATAACTAAGTCTGAAGACAGGCGCTAGTCTACTGGCAAATCGGGTTTAAATGGGTGGGGATTTAACCAAATATAAACAATATTAGTCACGATAACACATTAAGGTTTGTGTACAATCCATAAACAATGTAATTCCAATTGAAAACCCGTTAAAATCCAGTTCCGATTTTTTCGAATACACACAGAGTCCAAATCTCGTTCATCAGGAAGGCATTGGAAGTTCAGTCTGATACAGATGCTGAGGATTTAGTAACCTACCGCCTTTAAAGCCGCTAGTCGGTCTTTGGTCATCTTGCATGGAAGGTTTTTAACCTAACTTGTCGCAGATGGTGTAAAACGGTAAAATAAACGTTCCAGGAGTCATATAAGCTTCATGAGTTGCGATAAAACATGTAAGATCGATACAATTTTAATATTGTCTACCATGAAACCATTACAACAGTTTTGCGCAGGTGCGATGTGGTGTTTCCTACTTCCGGTCTTCCGAGGTATAAAATATATACTTATATATAAACTGTACGATATAAAGATGTAACTTGTATTATATCAAGCTTTAATTTAATAATAGTTACATCTATCAACTAAACATAGTAATATGTATTGTAATTCTGATAATATGGTACGCTTTTTCGCGCCAAAAATAGCTTAAACATCAACTTCCTGTTTAGAGTAATCCATCATAGAGCGGTCTCTCGCCTAAACGTTGGTAAGGATAAATCGAAGAATATCACAGTAATCTTCGTTTGTCTAAAATATTTGTGTCATCCATTTTGTAGATTGGTATTTTTCAGATTAAGTGAACTTGATTTGAGTATCAGAAGTAGTCAATATTTGCATTTTCTCATATCTTTTTAGCTCATCCCATTCTGGAAAAGGGTCGGACCTATTCTTTGTTGCGTAGAATGTACATCCCCTTTCATTTCTTTCTGTAAACACAGTAACTTTGTAATGATTTTGCCAAAACCTAACAACTGATGTATAATTTGTTACATTATCAAGTTCATTTACGTGATTTCTATTTATGTCAAAGCTGTAATCATTTTATTTGGAGGAACCGGTTGATTTTGGTTTTAACTGGTTTTTAACATGTGTAACGGGGACATACCATAGGCTTATATATATATATATGATAGCCGTTATATATATAAGTGATAACGCGTGATTGTGCAACAGACATTCTCATTTCGCTCAAACGTCTTTAAGATTTTAAGTTGTCGAGAGATTCAACATTATATCGTGAATTCGTAGTTTTGTTGGTAGTAACAGGTAAATTGAGTTGATTTCATTTGAGTTGTTGAAATGAGATTGTGATACCATTGTATGTGTGATGAGTATATATTTATTTATCATGATTCAGATATATATATTTTGTTTCGCTATTGCAGATTTCAAATGGCCCTTTCACAACATTGTGTCTCCAATTTACCGGTTCCAACATTCAAGGTGATTATACAATGAATTTTCCACAGATATTGAATGAATCTTGATGTATGGAAAATTAGGTTCTGACATTGTAGATAAAACACCTGACTGACAACCAACAACGAAAGATCATCTTGTCGCAGCATGTTTTCACTTTTCCATGACTAGTGCTTTTCCACACCCCTGTAGTGTACAATAGGTGGCTCAATTGGTTAGAGTATCTGTCTAATAGAGTTGGGGTGGTCCAGGGACCTAATATCTGTCGGGACATACTTTTCCTCTCCTATTTCAGTGGTGTCGGATCAACCCTTGTTTCGAGAACAGATAAAATTTAAATATCCCAATTGTTACAATGGGGCAGAAGACGAGGAAGGAAGCCCTCAATTCTGCAGGGGTCTGGCTCTGCGTTGGTCGCCTTTTGTAGTGAGATAACCATAAAGTTGAGGGAATTTCCAATTAATAATTAAAGGGGCTGAAAACATGTTGGGGGTAAAAACCACCAACTTGCGTATATACACAAACTAGCCTATTACAGGCAAGTTGGAATATGGATCTGTTACTAAAATAACCCAAATCGCTTTAACAGATATTTTTGCAAGATTTTATTGAAAAATCGCATTAATTTACGACAGGGTAAATAATATTTTGCTAAAATATGTTGACTGAAAGCGTTGGCTACTTAGAAAGTTGATGGAACTTTACCGGAAGTATTGCATCTATTTTTGGTACTTTCCCCCATGCAAATAAAGATTATTTTTGCATTTGTATTATGTTTCATGAAAGAATAAATGCGACTTGGACAAACAATTTGAAAAAGTTATGATTAAAGTGATTTTGGCTATTTTTAGTAACAAATCCATACCCCTATTGGCGTATAAAAGGCGAGTTCGCGTATGATACGCAAGTAAGTGGGTTTTCCCCGACCTGGAAAATGGTGTTAAATTTCTGATTATTATCCTTTATATGTGAAGGTTGACTCGAAAGAGACTTGTGATGGTCGGTTAGTGCATAAATATGAATCCAACTGTGTATATGTTGAAGCATAAGGATGTCTTCAGAAATATTGAGAATTTTCATAAAAATAGAAATCGGAAACAAAAATCATAAGGAATAATGATTTCTGATCAATTCAATGTTATTTTAACAAATTAGACTGATGTTATCTAAATAAACATTTCATTTCAGTTGGTGCTTGTTGGAGATGGAGGTGTAGGAAAAACAACATTCGTAAAGAGACATCTTACAGGAGAGTTCGAGAAGAAATATGTTGGTATGAACAAAACAATTCATATAACCCTTAACATTGAGCAAATTTCAAAGTAAAATGACATTTTCATTGAAAATTGGAGTCAAAACAAATGTTCTTTCAAACCCAGGGGTCATTTAGGAAATCATACTTACAAGACCTGTACTGTACCCATATTCACTAGTGCTGGGAATCGCTCCAATTTTGAAAATCGATTATAGGACATTCAAGATCAATTGGTTATTGATTATCGGTTGAAATAAGCACCTAATAAATTAACATTTTGTCCACTCATTATTTTGCTAATAACTTTATTATTATCCAAGAGATGGTAAGAAAAGGTACTTAAGATATTTACAGTGACCGGTAGATTACCATTTTAGAAGTGAACATATCTTTTTAGCCCACCATCATCTAATGGTGGACTATTCAAATCACCCGTCAACAGTCTGTAAACAATTCTTGTTATTGGTATTTCTCAAGAAGTACCAGAGGGATCTTTCTCAAATTTTATATGAAGGTTCCCCTTGGTCCTTAGCTGTGCAGGGCATTTTTTTGAGACTGATCGGATAAACAACATGGCCGATAGGCAGCCATCTTTGATTTTGATAGTGAAAGTTTGTTTTGCTATTTCTCGGGAAGTACAGGATGGATCTTTCTCAAATTTTAAATGTAGGTTCCCCTTGATCCCTCGTTGTGTATGTTATATTTTGAGACTGATCATAAAAACAAAATGGATTAAAAGAATAACTAAACAGATCTTTCTCATATTGCAATGATCGATTCTATTTCTTTCACATTAAGTACTGTACTAGTAAATATGTGAAAGGACAAACTCGCTTTGAAGGTTGGCTTTCATACACATAAGTATTAAGTTTAGATCAAAAGTTACCTCAAGGTGCATTTACTGTTAACATGACTCGATCGAACTGACAAAGAACTAATGAAGATGGTACAAAGGTTGGCGCCAAGATCCCTCTGGGATCTCTTATATCCATCATCTGCAGACAAGTCATGATGATAGCGTTCGCAACACAAAGAAATCTGGTTTTGCATTTGGGTTAAGTACTTGATATGACATTTACTATTTCGAATTAAGTTAACCCATTTGAAATAGTCAAATTGAGTTGGTACTGTAAAGTTTTTATTCATGTGGTCGCCATTTGCCGTACTTCTGGATTTCGTCTGTTATAAATTTAGCCGTACCTACAAAACACTGACCTTGATAACGTAATGACGCTATAGCTACCACTCTTGAATGCCAGCATGATTCTAGTGAGAATCAACAAGTACGAGTGAAAGGGAAGTTTTATTTTGGATTTAACATGAAAAGCAACTATGTATCTTAAGAGCATGTGTTTTTGTTTACAAACATGGCAGACTACTGTTGGTGGAGCTGTGACTGAAATAATAGGATGGGAGAAAAATAATCATCCCCTACCTTGAGGGTGTGACAGAGAAATCTCCAACCCAAGGGGGTGATTTTTTTGGTAGTCTAACCTTCAGGTAAGACAACCAAAAAACATCACCCCGAGGGTTGGAGATTTTGGAAGATTCTATTAATCTTTTGCAACATGAAAACAACAGGATAGGTGGGATGATAGTTTGATGCATACAACACATTTAGTCTTAAGTCTCTTGCACCATTCTCAAAATGACACAAAAATTAAAATATCGGATGTTGTTTTCAGCTACTCTTGGAGTGGAGGTGCATCCCCTAAATTTCTGCACAACCAGAGGCGATATAAAATTCAACGTGTGGGATACTGCAGGACAGGAAAAGTTTGGAGGTCTACGTGATGGCTATTACATCCAAGGTATGCAAGAATAAATAAAATTTAGACCTATTACTTTTTGAAAGATGATAACATTGGTAAAAGCCATGTTTGGTGTACAAATTTGTTGCAAAAGACGTCTTCCTTTCTTCAGGGATCTTTCACTCGATTAAATTTTACCAAGTATGATTGTAAAGTTTTCTCCAGTTTCTTGCGGATTGCTGTCAAAAGGTTGTCTGCATCTCAACTTCAAGGCAGCTATGGATATTTTTAGTTTTTGAAAATCTGAATTATATGCCAAAAAAATACCTTCCTTTTTCAGTACTGATGCTATTGTTACCTGTACTTTTATACCAAATTAGTTTCATTAATATTGGAGGACAGCATGAAATTGACAAAGTTCAGGAATCATTAAATTTTGTGAATGTTTTCAAGTTTTAAGTGTTTCTACATTTCAGGCCAGTGCGCAATCATTATGTTTGACGTGACCTCAAGAGTAACATACAAGAATGTACCCAACTGGCATCGAGATTTGGTGCGTGTGTGTGAAAATATACCCATTGTGCTTTGTGGCAACAAAGTGGACATTAAGGACAGAAAAGTGAAAGCAAAGTCGATCGTATTCCACAGAAAGAAGAATCTTCAGGTAAATGGAGAATAATGGAGGTGAAGACAGATATTGCATGACAAATAGTGTGTCTTACCCCTTTCAACCCTAGGTAACTTGAGTAGACTCGACCATACACTCATCTGGACGAGTCCACTATGGTCTACAGTGTTGAAAGGGTCAATAAAAAAAAAATGTGCAAAACATGAAAAAGTCTGAAAAACTGCTCAGATTGTATGAACTGCTTTAGGGAGAAGTTTCCAGGCTTGGTGGAATTTTAAGTATCTGTCAAAATATCTATTACTACAAGTGCAATTATATTTTCAAGTAAGATTGCTTTTACACTTGCATTTCACCGTCAGGGGGAAGGTCACAATGCTGCCTGTCCATCAGACAGCCAAAAATATATATTTTTAAAGTAGCGTATGCAACCGACCATTCCATAATTTTCAATAAATACATTTCTGCGAATAGAAATCAGACCTTTGATTTGCAAACAATTTTGAGGAGTTCCCAACTTTCGTTTCATATTTGGTAGAAAGGTAACCATATAGCTAACATTAACAGCAAGTCAGCATAGGTTCAAATGACCCAGATGAGCTACTTACCGCAGGTGTAGGAAAGCATGACCTGCAGAAAAGAATGCAAGAGAGAGATAAATGAAATGGATATATTGAGCAGACTACAGATTTTAAGTCCGTACTTGTTACAAATTAATATATGCAGAGCTAAAGTGAAACTTTAATGTCTTTCATTGTTTTGCAGAAGTTGATGGTTGTAACCGTTCGTTATGTTAAAAAATAGCACTAGCAGATGCCTCATTAATTTATCTATTAATGTTGTATCAACGATTTTGATGCACCTGAATCGGACAATTTTTGATTGATGCAGTACCAGACATTTTTAGAGAAAAAAAATTGCCGAAGTTCAGAGATAATATCTGGACAAAAACTTTTCCTTGTGCTGTTATTTTGATTTGTGACAACATTTGTTGGAAATTGTGTGAATTAGTTTTTTGATATTATTTGTTTTTTGATTCCAGTATTACGACATCAGTGCTAAAAGTAATTACAACTTTGAGAAGCCCTTCCTCTGGCTGGGAAGAAAATTGGTCGGCGACCCCAACCTCGAGTTTGCTGCTATGCCTGCCCTTGCTCCTCCAGAAATCAACATGGATCCTATGATGGCACAAAAATATGAAGCTGAATTAGCGGTATGACTTGTAATAATTGATATGTTGTCCAATGATGATTTCTTGCTCATGCAACAAAAGTTCCACAAAGTCAATGGGCTAATAACTTGTAATATGTTTAATTCTTGAATTATCAATTATCAAATTTGTTGAATTTGATTCTGAGTTGCCAATATGCTTGGATTCTTGTTAGTAAAAACATACAGTCCAAGTTGGATCATTCTGTCGAGACAAGCTTTATATTTCGTCCAAGTCACAATTATAATCACTAGTTGTCACTCGAAAAAGATTTGCAGAAATTTTCCACATCTCAGTATTTTCTGACAAGATTTACTTGGTATATGAGTTCATTGAAGGAGTACATATATTGAGAAATTGTCATTTATTAATGACGAATAACAATTGCACTTTTATTTTCACTTAACGCGTCATTATAATAAGTTGGTTAAAGTAACTAAGGACCTAAAATGGTGATTGGCTGATCCTGTAACATCGTGATAAATGGTTAAAAGTTATGTTAGATATTTGACATGTGTGGTATAAAATACGTTTTCATAGTAATAATTGGAAAATTGCACCAGCCCTGAAATAGAATTCACAAGCGAAGAATTGAGCTAGTTAACCTGAACACTTAAATTGTTTCTTTTCACCTGTTTCATATTTGATGTTTGCAATTTACAGGAAGCACAAGACGTGGCACTACCAGACGATGACGACTCAGAATTATAGACATGCAGTGTGTTAGTAATTTGAAGAGGATTGACCTCGCCAGTATTCTCTAAGCAAGTGGACATTGATTGTGGAATGAGTTATTAGTAAAACTTGCGTCATAGACTGGTGGGAATATTGATCAGTCGAGGCCAGTGACATTTCAGTGTTGCAGAGAATATTGGGCAAAGGTTTATGCTTTTCCTTTGTGAATGCTCTCAAAATTCTCCAGAATTCTTGCGACTCCATCATGCTCAGTGTTGTCTTTACTTCGAAAGGCAACATGTTCACCTGTAGTCGTGAGATTTAACAATTTATGGAAACTGCGATAATGGCTAGCCCCAGCTACTGCCATATTGGATATCGCCAAGCAAAATCTTTTTTGCGGACACATATTTATTGTTACGCATCATTCTGATTCCCTGTGATGTTTTCCAAGGATGTGGAAATCTTGTAATGGTCAAATTAACTGTGGCGAGATGACTCTTAAAAAGACTTGGGATACTGGAGTTACTTACTGTCAGAATTTTGTAATTTTGACAGCTATTGATATAGTTGTAATACTGAAGGAACAGATACAATTCTAGCAGTAGTTAACAAACAAGTTTAAAAAAATTCAGGGGAAATGTTTTTTTCTTTCATTTTCCCCCCAGCAATCTCCTTTATATAATTGATATTCCATTGTTAAGTTGAAAGCTGTCTTGAAGTCTTCGTGGGTAATTAAAACTGTGTTGCAATTGAAAGGAGATTTGAGAAACGTGTAAATTCTGAAGATATTTAGCGTTTTTTTTTTCTTGTAAATATACAAAATATTTTGACAAAAATGTATTGTATCATTTATTATAACTCACATAGCCAAATAACAAACTGCTTATCCTCAAACAATTTTAATGAAATTTATATTGAAAATATCTAGAATCTTGCACCATGGATATGAACATGTGTTAGGTTTATTATTTGAAATGAGATGAGTGTATTGTGTTTTTATAATTTGGTCTTTATATTGTCATAATTACTGGAAATATTCTGCAAAATGTTATTTTAGAAGAAAAAATAACAATAAAAATATATATAAAATAGCATTGATACTTGTGATTTAATCTGTTTCAACATCAGCTACATGAAAATATTAATGATCCTGCTACTCTCGGTTAAAACTTGTGGTACAATTAACACAACTACACATACATTTTTTTTTTAATTGAAAATTGATTTTGTTTGTCGTGCAGTTTTTCCAAGTGATGTATGTGATGTGGTACAAGTGTGACTTAAGCATGTGAATCGGCAGTATATTGGATAATTCTTTTATTGAAACTAATCAAAGTAGAATAAGAGGAAAGTTTTTAATTAGGTTTTTAAATATCACTTCCATCATACACATAGAACAACAAAAAAGGAGAAAAATAGAATTGTTTGACAATACAATAATAGCAAAACAGTCGCAGATAACTGTTTAAAAAGGTCTTTCATTTTTCAGGGCTATGTATACGTATGAAAAAATGTTTTTGCATGTCGCAGTTATCGGATAGTTCTAAGACCAGCTTAAGATGTCGGATTCAAGAATGAAGAAAATGATCTGTGGTGCATATTATGTTTTTGACAGAAACAAGATCTATTGTCAATAAAAACAAATTATTAAATGTTTTATTAGTCCATGTTTATGTATCCAAACATTTACCGTCATTGTCGAGTTACAGAAGTCCCATTTGTGAAGATGCATTGCAAAAATATCTCGGTCTGTTCTGGTATTTTTAAGCCGCTCTTGTCAAGAGCCGAGCGGCTTATTAATTCAGTCCAGAGAACGAAATGACGGACCCACTTCCGTTTGGGGTGCGTGCGCATAATTAGTATTGTATGCTTCCGCTATATAGTTTCGTTATCGTAAATAGAAAGTAAAATCTCTGACACTCACCTGTGGGTTACATAAAGTCTTCTGATACTCTTCTCCAAATAATAATCCATACTTAAAATAATTGCTGAAAACAAAATGTTTATCTCCAGTGCATTCTACGAGTGTTGTGGTGGTGAAAGTCTTGCACTAGGTTTGAGCGTTTTAGCAACTCGGATTGCGGTCTGGGGAGTGTTGCGCGTGTGAAACATGTGATTCGAGAAAGCACATGTGAAGACTGTCAAGCATTGACGCTGTCTGTAGAAGGAAGAAGTAAATATATAAACTTATAAACCGTATGAGTGATGAAGTATAACCTCTATTTTGATGTTTGAAACGGGAACGTATATATGCCATATCGTGCTTAGGTTGATAACGCCGGTAGACTAATGGCTCCGAGACGTTATGTGAACTGTGTATGCTTATCAAACATTTTTGTAACACAGCATGCTATTTTTGATGTATTTATTTATGAAAGTATAACAAATTAAGAACATGACACAACTGCCGCTGCTGTTTGACAAGAATTCGCGCGGTGTCAAAATAGTATCCAATTGGGTGTAAGGGAAATAACTATTACGTTGGTAAAGTCGCATTCAAATATATTCCAAGAACATTTGTAAGATTTTGTATATTCAATGACGGTAAATATAGTCGCTACAAATATTAATAATTTTCACTAATATGAATAAAAAATAAATAAAAATAAAAGGAGTACAATGTCTCTTTTCTCCATGCATGTTTTCCCACTACTGTTAATTATCCTTCATTTCACAAGCAAAAAATGCACCTATTCTTTATTATCCATTCACCGATTGCCATTCTGCACGTAAACGCTCATGTCACATCATTGGAGGATGCTAATAAATGAAAATTACAACAATGTGTCGCACTTAAAGAGGGTGAAAAAAGGGGAGAGGGAGAAATGTTTTTAAGGCATCATTTAAGAGGTGATTGATTTTGAAAATCCTAAACGCAACATCATCAGATGACCTGATTTTCAATTAGCAGAATACAGAACACATATCTGAGGTATTATAGTAGATATTGATGCTCAACTGTTACTGAAGCAATTAAATTTAAAGTGGTGAGCGGCTGTGATGTCACACTGACATAATTCTAGTTTTATTGTATCAATTGAAGTAGAATAGAAAAAATAATTCACAATCTTGTATTTTGCTGAATATCTCGTTACTATTTGCCATTATACCTTGACAAATTTAAAGTTCCTTGCTTCTAATTAGCTCACTGCTGGAAGTAAAATTCCTGTTCCTGATCATCAGGGAAGGAATTTAGCTGAAACTAGTCTAAAGAATCCTTTGGCCTAAGGGACTCTACTTTCAACTTTGTGTGAATGATGGTGTGGCTTTCCTAGGGGCAGAATGTAGGGGAAATGAAAGTAATATATTATATATATGTATAAAATCTGGTTCCAATAGTATTGTGACTTATTTTAGGTATACAGTCCCAATTACATTTAAAACTGAGTATGCAGTCAATAATGGCTTGGTTTGCGAAGTATGATTACAGAATCATTGATCAATTTTGATTTTAAACCAATTCACTGAATAACATGAAGTTTGATCAGATTTTAGAATGGTGAGATTTTTTCTATAAATAGTAACATTAACCTTGACAACTCTGAAACAACATGCAGCAACACCTTGGTCTATACTTGTGTAGAGTAAGGAGACTAGAATGAACCAGTCTCCTGTAAATGGACAGATTTGCAGTTTTCACCTCGATAATCATCCTATAGATATTTCAGTAGGAAGTATTCCAAGGTGATGTTGGAGCAGATTTTTGATGGAAAAGCGTAAAATTTTAGGCATATGAAAAAATCTTCAGTAATGGCTTGGCAATTTTGTTTTTCAACCAATTCAGGGAATACCTGAAGATCGATCAAAATACTTTCAGGTATGAAGATTCAGAATGATGAGATTTTCTATAAATAGTAACATTAACCTTGACCTCTCTGAAACGATATACAGCATTAACCTAGACTATACATGTACTTGTGTGTAGAGTAACAAACATTGTTGATCATATCACCAGTAACTCCTGTAAATGGACAGATATTTCAACCAAAATTTGTAGGGAGTATTCCAAGATGATGTATGTGGGAGCAGATTTGTGATTGAAAAGGGTAACATTTTGGAAATCTGAAAAAATCTCCTACAAAACTTAGCAGGTACGGTAGGACGCCGAGCTCATGACCAAAGGGTTCGGGTCACAGCACTGTGTTGTATCTTTGAGCAAGATACTTTACACCACTTGTTCTACAATTGTTAGCTCACCTGGCCCGAAGGGCCAAGTGAGCTTATGGCATGGTCTGGCATCCGTCCGGCGTCCATTTTTAGCTCACCTGCCCGAAAAAAATCCTGTAAAATCTTCATACAACTTCTTCTCAATAACCAAAAGGCCCAGGGTACTGATATTGGGCCTGTAGCATGCTGGGATGAAGGACTACCATTTTAGTTCAAATGAATGACCTTGATCCACTTTCAACCTAATGTCCTTGTTCGACAACAAGGTCAGAGGCGTCATATGTTTAAATCTTTTAATAGGTTCTTATGAAATCTTAAGATTACAAGTGTTAGATTAATAACAGGTGAGCGATGCAGGCCCATTGGGCCTCTTGTTTACTTTAAACAACTTCTTCTCAGTAACCAAAAGGCCTAGGGTGATGATATTTGGCCAGTAACATGCTGAAATGAAGGGCTACCAATGCAAGTTTGTTCAAATGAATGACCTTGATTTATATTCAAGGTCACAGGGATCAAATATGTTTAAAACCTTTAAACAACTTCTTCTGAATAACCAAGAGGCCTAGGGTGATGATATTTAGCCAGTAACATGCTGGGATGAAGGGCAACCAAGTTTGTTCAAGTGAATGACCTTCGCCCATATTCAAGGTCACAGGGGTCAATATATATTTTTAAATCTTTAAATGATTTGTTCTGTATAACCAAACGGTACAGGGTGATGATATTTTGCTAGAAGCATGCTGGGTTGGAAGACTATAAACTCTGTTCAACCAAATGTCCTTGTTCGACATTCAAGGTCACGGGCGTCAAATGTTTAAATCTTTTAATATGTTCTTATGAATCAAACACTGATATTCTGCCTGTAGTGTGAGATTAATACCAGGTGAGCGATTCAGGCCCATTGGGCTTCTTGTTGAATGCTAGCTGTTAGCATCGAAATGGCAGCTTCGGCTGTGTGCTCCCCAGGGAGTTGAGAAAGATATTGGCTGGTTGCAAAGGCCATATAACCGCGGATAATAATTTGTGAATTGCTTTGAGACGACCTAGGAACTAGGTTGTGATAAAGCGGTATATAAGAACCTCAAACTATTATCATTATTATTAGCAGTTAGATTGTTTTGATATTTATGATGTAACGCCCATAAAATGTTGCAAAAATTTTAGTAGGAAAACAATCTGTCCATAAAAAGACAAAAATAGCGTGCTCTTCAACATATTTTGTACTACCAGTATTTACATCTTTAACACTGGTATTATATGAAGGACATGGAGGTTAGAAAAATGATAGTTTGTTAGAAATTTGCCTGCATATAGTGCTCTTAAAAAAAAGCTTTATTCAAGGTCACAGGGTTCAAATTTGTTAAAACTCTCAAAAGCCCTTTCACCTCTACATAACTTTAGTAAACTCTACCTCGCAGTGTTCTGGATGAGTCCATTATGGTCAACAGTGGTGAACAGAAGGACTTCGAAGTCATGATATTTGGCAAGTATTTTGCCATATTGGGTGTTATAGATTAAAGTTTACACAGAAGAAACGACTGGTTTTATAAGTTCATAGGGATCTAGTTTGTTAAAATTCCTTAACAAATTCTTCTGAAGAATGAAAAAACACTTGTGATATTTGTTAGTTATTAACTTGCTTGTATGAAACACTAAAAGGTTTGGGAAAAGAAACCAGTAATCAAAACTTGATATTTTGTCAGTAGGATGCTTGTAGAAAGGGATATAAATTGTTTAGCCCACCATCATCATCAGATGGTGGGCCATTTAAATCCCCCTGCGTCCGTGGTCCTTCCATCCTTAATTTTTTTTTTAATAGCGCTGTTTCTCAGAAAGTTCCGGAGGGATCCTTCTCATATTTCACCTGAAGGTTCATCATAATCTCTAGTTATGGGTATCAGTTTTTGGGACTGATAGAAAACCAAGATGGCCGACATCCAGCCATCTTGAATTTGAGAGTTCAAGTTTGTTAGTGCTATTTCTGAAAAGCACTGTAGGGATCTTTCTCAAATTTCACATGAGGTTCCCCCGTGCTCTTAAGTTATGCATATCGTTTTTGATACTGATCGAAAAACCAAGACGGCCGCATCCAGCCATCTTGAATTTGAGAGTTCAAGTTTGTCAGCGCTATTTCTCAAACAGTACTTGAGGTATCTCTTGGTTCCTAGTTATCGAAATGGGATAACACCTATTAACAAAATTATCTGAATAATGAAGATGCTGAGGCTAAGTGTGATGATATTTGCCAAGAAGCATGCTTGGATAAAAGGTTATTAAATGAATGCAAATAATTGCCCTTGGTCCACTATCAAGGTTACAGGGGTGAAACACGTGAACACATATAAACGGTTACAGGTTCTTCTGAATTGCCAAAATTCATAGGTAATGATATTCTGTCTGTAGCTTTATTTAGTTTATTGAAGTATATTTGACTTTCAGCCATGTTTTTATAAATTACAGATGAAAGATGAATACCCGTTGAGTGATGCAGGCCCATTGTGCGTCTTGTACTGAGATGCTAAACTTTGAGGAAAACTAACGGTGAACTGACGTTTGATCTCAGTTACCCGTTTTATACAAGATAAATATACTTGCATAGATGCAGAAGGGTGAAGACATCATTAATGTATGGTTTATTGATATATCTGTTAAAAGTATACTTGTTGTAACGTGGTATTCCATTACAGATTATTCAATCTCATGGCAACTTTTTGAATAAAAGATTTAAGTATGAAGGACTTGTGAACATCTAAATGAAGGTGATCAACAAGTTTCAGGTGAGTCCTCCTACGGTTCCTCAGGTGATAACTTCCACAGCAGCACTTCTATCCGACAGTTATGTTAATTAGGTATCCTCATGCATTAAAACTACATTTTTGAACTGGCATTTCCTGACAATCAAGTAGAAATATATTATATTTCAAAATGTATGCATGTCTTTGCGTAGTGTGGGCTATAGATTGATGTGTATTAAATTAGCTAACCAAATAAAATGACAAAACGCACCTTAACATGTTACCAATATTCAACCAAAGACCTCGTCTGTTAGTTATATATAATACACCTATACTATATATATAACCAATCAAGTGTTATGACAGGCGAGGCTTGTACCTGTGATTAAGATCAAGTTTATGGAAATATATCCATTTTTAAGGTAAGATTTTGTAGACCACACGTCCAGTAATTTTCCATGATACAAACTAAGTTATCATGATGGAAAATTTCAATCTGGTTTCAACCAGCCATAGCTGGTACAAACTGTGTTATTTCACCACCATGATCTTCATAGACAGACGAAATTCTTAAGGAGCAGGCTGCTGTATTTTGTCAAGTAAGTTCATTTTCTGTTTGTTAGATATCATTGTTCTGTTTATGTTTTACTATGTAAATGTCTGTATATACCAATATGTTGAGGTCTAGTTTCGTTTAGGAGAAACTGTTCAAATTACGTGGTTAAAGGTAGACAACTCTTGCGTTTGAGAAAAAAGTCTTAACAAAAAATCTCTTCAAACGTTAATTAAAACCTTACTGAAATTGTCAAACAGAATAATTATATGTATTGTACATATTTATGCTGATTTTTTTTATATCAGTAATTTGAATTTATATACATGTGTAAATATGAATTGTACATTTATATTAGATATTTTGAACAGCATTTTTTATGTTAATGTAATTCAAATTTGTTTCTATTATCAGAAGTTTGTTTCAAAGAGATTAGACATGGAAACACCAACAGTGCCCACCTTTAAGGTAAAAATACTGCAGTGTCTCATTAAGTTTTTGCAATAGCACAGATTTACTCTATTCATGTATTTGAATTTCCATAAAACCAAATTCCAATTATTATGTCATGGAAACAAAATTCTGAAAGAGTCTAATCATCTTATTTTTATCGACTTAATATTGTCTTCTTTTTTTATTAACATTTTATATTAATATAAAGGTAGGGGGGGGGGGGGGGGGGGGGGGGGGACCACAAAATATCTGTCTTGTCTTTACAGTGCTCCAAAGAAGTTGAAGAAAAAAAAAAAAAAACAATAAAACAGACCATTTGTTATTCAGAAATCAAAATATTGAAACATTGCTTTGAAAACATGTTATTTAATATTAAATGATATACCAGTACTATATAGCTGATTTGCAATCAAAGAGCTCTGCTAGAGACATCCACTCTGCACTACTTGATGATCTGATGTTTCATGAGAGCCTCTGTAAATAGACGTACACATTTACATTTTCTGGTCCTACTGTTTGTGACCTCTGAGTAATGCTTTGATTTGGATAGGAGTGAATCATGTGGTAGTGTGATGGTAAAATTGATAGTCTTTTATCTCTGACTACCTTTTTGATTATCTTCAAAAGCAATGAGGTGTCACTATCTATCAATCACTATCCGGATTCCTCACTTAAACTATAATTAATGTTTCCGTGACTCAAATTTCCAGTTGATCATCGTAGGTGATGGTGGTGTTGGAAAGACCACTTTTGTGAAACGTCATATGACAGGAGAGTTCGAAAAGAAATATAATGGTAAGTGAAATTGTATGACATTATGTAATGGTGTCCTTGTATATATAGACAATTTGGTTCTGGTAGTAAAGTCTCTCTAGGTTAATGAAAATGAAATATCAAAAAAATAACAAGAAACTTTGTTTTTATTTTTCTAGAATACTGTATAATGATTATTCTTCTTCGGTTGATTTCTTGTACAAAAACAGATTTCATGTGCAGTTCATTATTACACTACTTCTTCATAATTAGTGCCCTGGCTTTTAAATATATTGGAAAGTTTGGCATTTCTCGGGTTACAAAATGGAAATTATGTCACAAAAGCTAGGGTTTGTAGTTCTCTTGTGTACAGGCCACCTTAATGTCTACCTGTAAATGTATAGGTTGTGGATTGGAAGGCATGTATACATGTATATCAACAGGTGCTGAAAAGTGTTGATTGTGACAGTAAGGTAGCATACAGCCTGAAGTCTCTATGTCACAGTAAGGTAGCATACAGCCTTAAGTCTCCATGTCACAGTAAGGTAACATACATCCTTTAGTCTCCATGTCACAGTAAGGTAGCATACATCCTTAAGTCTCCATGTCACAGTAAGGTAGCATACATTGTGCTGCTACCGCCGCGTTCTGTGTACGTTGTCTCACGGACGAACAGAATTTTATCATTTTACTGCAAGTTACCACTGCCCCCCCATCGTGTAAGTGTGTCCCAATGACTCGTATTGATGAAGACAATTCCCAGATAACGTCTTGAGACGGATAATGAACTTTAAATAACTTTTTATTGTGTCGAATCGGGAATCACCATTTTCCCCGCTGAACCGCGTGCTTTGAACTTAACATATTTCTTACCATTTCTGCCAACTTAATTATTTTCGCCTAGTCGGCTATTAACATTATTATTAACACTATTACATTTAGTATAGTCATTTTATTGCATTCTATTGCCATTGACATTTCATAAACACTACATGTGTGATTTTCTCCTAATTAAGGAGCACCCCGGTAAATGAGGTAGTTTACATTTTCAGAATTATGAGTGTAATCTATTATTTCTGTAGAATTGAGACATATTTTGTTTTGTTACAGTTTTTCACCCTCTCCGGAGGTTTTGTGCTAAAAGAACTTTATCCTCTCCGGAGGTTTTGTGGGAAAGGAGACCTCTCTGGAGGTCGTGTATTGGAACAAGCCCTCTCCGGAGGCACTGTACACTACTTGAACTTAATAATAAGCTTCAACGTTATCTAGAGTTCTTGTTTTATTTCTTTCAAACGAGTGCAACAGCACATACATCCTTAAGTCTTCATGTCACAGTAAGGTAGCATACATCCTTAAGTCACCATGTCACAGTAAGGTAGCATACAGCCTTAAGACTCCATGTCACAGCAAGGTAGCATACAGCCTAAAGTTTCCATGTCACAGTAAGGTAGTTTACATCAAAGTCTCCATGTCACAGTAAGGTATTTTACATCAAAGTCTCCATGTCACAGTAAGGTAGCATACAGCCTTAAGTCTCCATGTCACAGTAAGGTGGCATACAGCCTAAGTCTCCATGTCACAGTAAGGTGGCATACAGCCTAAGTCTCCATGTCACAGTAAGGTAGCATACAGCCTTAAGTCTCCGTGTCAAAGTAAGGTGGCATACAGCCTTAAGTCTCCATGTCACAGAAAGGTAGCATACAGCCTTAAGTCTCCATGTCATAGTAAGGTAGCATACAGCCTTAAGACTCCATGTCACAGTAAGGTAGCATTCAGCCTTAAGTCTCCATGTCACAGGAAGGTAGCATACAGTTGTAAGTCTCCATGTCACAGTAAGGAAGTATACATCAAAGTCTCCATGTCACAGTAAGGTGGCATACAGCCTAAGTCTCCATGTCACAGTAAGGTGGTATACAGCCTTAAGTCTCCGTGTCACAGTAAGGTGGCATACAGCCTAAGTCTCCATGTCACAGTAAGGAAGCATACAGTCTTAAGTCTCCATGTCACAGTAAGGTGGCATACAGCCTTAAGTCTCCGTGTCACAGTAAGATAGCATACAGCCTTAAGTCTCCATGTCACAGTAAGGTAGCATACAGCCTTAAGTCTCCATGTCACAGTAAGGTAGTATACATCAAAGTCTCCATGTCACAGTCAGGTAGCATACAGCCTTAAGTCTCCATATCACAGTAAGGTAGCATACAGCCTTAAGTCTCCATGTCACAGTAAGGTAGTATACATCAAAGTCTCCATATCACAGTAAATAGCACAATCATCAAAGTCAATCAGTACTATAGGTATGTATTTGTTTACTAAAATGTGTAGAATTTCCTGACTCAAACCAGACCAGACTTGGCTATGTTGTTTCCCAATACATTTGGTTTAATCCCAGATATCCTCAATTGACAATTACACACTATGAAATTACTAATTGCTCCTACTAATACGTGAGGCTGTTCATTTCTCAGCTTCACCTTTGACCTCTGGATCTATCTGTGTTGTAGCTACCGTTGGTGCGGAGGTACATCCAATGAAGTTCAACACTACTCGTGGAGAAATCCAGTTCAATGTATGGGACACCGCAGGACAGGAGAGATTTGGACGTCTACGGGATGGCTACTACATCCAAGGTTAGAATCACCAGTGATGATTTAATTTCAACTATTTCCCCAAATGCTAAACGTTTTGGTTATATCACATGACATAGCAAAAAAATAGACAACACAAAAAGTGATGACTTCATATACCACAATGTTTGGCACAGTATTTGTATTTCTAACTTCTGATTGGTTGAAATGGTTAGATGCTGATGTATAACTGCACAATGTTGCATTTTGTGCGAAATTGTTTTGTTTTTATCAGAAACTAATAAATATTCATCTGTTATGAACTAAAAAGTGTTTTTTTCATTGTGAATTCAATGATAAGGAATAACTATTATTATTTTTGGTCACCTGAGCTTTGCTCAAGTGACCTATTCCAATAACTTTCCGTCCGTCGTCATCCGTCGTGCGTAAACTTTTTACATTATCAACTTCTTCTCAAGAACCAGTGGATGGAATTTTTTCAAACTTTGTCAGAATCATCCTTGGTAGATGAGGCTACCCAATTGTAAAATTGGGATTCCTACCCCAACCCTAGGGGCCAGGGCGGGGCCCAAAGGGAAAATTAACCAATATTTCAAAAATCTTCTTCTCCAGACTCAGAGGTATTACAGTCATTTTCTCTGCATGGATGGAAAGATCATTAGGGGCTTTATTTAAATTGTAAATTTCAGGACCCCCGAGCTATCCGTTCTCCCTTTGGGAGGGGGTAAAGTTTACTATAGTTTATATAGGGAAACAACACTTTTGGGTATATTTTGACAATTTTCTGTTGGAAATTATTTTTACTTGGTGAGAATTATCCTTGAAGGAAGATGGTTTTAAATTGTAAAATTGGGATTCCTACCCCAACCCTAGGGGCCAGGGCGGGGCCCAAAAGGGAAAATTAACCAATATTTCAAAAATCTTCTTCTCCAGACTCAGAGGTATTACAGTCATTTTCTCTGCATGGATGGAAAGATCATCAGGGGCTTTATTTAAATTGTAAATTTCAGGACCCCCGAGCTATCCGTTCTCCCTTGGGGAGGGGGTAAAGTTTACTATAGTTTATATAGGGAAACAACACTTTTGGGTATATTTTGACAATTTTCTGTTGGAAATTATTCTTACTTAGTGAGAATTATCCTTGAAGGAAGATGGTTTTAAATTGTAAAATTGGGATTCCTACTCCAACCCTAGGGGCTAGGGTGGGGCCCCAAAGGGAAATTTAACCAATTTTTCAAAAATCTTCTTCTCCAGACTCAGAGTCCTATATACTACAGTCATTTTCTCTGCATGGATGGAAAGATCATTAGGGGCTTTAATTTAATTGTAAATTTCAGGACCCCCAAGCTATCAGTTCTCCCTTGGGGAGGGGGTAAAGTTTACTATAATTTATATATAGGGAAACAACACTTTTGGGTATATTTTGACAATTTTCTGTTGGAAATTATTTTTACTTGGTCAGAATCATCTTTGGTGGATGACGGTATCACATTGTAAACTTGGAATTCCTGCCCCATCCCCAGGGGTTAGAGCGGGGCCCCAAAGGGAACATTTACAAATATTTCAAAATTCTTATCCTTTGATGACATGACAAGTATTGTATTTCACTTAGTTTACATGCTAATTTCCATATCACATTTAAACAATAAAATAAAGCTACCAGTACCTATGATATGTAACTCAGGTGACCGCTAAGGCCCTTGGGCCTCTTGTTGGGGTTATACAATATATAATGTCATAATTATACTTTTATGTATCATTTCTGTATCCCATAACAACACCATAACAATGTGCCATTACATTTGAATCATACTCTCCCGTTACAATTGCATTGTCATGAGTCATGTAAGAGTGGCATTACTATGTCTCATTACAATGTCCAATTATAGTGGCATTACAATGTTTATTTAAAAGTGGTTAATTACCATGTTCAATAACAACAGCATTACAACATCCATTATTAGATAAAAAAATCAACAAAATTAACTGTACATATAGATCCAGGAAAGGTGAAACTGTCTTACCCAAATTGGGAAACTCTTTCCTGGACAGCATATGTTTAAATACCTTTCTTCGTAATTTGAGCAAACCAACTTTTTAAAAAAGATTTTGTTGCTTTTAAACACTAAAAAATACAAGGACCTTTACTGGTATATGAACAAAATATTCTGAATAAATGAATTTCAAGAAGATTAAGTATATCACAAGTAGTAACAGTTGATGTTTATACTTTTCAAATTTCAGGACAATGTGCCATCATTATGTTCGATGTGACATCACGCATCACCTATAGAAACGTCCCTGACTGGTACCGCGACCTTGCCCGGGTCTGTGTCAACATTCCCATGGTGCTTTGTGGTAACAAGGTAGATGTCAAGGATCGCAAAGTTCCGGCAAAACTCATCAAATTTCACAGAAAACATAACCTACAGGTCAGAATGTGGTCTTGTAATTTTGATTATTAATTGAAAAGTAGATAATATGATATAATTGTAGAGAATGTCATCAAAGTCATGCAATTAGATTTTTCGTAAAAGTTAGTTTTCTGGGGGGTTTTGGCTGAAATGGCAGCATAGAGAACTTACACATGTGTTTATCTGTCGTGAAGCACATTTTCCATGCAAATTACCCGGGTAAAATGTTAAACTTATTTGTGATATGGTTAACATGTAATACACTTGTCATATCAGAAATTCACACACCAAGTGTTGTCTTCTGTTAAATTTGCCAGGGGCGGGTCCAGGTGAGGGCGTAATGGGCGTACGCCCCCCTTTTCAATATCCTAGAAACGTCCCTGTTTGCTATGCTTTTTTGACACAAGGTTATTTATGTTCAATATTAACATATCAATAAAATTTATCAACATTTGTTCCTTGACATATTATGGGAAAAGGCAAATAGATAAAAGGTTTTGTGACACTTTGAACATACATAAATAAAGAAAAGCTGAATAATCACAAAAAAATGTAATTAAATCTATATTAGGTCAAAGTTTTTTTTGATGATCCCTTTCCCACTGTTGGCAAAACGCTAGAGAATGTCTGTGTTTTTCATATGTACAGCTACCTCCCCCTTCCTTCTGTTTTTGAAATGACTTCAGCGCAGTTAGGCCAGAAGATTTCCGCTGACCAGGTAGCTTGATTTGTTAGAGTGACAATATATAACATTTAGAAGCCCAGGGTTGGAGTCCTGTTCTAGTCAAGCTAAAGTTTTACACTCAGAACACCATGGCTAATATTTATTGTTTATTACATCTCTATTGTTTTTGTAACAAAAGTTCTGCAAGGTATGGTTTTCTTTTCAGAAATGATTTATCATCATAGGCTGTTATAGTCAAACCAGAAATATCAGTTTTGAATGCAGATTTCGGCAGTGGATGGAGGTCCTCATACTCTTCTCCCGACCCTGAAATACTGCAGATTGTTCTCATATATTTAAGCCTTCCTTTGATTGGTCTTTTCAGTACTATGACCTCAGCGCCAAGAGTAACTACAACTACGAGAAACCTTTTTTATGGTTGTCACGACAACTGGTTGGAGACCCCCAGCTGAATTTTATGGCCTCTTGTTCTGGCCTCCTACCCCCAACTGTCTTCATCGACAAAGATCAAATGGCCCGGCTAGAGAAGGAGTTGGAACAGGTTTGTTAAGGCAAAATCAACATAATCTATATTATTAGATTTGTTCTCCATGAAAAGTTCATAAATATTCAAGAATTTTGCTTATATTAGTCACTGCAATATAGATCATTTCCACTTGTGTTATAACATTACAAGCATTCATTTACAACGGAAAATGAGATCCAACATCCCTAGTGGTGTGTTCAGTGGAGTTCTGTGTACCCCAGTCTATCCCCTAGTGGTGTGTTTAGTGTAGTTCTGTGTCCCCCAGTCTATCCCCTAGTGGTGCGTTCAGTGGAGTTCTGTGTACCCCAGTCTATTCCCTAGTGGTGTGTTTAGTGTAGTTCTGTGTCCCCCAGTCTATCCCCTAGTGGTGGGTTCAGTGGAGTTCTGTGTACCCCAGTCTATCCCCTAGCGGTGTGTTCAGTGGAGTTCTGTGTACCCCAGTCTATTCCCTAGTGGTGTGTTTAGTGTAGTTCTGTGTCCCCCAGTCTATCCCCTAGTGGGTGTTTAGTGAAGTTTTGTGTCCCCCAGTCTATCCCCTAGTGGTGTGTTTAGTGTAGTTCTGTGTTCCCCAGTCTATCCCCTAGTGGGTGTTTAGTGAAGTTTTGTGTACCCCAGTCTATCCCCTAGTGGTGTGTTAAGTGGAGTTCTGTGTACCCCAGTCTATCCCCTAGGGGTGTGTTCAGTGGAGTTCTGTGTCCCCCAGTCTATCCCCTAGTGGTGCGTTCAGTGGAGTTCTGTGTACCCCAGTCTATTCCCTAGTGGTGTGTTTAGTGTAGTTCTGTGTCCCCCAGTCTATCCCCTAGTGGGTGTTTAGTGAAGTTTTGTGTCCCCCAGTCTATCCACTAGTGGTGTGTTTAGTGCAGTTCTGTGTACCCCAGTCTATCCCCTAGTGGCGGGTTTAGGGTGGTTCTGTGTACCCCAGTCTATCCCCTAGTGGGGTGTTCAGTGGAGTTCTGTGTACCCCAGTCTATCTCCTAGTGGTGTGTTCAGTGGAGTTCTGTGTACCCCAGTCAATCCCCTAGTGGTGTGTTCAGTGGAGTTCTGTATACCCCAGTCTATCCCCTAGTGGTGTGTTCAGGGGAGTTCTGTGTACCCCAGTCTATCCCCTAGTGGTGTGTTTAGTGTAGTTCTGTGTACCCCAGTCTATCCCCTAGTGGGTGTTTAGTGAAGTTTTGTGTACCCCAGTCTATCCACTAGTGGTGTGTTTAGTGGAGTTCTGTGTACCCCAGTCTATCCCCTAGTGAATGTTTAGTGAAGTTCTGTGCCCCAGTCTATCCCCTAGTGGTGTGTTCAGTGGAGTTCTGTGTACCCCAGTATATCCCCTAGTGGTGTGTTCAGTGGAGTTCTGTGTCCCCCAGTCTATCCCCTAGTGGATGTTTAGTGAAGTTCTGTGTACCCCAGTCTATCCACTAGTTGTGTGTTCAGTGGAGTTCTGTGTACCTCAGTCTATCCCCTAGTGAATGTTTAGTGAAGTTCTGTGTACCCCAGTCTATCCCCTAGTGGTGTGTTCAGTGGAGTTCTGTGTACCCCCGTCTATCCCCTAGTGGTGTGTTCAGTGGAGTTCCGTGTACCCCAGTCTATCCCCTAGTGGTGTGTTCAGTGGAGTTCCGTGTAGCCCAGTCTATCCCCTAGTGGTGTGTTCAGTGGAGGTCTGTGTACCCCAGTCTATCCCCTAGTAGTGTGTTCACTGGAGTTCTGTGTACCTCAGTCTATCCCCTAGTGGTGTGTTCAGTGGAGTTCTGTGTACCCCAGCCTATCCCCCAGTGGTGTGTTCAGTGGAGTTCTGTGTACCCCAGTCTATCCCCTAGTAGTGTGTTCAGTGGAGTTCTGTGTACCTCAGTCTATCCCCTAGTGGTGTGTTCAGTGGAGTTCCGTGTAGCCCAGTCTATCCCCTAGTGGTGTGTTCAGTGGAGTTCTGTGTCCCCCAGTCTATCCCCTAGTGGTGTGTTCAGTGGAGTTCTGTTCCCCAGTTGATATCCCCTAGTGGTGTGTTCAGTGGAGTTCTGTGTACCCCAGTCTATCCATTAGTGGTGTGTTCATAGGAGTTCTGTGTACCCCAGTCTATCCCCTAGTGGTGTGTTCAGTGGAGTTCTGTTCCCCAGTTGATGGGATCCTAAATGGAATTCACTAGTCCAGCCATAAGAGTTATCTAAATCCTTCTTTTGAAGCATTCATTTTGTTAATATTAATCAACTTTTTGTTGGATGACCTTGTCTATTTGTTATTTGTTACACACTTTTCAGACAGGAAAAGTTATGTATATAGGTGTCCAAAACACAAGTATACTTGTATGTTAGGAATAGCACCTGTACATTTACAAATGTACTATCAACATGGAACAGATTCTTTTCTTTGCAACAATATAATCATTTGAAATGAAAACTACCAATGCTGTCGGTATACATTAAGATGCCAGGCTATTGTTGAGTTTCCAGACGTAATATAATTTGGTTTAGGAACATGCAGGAAGAGATCTAAAGTTTCAAAAATTAACATTAAATATCAACTTGAATACCTCAACAGTTAATTTTTATTGTAATTTTTTCTTTCAGGCCCAACACATCTCCCTGCCAGATGATGACCACTTTTGATCCCTGTCTGGTTGATGACGATACAGGCATCATTTTTGTTCTGAACCATATCTTTTAAATAGCTGAACCAATTCTTGTGCGAGTTGTTCATAAACACCTCTTTGGCAATGACATGACTTCCTCTTCCAAAGAAGCGAGACAGACATAGCGTAAATTCACCCTTGGAGATCAAGGCCAGGAGATCAAAATATTGAGACCCAGCATGACAATTGTTTTTATCAATATTACTTTTTATCATATTCGTCTTTCTTTTGGGGCCTTTGATACATCTACATGTATTGAAGAATTTTCATAACATAAAGAGGAATAACTGCAGACTTTTAAATATAAACCATTGGACTCATATACTAGTCTTTCATTTTACAAAAGAAAAGTTAATGACTGGTTACAGGTCTGAGATTACATGCTGCCTTCATGGCACATTTTGAAGAATAATATTGATTGTACATCTTAGCATAATTTCCTTTTTGTTCCGCTATTATGATATAGACTGTAAACTACAAGCAGAATTGACTAAAAAGATATGTGATATTCTGTGATGAGAGGAGCTGTTAGATCCAAGATATTACTGGGAAAATCAGACATTTGCAGAAAACTGAACCTCAATGTTTTTTTAAAACTTTGACGAGTATTCAATTTCCATGAATCTGTGTACATCTAGTTTTGTGTATAAATTATACTTTAGTGTGATAATACAGGTATAATTTCAAATGACATTGTTCTTTAATGTAATAAATGTACATTGTACAAAAATCACCAGAATGATTTATTTATGAAAAATGATGCATGTCAGCAATTTTATTTGTTAACCAGATGCTTGCACAAATACTGTGAACAGACACAATCTCATTAAAATACCCTTTCCTTTAACCACCCTTATACATGAACTACACCAGCTCATTAAAGGACAGACAGTACTGGGATGTGATATTAAGCTACGTACTTTAATCACTTTGTGAACAGACATCACTTTTGGGATACATTTCTGTCAGAACTTGTAGTGATCTGCTATAGTCAATGTAAGCTTCAGGAGAGATGTGTTTTGCAGTTTTTGCACTCAATGACCCTTCATAGTCCTGCACCTCATCCCCCTGGGGTTGATATCAGCCCTATCTTCAGTAGACATATTCATTCCCCCTTTTCCGTCTTTGCGTATTGCAGAGTTATCTTCTCTTGGGAGCAGGTATTGATTGTTACGTCATTGGTTTGTGTGAGAAAATTATGTCATTTTCTCAAAAAATGATGACGTTACTCTCACAAACAAGTGACGTAACAATCAATACTTTCTCCTAAGAGAAGATAACTCTGCAATACGCAAAGACGGAATAGGCTGATGATTATCAACAAGTTTTATAAAAATCTGACAAATAGTTTCAGAGGAGAAGTCGAAAATAAGATTGTTTATTGTTCTGAACTCAGTGACCCCATATGGCCCCACCCCTCGAGCACCTGGAGTGTCAACGCCTTCTTGAGTATGAATTCTGATCCTCCTGAACTAGGGATCATTTCATTACATGTTGGTCAAAATTCACAGGTCAGTTTCGGAGAAGTTTTTTTGAAGATTTTGCACCAAATGACCCTTTATAGCCCTATCCCTCAGCCCCCTGGGGTGTCAACCCTATCTTAAGTCTACATTCTGATCATCACTCTAGGCTGATCATTACTACAATTGTATCAAGTTTCACCAAAATCACACTCAAGATGGTTTCAGAGGAGAAATCGAAAATGTAATTGTTTACGCATGACTGACAAAAGACTTCAAAAGCATACTGCAATGGGACGGGGATCCTCAAGTGAGATGATTGTTGAACAGTGATGGTCCCTCGAGGAGACTGTAGTTAAAATATAACATTCATTTTTAAATGGATCAAAATTAGATTTCATGATAATTCTTTTTAAACAAAATACATTTTTCTAAAACATTTCAATTTTAATAACACAATACATTAACATCGATCTGAAAATACTGTTTATCGTATGTGTCATAAGCTTGATATTGAAATTATTGAGAATGAAAAAGTTGTTTTATAACTTGCCTATAGCAGATTTCATAACATAATTTGATCACTTTTTGCTTGATCTGTTCGTTTCCCATTCATTATGAACAAGTTTATAGTACAACACTCCTCGCTTTAAATAAAAAAGCAAAACTACATAGTCTAAATAAATGGCATATGATTTTAATAACAACTGAACAGGTAATACACACAAAAAACACTCGGTAAAAAACATTGTCTAAAATGTGACTTTTCTCTTCCTCGCTGTGTACTTTGTATCCGGTCGCACTTCTCTGTAAAGATATAAAAACAATTTGTATGATAGGTTTCACAGAGTAATTACAAAAACATTGATAGTGCATTTGTGAAAAAGTGACAATTCCAGTTAAATACACTTCAATTGATATTTGTTTTGCCAATAGGTATGTCTACTGGCACTGATGTTCTATCACATGTCAGGTGAAAGGCTGCATGCAATTGTTATTTTAGTGGAAATTATGACTCGTACCTTTAACACGGTCGCATTATAGGGGAATGGTATTTCATTGTTGAATGTGCATGTATTTGCTTATGTGAATTACGTATGTGTCTGGTGAACAGATAAACTAAATTTTAAAAAAAGTAACGAAAAACTATCCTTTTTTTAATGCTAAGGTTATTTGGTTTGTCCTGGAACATTATCATCCAATGTCACTTCTGTACGAAATGAATAAGACCAGATTCAAGCCATGATCGGTACAACTCAATCATAAAACACACTTACCTCCCCTGTCTTCGGCGGCGTTCTTTCTTCTCCAGGATCCAATCCCTGCTCCCCTTGGCAGACTTAGCACCTCGTAGCTTCTTCATCTTCGCTCTGTAATAAAATTTTACAATCATTTTTTTTAAAGAATGAGCATTTTCTGTTTGATAAGCAGATTTCTTTTCACATTTCCTAAGGTATGCTGAATTATGTTACGAAATCAATGTTAAAAGCAGAATAAACAAATGAAACTTATCATATGAATAATCAGTAAAATTTTGTAGTGTTTAGCAAAAAAATTGTTTTAAGAAGACATTGACATTTATGGGTGGTATAAATATCTTGCGTTTTAACATGGAATTGCTTTACCATTATTAGGGATAGCTAAGTTGCAGAACTTACAAGAAAACTAGCAGAAACATTGTTTCACTAGACCTACGATTAAGTAACAGCACAGATTTGTATCAAACATTACATTACCTTTTGCTGTTGAAGTCGATCTGTTGTCTTTGACTATTTCCCACCTCTGTCCCCAATCCCTTGGGTAACTGTTGTGGCTGTCCCCCAGCAAACAGGCACAGGAACATCCTAAATATACACAGGACAAGTCTTAAATACACGTATATCTGTTAGATCCACAAGATTCTATCTAGAAAAAGAAACAATACACATGGGAGAAGTCATAAAGTACAGGGTATCAAAAAGTTATAAACTATAATCTTACTATTGTCACTATTGTAATATCTGCTCAAGTCCTTTTCAAAAGAAGGGTTCCATGAAAATCGCATGTTGCCATGCAATTTACAGAACTGTAGTTGTTCAAAATATGATTTTTTGAAAAACAGAAGAAAAAAAGGGAAAAAAAAGTTTTACATTACAAAGTCCACAATTTACCAATGTTTCCGTACAAGAATTATAAAAGCACAACATCAAAATAATTTCCACTTATATCTAATAAAAGAAACCCTGCTTAGTTTCATGTAAAATTGTTTAGCCAATGACAAGTAAAGGTCTGGACAAGCATTACAATAATTTGACCATTGATGCCTTGCCATGATCTTGATATCTTTCATATGGACCTGACTGTGTGACGCAACACTTTGTCTCTCAGAAAATGTGAAAGCGATCAAAGTTACAGGTCGTAAAAATATTACAAAGATTTGACCTTTAACAACTCTTGCAATTTGACTCGTTGCTATGACCTTGACAACGTTAAAGTTAAACGTGTAACATGAAACTATCCACCTTTTTGTGACCCTATATGTACCTGGGTATTACAAGCTTTACCGGTTATATAATCAGTAACTGTCAGGAAACACATTGCAATGACTTAACCTCTGATATCTTGATCTAGTAGCGCTATGCAAAGTTCAGTTTCTTCATGATATGTGATAGGTAAAGTTGCATAAAAGGTTCAGCTATTTAGGCGATATGGTCCAGACAAACACTGCCATACAGACGCATAAAGTAACTGTTCCCTACCCCTCTCTCACCCTATAAAGTACCATAACACTTACATGGTTCACACCATTAAAATATCATTGAATATTGCAAGCATGTTCTTTTCTTTTTTTTCTGTTATCTTTTACAAGCACATGTAGTTACCAAGGGGATTATGCAAACCAAGTTGTTATGCTAAATGTAGTGATCCATCTCAAATTAGAGCGTGTACAACTAGGTACAAAATGGATCAAGTATAGCTTCATAATGATCCCTGTAGTACATGTACTATACCAGAACTAATTGTCAAACATTTTATTTTAAATACCGTACAAAACTAACGTCACTGTACCCTAATCGGGACCCTTTTTAGATAAATATCAATGTTCTTTATACCATTCTATCAGTTCAAAAAAGGTTCGTTCATTTTTCATAAATAGATACTATCCACTTTTCATTTCTATCAAAATTTGTTATTTAGGGCGTGTGGTTATAAAAAGAACGCGAAATACCATCAGAGTTACGTAAGCCCTTGAACCAGTGTTACTGTACCCTGAAAGAGACACTTCCGGTATTTTGGCGAATATTTGGGATATTTATATCGCCAGGAAAATATGCATAGTTGAAATATTTTAGAGTCAATGAGAGTTTTGATTAAATTTCTTCTCAAAGTTAACATTAGTTTTGATACAATAGACTTTTGAAAATGATATCAAAATTAATAGCATCGCACGGCACGTAAACCGGAAAAGTTTTGTTTTGGTAATTATTGGTACCTTTAAATTGCCCATGTAACAATAATCAGCAGCCAATAAAGCTTAAAACAGCTTAATTTTCATGAAAAGTATTATGAAATGAAAACTGTATATGTAAAAGTACTTCTTTGCATTGAATGACAGTTTCTTGGGCCGTTTTCCCACAAGTGTCCCGTTTTGGGTACAGTGACACTAAGGGTACTGTATACATTATTTAATCACCATCCCTTCAGTAGTTCATGAGAAATAGCAGTAACAACCTTAACAGGCAACATCCAAGGCAGCCATTTGCTTTTCTGATCCGGATCACAATTAAACACGCGAGTAAACCACTCAGATAATCTCACTTACTTCTTTGCCTTGGTACTGTTGGGAAAGTCGACCACTAGACCCCCGGTAAATCCTGCCCTCATTGACTGTTGTGTGATCAGCTCCAACTACAATGAAATCCCAGTTCCATAATTTATCTCAGTTTCTGGGGATCGTTTAAAGTGTGTCACCAGAAAGTATGATTTTTCAACAATTTCTGCAGTCCTGTGTCAAACGAGCATGTTATCCTTCTCTTTGTCAGACAACTTGTACATCAGGTATTCTGATTATTTAAAATGGTGATAGCATAAGGACCGAGTCATCCTCGAAATTACACTGGTTACACTCTCCGAGGTTCTCACAATTACAGAATTTACTTTGTCTTATGTTTTCTGCACCCCTGCGTCTCTGCTGACAAATTTACATGAAGTCCTACCAGTCTTTATTAAGTTTGTCATAAATAGCAATGTGTCTTATAGGACCATAACAACATTTGCTAGAACATTCATTGCTTTAATGAACGGGACAAACCTGTGAGCTGTTCTCTGGATAAAGCTGAAACACGGCTCGACTTCCCCTACTCTGGAAATGTGGAATGTGTACAGGTATGTTAAAACTATTTTAAGTACTGCAATGGTTCAATTATATTTACCGAAGAAATAAAAACTGATTTTAACAATTACTTTACCTCAAACAAACTTTTTAGCTTTAAACATTTCAGAAAAAGAAGTGTTCTATTTTTATTTAAACTTATATGAAGTCCTGTAGTTTCAAATCCCAGAAATACAAGTTTTCTTGATGGACCTAACACATGTAATTTTTGCTGCTATGAATCCACACAGTTAAACATAGACTGAATTGTGTTATCAAGTTAACCTTACCAGACAGGCGTAGAGTGAACTGAAGAATTTTAGAAGTCGCTTCGGTGGATGGTGAAAAGACTTGTCCGCATTACAAAGCCACTGAAGGGCAGATATGCTGAAATATAAATATATTATACTTTCAATAAGATTCTTCATTTCTTCAGTTTGGAAAAGTTAATATATAAGTTTTACTTTATACACAAACAATGTGAAACTTTGATATTATATAATACTGTTTACCACAGTACATTACAAAGCCACTGATGGATAGCGATATATAGATATACTGAAATAGAAATATATAATACAGACATTGTAAACCCACTGTAGGGCAGATATATGCCAGTACCTGGCGACTGCCGAACGTTGTCCTCGAACCCGCTACCTAGTGGTGGAGGGCTAGTGGTAGTAGAACGTCGGACGCCTTAACCACTAGGCCACCGCAGCCACTCCTAATAGATATATAGACACTGCTAATCGAATAAAGTACAACAGAAGAAAGCACTTTTGGTAGGAGTACAGAGACTTTTGGTAGGAGTACAGAGACTTTTGGAAGGAGTACAGAGACTTTTGGTACAAGTACAGAGACTTTTGGTACAAATACAGAGACTTTTGGTAGGAGTACAGAGACTTTTGGTAGGAGCACAGAGACTTTTGGTGGGAGTACAGAGACTTTGGGTAGGAGTACAGAGTCTTTTGGTACAAGTACAGAGAGTTTTGGTAGGAGAATACTGAGACTTTTGGTAGGAGCACAGAGACTTTTGGTAGGAGCACCGAGACTTTTGGTAGGAGCACCGAGACTTTTGGTAGGAGTGCAGAGACTTTTGGTAGGAGCACCGAGACTTTTGGTAGGAGAACAGAGACTTTTGGTAGGATTACAGAGACTTTTGGTACAAGTACAGAGACTTTTGGTACAAGTACAGAGACTTTTGGTAGGAGAATACAGAGACTTTTGGTAGGAGTACAGAGACTTTTGGTATGAGTACAGACACTTCTGGTAGGAGTACAGAGACTTTTGGAAGGAGTGCAGAGACTTTTGGTAGGAGTACAGAGACTTTTGGTAGGAGTACAGAGACTTTTGGTATGAGTACAGACGCTTCTGGTAGGAGTAAAGAGACTTTTGGAAGGAGTACAGAGACTTATGGAAGGAGTGCAGAGACTTTTGGTATGAGTACAGACGCTTCTGGTAGGAGTATAGAGACTTTTGGAAGGAGGACAGAGACTTTTGGAAGGAGTGCAGAGACTTTTGGTACGAGTCCAGAGACTTTTGGCAGGAGTACAGAGACTGGTGGTATGAGTACAGACGCTTCTGGTAGGAGTATAGAGACTTTTGGAAGGAACACAGAGACTTTTGGTAGGTGTACAGAGACTTTTGGAATGAATACAGAGACTTTTGGAAGGAATACAGAGACTTTTGGTACGAGTACAGAGACTTTTGGTATGAGTACAGAGACTTTTGGAAGGAGTACAGAGACTTTTGGAAGGAATACAGAGACTTTTGGTAGGAGTACAGAGACTTTTGGTACGAGTACAGAGACTTTTGGAAGGAGTACAGAGACTTTTGGAAGGAGTACAGAGACTTTTGGAAGGAGTACAGAGACTTTTGGAAGGAGTACAGAGACTTTTGGAAGGAATACAGAGACTTTTGGAAGGAGTACAGAGACTTTTGGAAGGAATACAGAGACTTTTGGAAGGAGTACAGAGACTTTTGGTAGACTTTTGGAAGGAGTACAGAGACTTTTGGTAGACTTTTGGTAGGAGAATACAGAGACTTTTGGTAGACTTTTGGTAGGAGAATACAGAGACTTTTGGTAGACTTTTGGTAGGAGTATGGAGACTTTTGGTATGAGTACAGGGAGTATTTTCAAACATCTTGGTGTCATGCTTTATTTTCTGTGTGGCCAGGCTGGATGATACCAACTTACCCTTACCCTTAATCTGAACTGATATCTCCCGACATATGATAAGTTACCTGATGACTCCATCAAAAGTGCCTGGCTTGAAGGGCATGCCGTATCCCATATCTCCCAAAACTAGGTCACCTTCTGTCTCCCTCTCCACAGCCACATCTGTGGAAATTAGAAATTAGTTATTAAGCCATCCCAATAAACTTCAGGGATATAAGGAACTATTGAAGCAAATTTTCTCGGACAAAAATTGGGATTTTTTTTTAAATTAGAAAAAAAGAAACAGCATTATGTCTTCAAATACCCTTTCCAATTCATATACAAGGGTACCAGAAATTCAGTTTTAGCATATATGATCCATTTTATTTTCTCTTCTACACAATTGGACCTGACAAATACAATATGTTAAAGTGGATTCCATTTTATTTTAATGCATGGACTACATTTTCAGTAGACACAGCATAAACAAAACAAAGTTGTCCAATTGTACATTATGAATTCAATAAAAGATTTTTGACACTAATTATTTATTAGCAACTTATATAGAATCCCCTGTTTTTAGTAAAGAGTTTTGTTCACCCTTAAACGAAGGACTGTTTTCACATTACCTCATGTCACAAATGAGGCAATGAACCTTGCCAATGATATATTTAGCTATAACTGTTATCCGATTATACTTACTCCATTCTTTTTGTTATAATACCCCTGTCTTACACCAGAGACTGTTGATATCCTACATCCCTGTCTTACACCAGAGACTGTTGATATCCTTCATCCCTGTCTTACACCAAAGACCGTTGATATCCTACACCCATGTCTTACACCAGAGACTGTTAATATCCAACAACCGTGTCTTATACTAGAGACTGTTGACATCCTACACCTCGGTCTTACACCAGAGACTGTTGACATCATACAACCCTGTCTTACGCCAGAGATTGTTGATATCCTACACCCCTGTCCGATTATACTTACTCCATTCTTTTTGTTATACTACCCCTGTCTTACACCAGAGAGTGTTTATATCCTACAACCCTGTCTTAACCAGAGACTGTTGATATCCTTCATCCCTGTCTTACACCAAAGACTGTTGATATCCTGCACCCCTGTCTTACACCAGAGCCTGTTGATATCCTACACCCCTGTCATACACCAGAGACTGTTGATATACTACATACCTGTCTTACACCAGAGATTGTTGATATCCTACAACCCTGGCTTACACCAGAGACTGTTGATACCCTACATCCCTGTCTTACACCAGATAATCTTGATATCCTACATCTCTGTCTCACACCAGAGACTGTTGATATCATATACCCCTGTCTTACACCAAAGACTGTTGATATCCTACGCCCCTGTCTTGCACCAGAGACTGTTGATATCCTTCATCCCTGTCTTACACCAAAGACTGTTGATATCATACACCCCTGTCTTATACCAGAGACTGTTGATATCCTTCATCCCTGTCTTACACCAAAGACTGTTGATATCCTGCACCCCTGTCTTACACCAGAGTCTGTTGATATCCTTCATCCCTGTCTTACACCAAAGACCGTTGATATCCTACACCCCTGTCATACACCAGAGACTGTTGATATGAGACTGTTGATATCCTACAAGCCTGTCTTACACCAGAGACTGTATCCTACATCCCTGTCTTACTCCAGAGATTGTTGATATCCTACAACCCTGTCTTAACCAGAGACTGTTGATATCCTATTATGAATTCAATAAAAGATTTTTGACACTAATTATTCATTAGCAACTTATATAGAATCCCCTGTTTTTAGTAAAGCGTTTTGTTCACCCTTAAACGAAGGCCTGTTTTCACATTACCTCATGTCCCAAATGAGGCAATGAACCTTGCCAATGATATGTTTAGCTATAACTGTTATCCGATTATACTTACCCCATTCTTTTTGTTATAATACCCCTCTCTTACACCAGAGACTGTTGATATCATATACCCCTGTCTTACACCAAAGACTGCTGATATCCTACACCCCTGTCTAACACCAGAGACTGTTGATATCTTACAACCCTGTCTTACACCAGATACTGTTGATATCCTACACCCCCGTCTTACACCAGAGACTGTTGGTATCCTATACCCCTGTCTTACACGAAAGACTGTAGATATCCTACAACCCTGTCTGACACCAGAGACTGTTGATATCCTTCATCCCTGTCTTACACCAAAGACTGCTGATATCCTACACCCCTGTCTCACACCAGAGACTGTGGATATCCTACACCCCTGTCTTCCACCAGAGACTGTTGATATCCCACAACCCTGTCTTACACCAGAGCTTGTTGATATCCTACATCCCTGTCTTATACCAGAGACTGTTGATATCCTTCATCACTGTCTTACACCAAAGACTGTTGATATCCTGCACCCCTGTCTTACACCAGAGTCTGTTGATATCCTTCATCCCTGTCTTACACCAGAGCCTGTTGATATCCTACATCTCTGTCTCACACCAGAGACTGTTAATATCCTACATCTCTGTCTTACACCAGAGACTTTTGATATCCTACATCCCTGTCTTACTCCAGAGATTGTTGATATCCTACAACCCTGGCTTACACCAGAGACTGTTGATATAATATACCTCCGTCTTACACCAGAGACTGTTGGTATCCTACATCCCTGTCTTACGCCAGAGACTGTTGACATCCTACACCTCGGTCTTACACCAGAGACTGTTGGTATCCTATACCCCTGTCTTACACCACAGACTGTTGATATCCTACACCCCCGTCTTACACCAGAGACTGTTGGTATCCTACATCCCTGTCTTACTCCAGAGATTGTTGATATCCTACACCCCTGCCTTACACCAGAGACTGTTGATATCATACACCCCTGTCTTATACCAGAGACTGTTGACAGCCTACACCTCTGTCTTACACCAGAGACTTTTTATATCCTACACCCCTGTCTTATACCAGAGACTTTTGACATCCTACACCTCTGTCCAATGATATATTTAGCTATAACTGTTATCCGATTATACTTACCCCATTCTTTTTGTTATAATACCCCTGTCATACACCAGAGACTGTTGATATGAGACTGTTGATATCCTACAACCCTGTCTCACACCAGAGACCGTTGATATCCTACACCCCTGTCTTACACCAGAGACTGTTGATATAATATACCTCTGTCTTACACCAGAGACTGTTGATATCCTACAACCCTGTCTCACACCAGAGACTGTTGATATCCTACACCCCTGTCTTACACCAGAGACTGTTGATATAATATACCTCTGTCTTACCCCAGAGACTGTTGATATCCTACAACCCTGTCTTACACCAGAGACTGTTGACATCATACAACCCTGTCTTACACCAGAGATTGTTGCTATCCTACATCCCTGCCTTACACCAGAGACTGTTGATATCCTACACCCCTGTCTTACACCAGAGACTGTTGACATCCTACACCCCTGTCTCACACCAGAGACTGTTGATATCCTACAACCCTGTCTTACACCAGAGACTGTTGATATCATATAACCCTGTCTTACACCAGAGACTGTTGATATCCTACACCCCTGTCTTACACCAAAGACTGTTGATATCCTACACCCCTGTCTTACACCACAGACTGTTGATATCCTACAACCCTGTCTTACACCACAGACTGTTGATATCCTACAACCCTGTCTTACACCACAGACTGTTGATATCCTACAACCCTGTCTTACACCAGAGCCTGTTGATATCCTATACCCCTGTCTTACACCAGAGACTGTTGATATCCCACACCCCTGTCTTACACCAGAGACTGTTGATATCCCACATCCCTGTCTTACACCAGAGACTGTTGATATCCTACATCTCTGTCTTACACCAGAGACTGTTGACATCCTACACCCCTGTCTTACACCAAGGACTGTTGACATCCTACACCCCTGTCTTACACCAAGGACTGTTGACATCCTACACCCCTGTCTTACACCAGTGACTGTTGATATACTACAACCCTGTCTTACACCAGAGACTGTTGATATCCTTCATCCCTGTCTTACACCAAAGACTGTTGATATCCTACACCCATGTCTTACACCAGAGACTGTTGACATCCTTCACCCCTGTCTTACACCAAAGACTGTTGATATCCTACACCCATGTCTTACACCGGAGACTGTTGATATAATATACCCCTGTCTTACACCAGAGACTGTTAATATCCTACAACCCTGTCTTATACCAGAGACTGTTGACATCCTACACCTCTGTCTTACACCAGAGACTGATAATATCCTACAACCCTGTCTTATACCAGAGACTGTTGATATCCTATACCCCTGTCTTACGCCAGAGACTGTTGATATCCTACACCCCTGTCTTATTCCAGAGACTGTTGATATCCTACACCCCTGTCTTACCCCAGAGACTGTTGACATCCTACACCCCTGTCTCACACCAGAGACTGTTGATATCCTACAACCCTGTCTTACACCACAGACTGTTGATATCCTACAACCCTGTCTTATACCAGAGACTGTTGATATCCTATACCCCTGTCTTACACCAGAGACTGTTGATATCTTACATCCCTGTCTTACACCAGAGACTGTTGATATCATATAACCCTGTCTTACGCCAGAGACTGTTGATATCCTACACCCCTGTCTTATTCCAGAGACTGTTGATATCCTACACCCCTGTCTTATTCCAGAGAATGTTGATATCCTACACCCCTGTCTTGATATCCTACATCCCTGTCTTACACCAGAGACTGTTGACATCCTACACCCCTGTCTTACACCAAGGACTGTTGACATCCTACACCCCTGTCTTACACCAGTGACTGTTGATATACTACAACCCTGTCTTACACCAGAGACTGTTAATATCCTACAACCCTGTCTTACACCAGAGACTGTTGATATCATATAACCCTGTCTTACACCAGAGACTGTTGATATCCTACACCCCTGTCTTATTCCAGAGAATGTTGATATCCTACACCCCTGTCTTACACCAGAGACTGTTGACATCCTACACCCCTGTCTTACACCAGAGACTGTTGACATCCTTCACCCCTGTCTTACACCAGAGACTGTTGACATCCTACACCCCTGTCTTACACCAGAGACTGTTGATATCCTACACCCCTGTCTTATTCCAGAGAATGTTGATATCCTACACCCCTGTCTTACACCAGAGATTGTTGATATACTACAACCCTGTCTTACACCAGAGATCGTTGATATCCTACAACCCTGTCTTACACCAGAGACTGTTGATATAATATACCCCTGTCTTACACCAGAGACTGTTGATATCCCACACCCCTGTCTTACACCAGAGACTGTTGATATCCTAAACCCCTGTCTTACACCAGAGACTGTTGATATCCTATACCCCTGTCTTACACCAGAGACTGTTGATATCCCACATCCCTGTCTTACACCAGAGACTGTTGATATCCTATACCCCTGTCTTACACCAGAGACTGTTGATATCCTACACCACCCCTGTCTTACACCAGAGACTGTTGATATCATATACCCCTGTCTTACACCAAAGACTGTTGATATCATACACCCCTGTCTTATACCAGAGACTGTTGATATCCTATACCCCTGTCTTACACCAGAGACTGTTGATATCCTACATCCCTGTCTTACATCAGAGACTGTTGATATCCTACATCCCTGTCTTATACCAGAGACTGTTGATATCCTATACCCCTGTCTTACACCAGAGACTGTTGATATAATATACCCCTGTCTTACACCAGAGACTGTTGATATCTTACATCACTGTCTTACACCAGAGACTGTTGATATCCTACCCCCCTGTCTTACACCAAAGACTGTTGATATCATACACCCCTGTCTTACACCAAAGACTGTTGATATAATACACCCCTGTCTTATACCAGAGACTGTTGATGTCCTATACCCCTGTCTTACACCAGAGACTGTTGATATCATATACCCCTGTGTTACACCAAAGACTGTTGATATCATACACCCCTGTCTTACACCAGAGACTGTTGATATCCTACATCCCTGCCTTGCAAGAGGTGATCTCCCAGTAAAATCTTTTGAGATTTCAGGGGGTGACAGTTATAGAAGGAGAGAAGCATGTTTTCTTACTTACCCAACATGTGTGAACTGATGTCCACTCCGACCCAGAAATGACCCTGCTCCGTCAACGTCTCTCCACTCAAGCCAGAGCCGCACCTACATGTAACAATCCTCACATTACAAATTCAATTTTCTTGAATTGCACAGATATTTCATCCATTCTCCACTGGAATCTGGCAAGTTATTTTTTTTCATGAAAATATAGAATATTTTACAGATAATGTCATTTAAGTATTCCTGTCCCATTACATTGTGGTTTTTCCTATAAACAGTAGCCTAGCTTCCCTTATCTTCCATTTAGATATAACTGTAGCACAGTTGGGCCTAGACACTTCCGTTGACCAGGAAGCTCAATTGGTTAGAGCAATGGTACTACAATCTGAAGTTGAGAGTAAAAATACCAGTCTTTCCCCACTGATTATTTTTACATTCAGAACACTGTTGTTGATTATATTTTGTTTATTTCATCGGAAATAATCAAAACAGCAACAAACTTACAAAATGAAACATGGCTGATTCTTGTAGCTATATGGTAATGTAATGGTATAGCTCTCTGGTAGTTTGATCTGTATCCTTTATAAAACAAATAATGAAAACTTACCCTACATCTAAAATGAAACATGGCTGATCCTCCGGTAACCGAAGTAACTCTAAAGCTCTTTCTGATAGTTGACTCTGAATTTCTATCATACGAGTACTGAAAAAAACAATAAAGTAATGATATTTGTGTCTTTTTGTACACAACAGCCAAATACTGCTGTCTCAAGAAAAAAAGATGACTATCTTCCCAATTTCAACAAAACCAAAGCTATATTTTCCCAACTTAAGGAGGAACAAGCTGTTGTAAATTGTTAAAAAAAAACATTTTAAGGTGAATGTGACTTAACCAACACATGACTTTAATGATATCCTGTACGATTATCAGAAATGCAGTTATTTACTCTTTAAAGTTGATCTGTTTTGTCATTGGGTCTGATTTAACTTATACTTGACTTTACTCATATAAATACTGTGACCTGAAATGAAACCCTTAAGTATCCAACATACTCCTCATGTCATTCCTTTATAGACTGGTCTATCTTAAGCTCTGCCTTTAATACTGAGACCTTAAATGATACCCTTACTATCATGTCATTAAATACTCTTATGTCAGTCCTTTAGAGACTGGTCTGTCTTTAGCCCAGATTCCTTCCTTTATATAGAACTTGCTTTTCTGGTCCCAATGATGCACCATAACAAGTTTGGTTGAAATCAGATAAGTCATTCAATAGGGATGTAGCAGAACTAGACTGGGATAATGGTTGGTCGAAAAACATCCATCTAGAGTTTGGAGGGTCCCAGGTTTTAAGCCCCCGTCTGGACGTGCATTTTCCCACTCCTACATAACATTTGGCGCCCAAGGAAATATATTCACAGAAGGTGGTATAGGGTCTCGAAAGGTTTTAAAGGAAAAGGTTGATGGATACTGTGTCCTCTGGACCAGATGAACTATAAATATACATATGTGAGTATCCAATTTTTACTATTATGTGACTGAGTGCTGAGATAAGGTGAGGAAGACAGGTTTGATGGCCAGGCTTGAGAAACAAAACATCATTGAAAAAGGACACTTCACTCTTTAACATTTCAATGTAAAACCTATGTTAACGCAACTTACTTTGATGTGTATTTCCTAGCCTCTTCTTCACCATAGAACTGAATTTACAGAAAATAGTCACATGTGCATGAAACATTAAATCATGATTTTAATTAAATACATGTCATGTAATTGCCAAGTACAAAGATAACAATCACAAGAATATGTATACAATAGCGTGCAAATTTTTTTTGTCTTTTCCTTAAAATGAGCAAACCTCAGGACACTTTCACCATAACATAAATTGGTTTGGTTTGTTCACAGGGTTCATTACAAATGTCTGAAACACACTGTTACAGTTAGCGTTTGTGTGCTGTGACACAAATCAGTATATAGTATTTGTTGTAACGAACACCTGTAGCTGCATCGACAAAGTAGACCACAGGTACTAGCCCCGTCTGTCAATACACCCTATATATAGGTGTATGGACAGAGGAGGCTAGTACCTGTTGTCAGTCTGCGAGAGGACTGTATCCGAGATACGCTCAGGAATGCTGACTTACGATTTCAGGAGGGGCCTGTCGTTCGGGCCTTCCAGAAGAAGAGTGAGCCATTAGATAGGTTTATCTAAAAATCGTATCTAGGAGAGCGGAAAATATAACCAATAATCAGTTAATGTCGCTTTCATATGACATGTTTTTGTTGACACACGTGTGCGAAAGAACCGGAAGTAGACGAAATCTCTATCAATAAAGTGCTTTGTAGATCGGTATACCTAAACACTTCATAAGACGCAGCGATATGACCATATTTCCTACTAGCAAGTAGATACAAGTAAGTCAACTGATAGCGGTTAAAGTACTTTTTTCCACATTAACTATTGGTGTAAGTCCATGAAGAGACGAAATTGTCTATACATTATTAAAACACACACTCGAAACAAAAAAAGTTATATTTTTCTTTAAAAACATAATTTTTCCACATGGGGGGAGTCAGTCTGGCGCAAGTTCCCAGCAGGTATTCTCTCAATTATTTGAATTCTAAAAGACAGAGGGTTACTTTTTGGGCGAGTTAAATAGAGTGATGTCCTCTCTTCTTGCTAGATAAAAGTATGCACTATTACAGCTTCACATGATGATATACTAAAGGTTGTAGGCCCGGCAACACACGAAGTGTCGTGACAGTGCACAAATGGCCTACTGAGACGCTTTTCTACAAGTATCAGTACAATTTTTTCGCTCAGTTTCGCTCAGATGACATCAATGGTAAGCCGGGGCTTGTATAGATGTATCTTCTTCTCTACTTAATAGTATAACGTACTTTCGCGTACTATTGACTTCTGGTTGCTATTTACAAATGTTATTTCATTAACGCGTAGTAAGTTTGATATGGAGTTACGTAACTCCCAGTAAAGTTCCTCTCCTATATAGTTAAAAGTATGGTTAAAATAACTGTTCATATCAGAATGTCACACAGTGTCTAATAAAAAGATGGTTTGAACTTGGCTGGGTGTTGCTTCCAGTGGTTGTTGAGACGAGTCTTAAAGGTGCTTAGGGTTGGGGAATTTACTACCTCGTCTGTTAAAGAGTTCCACAGATTCACCACTCTATTGCTGAAGAATTGATCATATTTGTACAGTCTAAATGGTCTTTTGTAGAGTTTCCTGGAGTGCCCCCTGGTCAAAGTTCTCCCTGTTTCCGTGAATAGTTTTTCTTTGTCTAGGACATCGATGTTATTTAGAATTTTGTATGTTTGAATTAGGTCGGCACGTTCCCTTCTATATTCCAAGGTCGGTAATCCAAGTAGCCTAAGTCGCTCCTCATAGGGTAGATTTTTAAAAGTTGGTACCCTTTTGGTTGCACGTCTTTGGACATTTTCAATGATGGTTTTGTCACGAATAAGTATTGGTGACGAGACTGGCGTTGCATATTCCAGATGAGGCCGAATAATGGTCTTGTATAAGGTTAGGAACATTTCCGGGCTCATATACGTAAAGGTCCTAAAAACTATGCCAAGCATCCTGTTTGATTTTGCTGCTGCTGAGTTTGCATTGGTACTGAATTTTAGTTGGTTGTCTATGTGAACACCTAGGTCCTTCTCGGATTCCACTCTTGTTATCGTTGTCTCGGTTCCATCTTTGGTTAGTCTGTATTCGTGGTCTCCTTGACTTCGTCCTATTTCCAGGTGCTTACATTTTGTTGTGTTCAGTTGCATTAGCCAAGTTTGGGTCCACTCACACATGCTGGTAATGTTGTCTTGTAGATTATGCCGGTCCTCTAGTGATGATATTTTCGCTGAAAGTTTAGTGTCGTCTGCGAATAGTTTTATTGTGCAGTTTAACATATCAGGCATGTCGTTGACGTAGATTAGAAACAGTATCGGTCCAAGAACACTTCCTTGTGGTACCCCACTTGTGACAGACTTTATGTTAGAAGTAGTCCCGCTTATTGTTACTCGTTGTACCATGTTATCCAGAAAAGCACTTATCCAACTAAGAATTTTGCCCCCTATTCCATACTGTTCAAGCTTGTGTAGAAGAAAGCGATGAGAAATTTTGTCGAAAGCTTTACTGAAGTCTAAATAGATTACATCTATGTTGTATCCAGCTTCCAGTCTACTATACCAGTCTTCCAAGGATTCGAGTAGCTGTGTGGAGCACGATTTCCCTGGCCTAAATCCATGTTGATGCGGCGTGAATAGATTGTTTGTATTCATGTGGGTGAAGATTTCGTCCCTTATGAGCCGTTGCATAATTTTTGATGGTACAGACGTTAAGCTGATAGGTCTGTAATTGCCGGGGTCCTTTTTCGATCCCTTCTCATTTTTTTTTACAATGACTTCGAACGACGGGTTAGTTTGGTTTAATTTTGTTTAACGTCCTATTAACAGCTAAGGTCATTTAAGGACGTGTCTCTATGCGTGCTTGCGTGTGTGTATGCAGGAGACAGGGTATGTTGGTGTGCTTGCCTCCTTGTGATAGCGTGGATCTGATGCCGACTTTATAGTGCTATCTCACTGAAATGTATCATACCGAAGAAACCCAGCACAGCATTCCACACGGTCACATTGAACTGGCAGTGGGTGAACCAGTTGTTGCCATTCCCCTTTAATGCCGAACGTCGAGTTACGGGTATCATATGAATTATTTTCTGGGTTGTTTCATCTTCGGTGGCCAAGGGTTCGCTTCGTATACACTCCACTTATTGGTCTCATTTCCAATTCACCTTCTCACAAAACTTGCATAAAAAGTGTAATTTGTCAATTGTTCCGCTGAACTTGAAACAAAACTCGAAAATATATGGGAGTACAAGATACAAGAATTTAAAAAACATATTGAAAAAATAATAATGAAGTTGGTCAGGAAAGAACCTCTCAAAGACTACCTGACAGATTGCTAAGATACTGACTGGTCTATAGTTTTCCATAATCAAAGAAACATTCTTCTATAAAAAAAAAGAATAACCATGGGCTGCTTTAACCGCCATCGAGGACATTTCCTTTGTGATATATAAAAAAAAACAGTTTGTGAGAGGAAGGGATATAAAGACTCGGTTTAATAATCCATGCCGATATGCCTCCTACACCAGTTGTGTTTTTCACTATCAAATACCTTTTTTTCAAGTGTAAGCAGTCCGAACAGCCTTTATTAGAAAGGAAGGGATTAGCTAAGGACCACCACTACAGTAGCTGTTAAAGACATACGTTATGTTTTAGACTGCCTTACGAAGTTTGCTGTTAAAAAGGACGAGTTGGAGGGGAGTGTTTAATTGTTTCTGGAATTTGTTCTTTGATAGGAAGATGTCAATCACCTCCCTCACTGTGTACTCATGTGCACAATATATTTGCAGCATGGAAAGGTACAATAGATATGTGTGTCAGGGTTAAAATCTTAAGAGTGTATATAGTAAGTTTTAATTCTAAGTGTTGTATTATTGTATTAGCATCAATTAGCATCATCATCAGCACATCATTTTACAAACTACATGTTGATAGAGAAGAAAACTACTCCTGTAAGTTTCTATTTTTTCTTCTCTATCAACATGTAGTTTGTAAAATGATGTGCTGATGATGATGCTAATTGATGCTAATACAATAATACAACACTTAGAATTAAAACTTATTATATACACTATTAAGATTTTAACCCTGCCACATTAATGTTCCTCTTTCAAACTGCCTGAATTTCACCTTGCGACTAGGCAACTTGGGGACCGCGCCTTTTATAATTATACCAACAAAATTATGCCAGACGCTGATACCATAGTGGAAAAATGGCATAATAAAATAAGGTGGATTGATTGGTTAGTTAAACATCCAAAATTGATGGATCGCAACTTTTACAAAACATGTAAGTGGGTTTAGTTTGCTACAGAAGTGAAAGATGTCACTTTAATCCGATAGAGATTTGCCATTAGTTAAATGGTCAAGGTCACAGTTTAGGTCACCAGGCGTCAAAATTATTGAATTTGGTGGAAATGATATGAAGACCTATGGTAGCGTTGTCTACAAACGTGTAATCGCCGAGACTAGGCGGGTAATAGGCGCCCATAATTGCCTAGCAAACATATATATGGTTATGGGATGGGGATCTCAACCGTTTCAAAGCTATTAATCAAGAGTTAAGTCCCTATGGGTGAGGACAGACCTCAAGGTCAATTATAATATCATGACTGTGTTCGAAAATTGTTTCAAAATTATGACTCAGAATTTAAGCCCCAAGAGGTGGGGTCAGACCCCAGAGTCCATTATTAGATTATGTCAGTTGTGTTTGTCTCCTGATGCTCATTAATTGCATGCATGGTAATAGGATGGTGATTTCGAGAGTCCAAGTTGCCGCCCCTCAGATCCGGGGGTCAGCTCTTTAACTACTTTAGTTTTGAAACCTCAAACACCGAAGAATGCTCCAGACCCGATATGGTTGATATCCAGAGAATTTCAGAGAAGAAGTCGCCTAAAACAATATGGCAAAACTACCCCTTTCATTTTTAGGAAATTGTTGACAACCAATGGACGCCACGTCACACCATAAGTTCACCTTGGTCCTTGACCCGTATTCATGACGTGAAACTGTTCTCATGCTCAGACTGAAATTATGTGCTCAAGCCCAGTTTCTTCTTTCAGTGATTTATTTATTTTAAAAAGCAATTTGTCGATGATTTTTGCAGAGATTTCAAGCCAAATGCAATTTTAAATTTTAAACCTGACTATTTTTACTGTGTCATATGATTTTAGCGAATTACAGGAAAGTTGGTTTATCTGTTCTGGGCCCATATTCTGGATAAGTTGTCCTCAAACAAACCTTAACTCCCTTAATCAAAACGATCAAAACGTCAAATGTAAACAATGAAAACAGTTTTCGGTTTTAAGTCTCTTCATTGTTTTTTCGAATCATTAACAAAATTAGATTTGTTTATTAATTTAAAACGGGAACAAGAAATTTGGCATGAGCACAAAATCCATGCCAAGTTGAGTATGAGAACGGTTTTGTGAATGCGGGCCCTGGTGAGCTAAAAATTGCGCGTGCAAGACCTGCAACTGTTTAGGTCTAGATCTATTAGGGATAAATTGCGCAACATGTAGAAATATTTTTCTGTACTTAATCTCACAAACATTCCCAAAATTCACCATAAAATGTTACACTTCTGGCATAAACTGTTCACTGATTTGAAGCCGCGTAAGATAACGTTATTGCAAAATTCAAGAAGTGATCCGATTTGAGTCTACTGACTTTGCTATACCGGAAACACTAATTGACGGTGACGTTCGAAGTGTTCTGTTAGGCTTATAAATATATTGCGTGAACACTGGGTGTTGATTTTGTTGGTAAAAACACCAGTCGATACAATCTCTACCCAGAGTTTTCGTTCTTTTTCAGGACCGTAACTCTGCGTGGAGATTGCAGACGATATTCTTCTTTTGATACAACCATCAACTCAACTTATAATTCAGTCTCTGAATTTTCAATGAATGATCCATTTTGGGTACTGTCAGCAATTTCAACAAATGTCATGCTGTCAAGAACAACTTAAATTAAAACTAGCCGAACGTTTTCTACTTGAAGGAGAAATATTTATTGGTTTCAAGAGTTTCAATGAAACTGTTTTTAAAAGTTTTGTAGAGATCTCTTGATGTTTCAATTTTTGATGTTCTTTCTATTTTTGACAGTGTTTAGTATCACGTAAATTAAGCGCCTGAATGACACTGATTATCAGAACTGGAACTTGAAATAGACCTACAAGGTGAAACTCTGGTTAAGGACTCATGACCTCTCTATTTACACATGTTTGGTCTCAAGTTCCACAAAAAAGTCAGTCGTAAAGCTAGTGTAATAATGAACTATGCAAGAAGTTTAGTGAAGACAACATGACATTTAATGAAGACAACATTACAACTCCTTGTCAATGTCAGGAAAACTGGACGGACCAAATAATGTTAAGTTATTTTATAAGACATTTAAAAGGGCAGGCATGTTTGTGTGTCAAGCAGTCATTCCCTAATGCATATCGCCCATCAATTATCGGTACTGGACACAATGTCACACAGAGAAGAAATAGATCAGGTACACATAAAAAATTCAAACATGAAAAGAAGGACCTTTATGAAATCTTGGAATTGTCGCAAAAGGCAACAAGCGTGCAGATCAAAGGATCATACTTTAGATTGTCAAAGAAGTACCATCCGGACATCAACAAAAGTAAAGATGCTGCTGTGAAATTTGCAGAAATTGCAGACGCTTATGAAATACTAGGGAAAACACATTCAAGAAATATGTATGATAAAGGATTGATTGAGGAAGACGACCTGAGAAACACTGGACATCCAGATGGTTGGAAGGCATACAGAAAGGGCTTCAAAAAGTATGATGGGCCTCCTATGCGTGGTAGAACAACTATCTACGATTTTGATGCATGGACAAGGTTAGTACTCAGTATTAGTAGTGTAACAGTTCACGTCTTTAGTCCTCCACCGTTGTCCTTCCGGTTTCTAGCGTAAAGTGACGTACGTTTTCTATCCTTGGAGTCTGTAGCATGACAAAATATATACGCAACACTAAACTGATCGTTTCCAACATTTATTAGCATAGGCAATATTGCCAACAACGTTTAGGAATAGTGCGACCTATTATGTGGGTACCCAATACCATTCTGCGCCGGCGTTAACGTCAAAATACTCGGTGACTTTCACTCGGTGCCGTGAGGAAGATCCAACCAGAGGCTCTGGTGTTCCCAAACGCCCTTGCGGCGTACCTGGCGACAACCCGTGCCCACCTGCCGACGTCAACCCTCTGCCGTTCTGGTCCGGTGGTTTTCCTCACGTCACAGAGTGTTTAGCTCTATTGTCTCGCTCACCTTAATATGACTTGCTGGTCACTGGTCTGCTCTCCGAGAGAGTGAGACCGGCCGACGGCCAGCGGTATATATACGCATGAATGAACCCACATAATAAGACGCAATCCTTTACACGTTACAATACAGGTAACACACATTTGGTACAAATACAGGTAAAAACTAACATACATTACAGTAGTGTTCAGTTGTACTGTACAATATGTAGCAGTAAACATGGGTATAGCCAATTATTGTAAAACACCCACCAAAACACCTCAGAGTGCCATTATTAAAAATTATTTTCAGATCATTGTTAAATTTTCAATTGTAAAAAGTCTAATTATAATTGTAAGAGATGTGCATTGATTAGGTTGCCTTCCAAGCGTTAGCTGTAGGGAATTTCCCTTTAGCTCAGTGGTAGAGCATCGGACTGGAGAGCCAAGGGTTGTGGGTTCGAGCCCCAGCGACGACAGTATCTTTATTACTATTCCCCATCCTACTACAAACTGGTACTGTTGACCTTCCCCGTTCAAGGTAGGAGAACCCTTGGCGGGGAGTCAAAGAACCTAGGTTGGTGTTTGAAAAAGGGGTGGAATAGTCTAAAAGATCTGCAATGATTAGGTTGCCTTACAACCATGACCTAGGGAATTTCCCTTTAGCTCAACGGTAGAATATTGGGCTGAAGAGCCAAGGGTCCCTGGTTTGTGCCCCACCGGAGACACTTTCTTTTGATGAATCTTAATCGCTCCCTTGGGTCCGATCATTGCACACCCTGGGGATGAGTCCCAGCCAGGTTAGGGTTAGCTCCTCCTCATCAGAATGTTCTGATCATACAAGAAGTTTCAACAAGCCTCCTAAATCATGGTATTGTCATCCAAAATTTCCAACCCCTGATAATTCATTTATTCGTAAAAAAACTCCAGTTAAACATTAGAATTCAGGTATGAACGTTGGATTTATTATGCCCATGTGACGAGTGGTTGAGGATATACATATAGGGATCTTCCTGTATGATTGAACGTACTTGTCCCAAACGGTGTCACCGTTCTATAGACTTCATTTCTTTATCAGATTGTCACAGAACTTCACACAGTGGTCAAAAATCATGTCTTGTTCTAGTTCGTGTTTCAATCTTCTCATCTGTGGTCGAAAACTAGGTCACTGAATAGAATTTTGGACATCATCGCTCTACGGACTTCATTTCTTTTCCAATTGTCAGCAAATTTCGCACTCATGTTCACAAATATCACCTTTCCTGCAGGTCAAATCTAGGTCACTGTTACTATAAATAGAGTTCGATATAAATTGCTCTGCAGACCCCATTTCCTTTCTGGTCATCACTTAACTTCACACACTTGTTCACAAACATTACCTTTTGTATGTTGTTGCATTTTGACCTTTGCTGTCTAAGATTAGGTCACTTTTACTATAAATAAAGTTGGAGAGACATTGCTCCATTACACTTCATTTTTTTCCAATTATCACAAAACGTTCACACAGCAAGTTCATAAGCATCACCTCTAAGGTTCTTATCAATTTGAGTTCATGTTTCGACCTTCTGGTAAAAACTAGGTCACAATTACTATAAATAGAATTTAATGGACACTACAGATTTCATTACTTATCCAATTGACACAACACTTCACACCTGTCCTTTAACATTACTTCTTATTTGGTTTGTTTTTTCGACCTTCTGTGATTAAAAACTAGGTCATGGTTACAATTAATAGAATCTGAAAGAAATTGCTCTACATGCAGGCCCAATTATCACAAAACTGAAGTTTAAACACATGTTCACACACATCATCTTTTGTATGAGTTAACATTTCACAAGGACATGTGTATCATCTGCAACGCCATGTTGAACATGTAATTTAGTCATTAAGATGGTACATACAGACATTAAGATGGTACATACAGACATTAAGATGGTACATACAGACATTAAGATGGTACATACAGACAATAAGATGATACATACAGACATTAAGATGGTACATAGTACATACAGATGTTTACAAACAGGGCGTTAAACAGCATGGTTGTCTAGGGGGCTTGATGAACCTAAGTAGTGGCATGGTTGTCTAGGGGGCTTGTTGAACCTTTGTAGGGTCATGGTTGTCTAGGGGGCTTGTTTAACCTTAGTAGTGTCATGGTTGTCTTGGGGGTTTGTTGTACCTTAGCAGTGTCATGGTTGTCTAGAGGGCTTGTTGAACCTTAGTAGTGTCATGGGTGTCTAGGGGGCTTGTTGAACCTTAGGAGTGGCATGGTTGTCTAGGGGGCTTGTTGCACCTTAGTAGTGTAATGGATGTCTAGGGGGCTTGTTGAACCTTAGTAGGGTCATGGTTGTCTGGGGGGCTTGTTGAACATTAGTAGTGTCATGGTTGTCTAGGGGTCTTGTTGAATCTTTGTAGTGTCCTGGTTGTCGTCTGTCCACTGTTAGGGGCCTCGTTGAACCTTAGTAGTGTCATGGGTGTCTTGGGGGGTTGTTGTACCTTAGTAGTGTCATGGTTGTCGTCTGTTCTCTGTTAGGGGGCTCGTTGAACCTTTGTAGTGTCATGGTTCTCTAGGGTTCTTGTTGAATCTTTTTAGTGTCATGGTTGTCATCTGTCCACTGTTATGGGCTTGTTGAACCTTTGTAGTGTTATGGTTGTCTAGGGTTCTTGTTGAATCTTTGTAGCGTCATGGTTGTCATCTGTCCACTGTTATGGGCTTGTTGAACCTTTGTAGTGCCATGGTTGTCTAGGGTTCTTGTTTAATCTTTGTAGTGTCATGGTTGTCGTCTGTTCTCTGTTAGGGGGCTCGTTGAACCTTAGTAGTGTCGTGGTTGTCTAGGGGGCTTGTTGAACGTTTGTAGTGTCATGGTTGTCTAGAGGGCTTGTTGAACCTTAGTAGTGTCATCGTTGTCGTCTGTCCACTGTTAGGGGCCTCGTTGAACCTTAGTAGTGTCATGGGTGTCTTGGGGGTTTGTTGTACCTTAGCAGTGTCATGGTTGTCTAGAGGGCTTGTTGAACCTTAGTAGTGTCATTGTTGTCTAGGGGGCTTGTTGAACCTTAGTAGTGTCATGGGTGTCTAGGGGGCTTGTTGAACCTTTGTTGTGTCATGGTTGTCTAGGGTTCTCGTTGAATCTTTGTAGTGTCATGGGTGTCGTCTGTCCACTGTTAGGGGCCTCGTTGAACCTTAGTAGTGTCATGGTTGATGTCTGTCCACTGTTAGGGGGCTCGTTGAACCTTAGTAGTGCCATGGTTGACTAGGGGGCTTGTTGAACCTTTGGAGTGTCATGGTTGTCTAGGGGGTTTGTTGAACCTTTGTAGTGTCATGGCTGTCTAGGGTTCTTGTTGAATCTTTGTATTGTCATGGTTGTCATCTGTCCACTGTTATGGGCTTGTTGAACCTTTGTGGTGTCATGGTTGTCTAGGGGCCTTGTTGAACCTTTGTAGTGTCATGGTTGTCGTCTGTTCTCTGTTAGGGGGCTCGTTGAACCTTAGTAGTGCCATGGTTGACTAGGGGGCTTGTTGAACCTTTGTTGTGTCATGGTTGTCTAGGGTTCTTATTGAATCTTTGTAGTGTCATGGTTGTCGTCTGTTCTCTGTTAGGGGGCTCGTTGAACCTTAGTAGTGCCATGGTTGACTAGGGGGCTTGTTGAACCTTTGGAGTGAAATGGTTGTCTTGGGGGCTTGTTGAACCTTAGTAGTGTCATGGATGTCTAGGGGGCTTGTTGAACCTTTGTAGGGTCATGGTTGTCTAGGGGGCTTGTTGAACCTTAGTAGTGTCATGGTTGTCTTGGGGGTTTGTTGTACCTTAGTAGTGTCATGGTTGTCTAGAGGGCTAGAGAGATGATTATGGCCATTCCAAACAACTCAAATCATAGTAAAATTGCCAGTAACTTATTTTAGCAGATTGTGATCCTGAAAATGAGGGCTTAGTGACCTGGATTAATAAATGGACTTTACATAATGTGTCGTTTGATACATTTCTTTGGTGATAAAAATGAACTAGACATGTTAAAAACATTGTAAAATGAAAAGCACTGAAATGTTCATATCATGTCTAGCTTTCATATAACAAAAGCTAAACATAGATAAAAGACATTTTATGTTTGGTTAATTTATTCATCATGATCACATGGCCTTGGTTTTATTTTTATATACTGGTAAAATATGCTACCAGAGCATTTTACTATGATATTTGTGGTTTGTTGAAGCCACAACCATCTTGGTTTGAAGCCAGTACGCTACTTGAAAGCTACTTTAAGAGAAGTTAAGCTATGCATGACATCTAGGTATATAAAACAGCCGGGGTTTGATTCCCCGATCAGACGTGAAAAGGTATGGGGTCACCCTGCCCGTCTATGTGGGTTTCCTCGGGGCACTACGGTTTCCTCCCACATTAAGAACCACCACACGCAAACATCTGGGCCAACAAGAGTGAATAATTTAAGCTAAAATAACTAGTTTGATAATTGTTGTGAAATAAATAAAGTTTTTTAGGTATATATAGACTTTAGATAAATTGTCATTTCCTAGCAGCATTCAATTTGATCGCAAAAAATTGACACATAAATTCATTGAACTATGTGTATTTTTATGAAGACATATGACTTAGTACCAAATATCTTATTGCAGATTAAATATATAAGCTGTCTTAAATATATATACCATTTTGATAACCGATTTACAAGTGCAATATATCCAAATTACATATATATATCCGAATCCCAATGTTTAACTGTGGTCTTGACTAAAATAAATCCCAATGTTTAATGGTGGTCTTGACTTATCAAGGGGTTGAAGTTTCAGTGACTGTACCATCTGTTAGGGGGCTTTTTGAACCTTAGTAGGGTCATGGTTGTCGTTTGTCCACTGTTATGGGCTTGTTGAACCTTAGTAGTGTCATGGTTGTCTAGGGGGCTTGTTGAACCTTAGTAGTGTCATGGTTGTCTAGGGGGCTTTTTGAACTTTAGTAGGGTCATGGTTGTCTAGAGGGCTTGTTGAACCTTAGTAGTGGCATGGTTGTCTAGGGGGCTTGTTGAACCTTAGTAGTGTCATGGTTGTCTAGGGGGCTTGTTGAACCTTAGTAGTGTCATGGTTGTCTAGGGGGCTTTTTGAACCTTAGTAGGGTCATGGTTATCAAGGGGGCTTGTTGAACCTTAGTAGTGTCATGGTTGTCGTCTGTCCTCTGTTAGGGGGCTTGTTGAACCTTAGTAGTGTCATGGTTGTCGTCTGTCAACTGTTAGGGGGCTCGTTGAACCTTAGTAGTGTCATGGTTGTCGTCTGTCCTCTGTTAGGGGGCTTGTTGAACCTTAGTAGTGGCATGGTTGTTGTCTGTCCACGGTTAGGGGGCTCGTTGAACCTTAGTAGTGTCATGGTTGTCGTCTGTTCACTGTTAGGGGGCTCGTTGAACCTTAGTAGTGTCATGGTTGTCGTTGGTCCATCCATCAGCCGTCCATCAACTCTAGAGATTTTTCTGAACGATTCAAGAAAAGGCCCCAAATTGTCTCAGTAAAACACAAATTTGGTTTGGTTGTTTGTGTTTTATGTCCTATTAACAGCTATGGTCATTTAAACAAAGTTTATAAATCATTTAAAAAACAATTGTAGTATCCTTTGGCTAAAGGTCTCAATGTTGTATAAATGGAGGATGTGGCCCCTCCTTGGGGTTGATGGGCTGCAGACGTCAATAAGTGGTCAATTAAGGCATGTCTTTAAAATTCTACTCATTCTTTTCAAATGAAGGGATTTTAAACAAATTCCACCTGGAGTATCCTTGCACCAAGGGGACTTGTTATATGTATGCAGGGTGTTTGCCAGGTGTTTATAGGGTCCAGTACAGGGACCCATTCCCAATTGAAAAGTGACCCCACATTTTCCCAATATCAGTCTTTATTTTCTCAATTGGATTAAAAGCATGTTTATACAAGTTTCCAGTTGTTATAATGTGCAACGTTCAAAGTATTACCTTCCATAAAGGAGCATTCAAAATAAAAAAGCACTAAAAATTGATGTGTTTGTTTATTGCTGAACATTTTATTGTAAAAATCACCTTGAGGATTTTATTTTGCTAATCGCATTGCAGGTTTTTATTTTTCTCAAACTTATGATATTTTCCCAGACCTGTACATATTAGAATACTGATGATGTTTCCCATTCTTTTATTGAGTGGAACATTAATGTTGTTTATATTGAAGATGTGACCCCCTGAGGGAAGAGGGGGCCCAATAATGGAAATAAAGGTACAAAACGAAAGTCATTTTCTTAACATTACTACTTTAGATGTATAGAATGATGGTATTTGTATTTTGCCTGTAGCTTGTATATATATGTATCAACTGTTTTGTTATGCCTTTTACCTCAATAGATCATTTAAAATTGATTTAGATAATTATAGGTAAAAATCAGGTGTGTTTATGTGCCTCTTATTTACCTTTTAACCCAGAGAATATGTAAAAAAACCCACCTGGAAATCTTTTTCAGAAATCACTATTCAGAGGTTTTTGAAAAGAGGAATACTGACAAACAGAAGTTTGAGGAATACCACCTAGAGAAACAAGAGATGGAAGAGAGGAGTCATCAGTGGTCTATGCGTCCGGGGGATCACATGGCACTCGCGCTTTTTATTACTGTATTTGTTGGCATAATGGTACTAATGAGTAAAGCTAGATCAAATTTGGCATCAGAATATTTAAACTTTGAATCAGAAGTATTTTCAAGGAAAGATCACATCAAGAAAAGAAAAGCTGACCAGATTAGACGTGGCATAAGCAAAGATTTAGAAACCAATTTAGCTACGGACTGATGTATTTCGTTATTAAATGCTGTATATACAAATGTATTTAGTTTTTATGATAAATTGTGCATTAGCCAAAGCTCTATCCTAGATCCCATGTTTTGGCAGATACATTAACATTGTAGGTAGTTGAAGGACTTTATTTCATTTTACAAACATATCACCGGTTTTAATCCTTTGAAATCATCTTTTGCTTTGATATTGGTATGTTCACTGTTTGATATAAACAGTTCCACTGTTTTTGTACACTGTTCAATATCAAGTGGGTGATAAAACAAAGCAATGATTTATCAAATCAAATTACTGTATTTTCTTCATGTTTGGTGAATTTTCATTACATTTGTTTATTAAAATTTGACTTTCCAACAACTATTTTTAAAAATTCATATGTAATATAAACAAACTATATATTATATATGTCATGGTAGTAGGTGGAAGGGATCATTTAATCTTAGGAGTGATCCTCAAACGAAGATGGCTAAGAGACATCCATCTTTAAATTTAAGCTGAAGTTTGTTGGCACTGTTTCTCATAAAGAATTGGAGATATTGTTCTTAAATTTTATAGTAAGGTGCCTCATGGTCTGTCATTATGCAGGTTTCCTTTCAAGACTGATTAGATAACCAAGATGGCTACCAGACATCAATCTTTAATATTGACAGTTCAAATTTATCAAATTTCATTGTTGATTTTCATTGGTCCCGAGTTGTGCATGCATGTTTCATTTTGAGACTGATAAGAAAAACAAATTTCCACTAGGCAGTCATCCTGGTTTTTGGCGGTTCCAGTTTGTTATCACTAGTTCCCAGAAAGTTCTAGACAGATCTCTCTCATATTTCAAAAGTTGGGACCCTTTCTTACAAATTAAATCACTGTGCCAGTAAATGCCAGAAAATAGGTCAAACGACAATATGTCTTTAAACAATAATACAGACAATAGTATAAACTTTTGTTCAAAATTACCACATGGTACATTGACTGTTCACGCAACTCAATCCTACAGCTAAAAAGATGAATCTTACTTAGAACTAATGAAGGTGGTGAGCTTTAAGATTCCTCTGTGATGATCATGTTTTTAGCTAAATAAATCCTGTTACATTTTTTATTGCATGGTGCTGCGTCCGTCAGGCGTCATTTTTTTACTTTAAACAACTTCTTCTCAGTAACCAAAAAACCTAGGGTGATGATATTTGGCCAGAAGCGCTTAGATGAAGAGCTACCAAGTTTGTTCAAATAAATGACCTTGCCTTATATTCAAGGTCACAGGGGTCAAATATGTTAAAATCTTTTAAAAAACTACTTCTGAAAAACCAAGAGGCCTAGTTTGATAATAATTGGCCAGTAAAATGCTGGGATTAAGGGCTGCCAGGAGTTTTCAAATAAATGACCTTGACTTATATTCAAGGTCACAGGGGTCAAATATGTTAAAAACATTTAAACAATTTCTTCTGAATAACCAAGAGGCCTAGGGTGATGATAGTTGGCCAGTAACATGGTGGGATGAAGGGCTACCAAGTTTGTTCAAATAAATGACATTGACCCATTTTCAAGGTCACAGGGGTCAAAATTGTTTAAAACCTTTAAACAACTTTTTCTGAATAACCGAGAGACCTAGGGTGATGCTATTCGGGCAGTTATATGCTGGGTTGAAGGGCTACCAAGTTTGTTTAAATAAATGACCTTGACTTATATTCAAGGTCACAGAGGGAAAATATGTTTTAAACATTTAAACAACTTTTAATAACCAATAGGCTTAGGGTGATGATATTTGGCTAGTAGCATGCTGGGATGAAGGGCTATAAAGTTTGTTCAAATGAATGACCTTCATCTTTTTTCAAGGTTGCAGGGTCAAATATGTTCTTAACCTTTAAATAACTTCTTCTGAATAACCAAGGGGCCCAGGATAATGCCATTAACATGCTAGGATGAAGGACTACCAAGTTCAAATGAATGACCTTGACATATATATTTTAAGGTCACAGGGGTCAAATATGTTTAAAACAATTGAATGACTTCTTCTTAATAAGCAAAAGGCCAAGGGTGATAATATTTGGCCATTAACATGCTGGGATGAAGGACTACCAAGTGAATGACCTTCACCCATATTTAAGGTCACAGTGGTCAATATATGTTTAAATCTTTAAATGATTTGTTCTGTATAACCAAAAGGTCCAGGGTAATGATATTTTTCTAGAAGCATGCTGGGTTGGAAGATTATAAACTCTGTTCAACCTAATGTTATAATGTCCATGTTCGACATTCAAGGTCACAGGTGTCATATGTTTAAATCTTTTAATAGGTTCTTATGAATGAAACACTGATATTTTGCCTTTGGCTGTATTTTAGTCCACTTTTAAGATTACAAGTGTGAGATTAATACCAGGTGAGCGATGCAGGCCCATTGGGCCTCTTGTTTGTAAAATGTATGATAAAAAGTTTATAGCAAGATTATTTTGAGTCCGTGCCTGTCCCCCCACCTCATATCAGGTACTGGGTCTTGCCTGTCAGGAAGATAAAGGATGCAATATCAAAATAGCTTTTGTGTTATATATTAATTTTTAGCTCACCTGGCCTAAGGGCCAAGTAAGCTTATGTTGTGGTGCGGCGTCAGTCGTTCATCCGTCCGGCGTCAAATGTTTGCTTTAAACAACTTCTTCTGAATAAACAAGAGGCCTATGGTCATGATATTTGGCCAGTAACATGCTGGGATAAGGTTCTCCAAAGGTTGTTCAAAGGAATGACCTTTGCCCAGGTCACAGGTGTCAAATATGTCAAAATCTTTAAACAACTTCTGAATAACCAGAAGGCCAAGGATGATGATATTTAGCCAATTACATGCTGGGAAGACGGGCAGCCAAGTTTGTTCAAATCAATAACCTTGACTTTTATTCAAGGTCACAGGGGTCAGATATGTTTGAAAAATTTAAATGACTTCATTTGAATAGCCTAAAGGCCAAGGATGTTGATATTTGATATGTAACATTCTGGGACGACGGGCAACCAAGTTTGTTCAAATGAATGACCTTGACTTATATTCACAGGGGTCAGATCATCCTTCGATATCCAGGGGTAATGCTCACTTTCGCTCTCTGCAACCCTGGAATATGTTATAACAAAATCTTAGGCACAGTGTGTACTGCCTTGTGGATGAGACAAGAAGGCTAGTTTGATCCTTTGATGTACATCAAAAGAATCTCGTGGTCGGTCATGTAAGGGTAAAAATTGACAGGCTTTGAAGTCTATTGTCTCTCCTTTGTAATCTTCAAAGCACAGGTATCAGCCTAGTGATTGGTCAGGTTTTTTTACCTGAAACCAATCAAACATCTTTCTTCGTGCCTTCAATTCTGCTATGACATATTCCAGGGGTGCAGAGAGCGAAAGTGAGCGTAACCCCTGGATATCGAGGATGGGGTCACATATGTACAAATATTTAAAGACATCTTCTGAATACCGAAAAGGTCCAGGGTGATAATTTTTGGCCAGTAGCATGCTGGGAATGAGGGCTACCAAGTTTGTTTATGTGAATGACCTTAGCCCATATTCAAGGTCACAGGGTTTGAAATATGTCAAAAACTTCAAATCCTAAATGAAAAATGGCTAATATGATGATATTAAGCCAGTAGCATGCTGGGATGAAAGGTTTGAAAAGTTAGTTCAAAAGAATGACATTGAATCATATTCAAGGTCACAGAGGTGAAATGTGTTAAAAACATTGACACACTTTCAAGGTCATATCTGGTCAATTGTATTATAACCTTTAAAAGTCATCTTCTCAAAAAACAAAAGGTCTAAGTTGGTGATATTTGGTAAGTTGCATTCTGGGATGAAGGACTATACAATTTGTTAACTCAATGTTTGACTTTCAAGGTCACAGGGGTCAAAAGTGTTTAAATCTTTTAATACCCAGTAGGTTCTTTTGAATGAGTTTGAGTCAAGACACTGATATTTTGCCCGTAGCTTTATTTTATTCCACTTTTAAGGCTACAAGTGTGAGATTTATACCAGATGAGTGCTGCAAGCCTATTGTTAATAATTTCTATGGAGGAATTATCCTTGACTCGATGCTGAAAAGCAGGTCTAGAGAGTCTCGAGACCACACCAATAGACAGGGGTAGTTCTCTTGTTCTGCACTGCTCCCTGCATCTGACATTTTGCTCAACAAATCTAGCCCGAGTCTGTCTCCAACACCAGATTTGAGACATTGTGACAGATGTCTGGTTTGGACATCTCACTGTTATATAAGGTCTCAAGGCTAGCGTTGGAACCAGACCAAACACGGGCTAAACAGTAGTCATCAGTGTTGGACCCGCTCTCCTAAAGTTGAGTCCAAGCAGGAGATAATATTGACATGAAAGAGAACAAGAACTGAAGAAGTATTTCAACTACTGAGGGTATGTATGCCGTCCAGCAATGTATTCCTTCAACACTAAGTTTGATATAGAGACCTGTTAGAATTAACATATGGGCTACTCTGTTTCGCAAGAAGCTCAGGTCAGTATTTATAATCCTGTTCTCAAGCTTAATTCGTGTTAAACATGCTAAAACCATCTTAAACAAAATATGTTCAAGAGTTTGTTACAGGGTCAGGGTAAACATGCCCATATTTTGGGAATGGTGCCTTTAGCTCAACTTCAATCCTTATTGCAGAGAACAAACAGGACCAAAATTAAACTGCCGCGAAAAATTTCCCTGTATACACACCAGAAATACTGGTTTAAAAGGTACTGTATTTTAATGTGCCGACAGATAGAGTGTTTTAAGTGTACATGCATACTTTTGTAAAAATAAAATGAATGAATGAATGACATTAGCACTCCAGAGTTATCGCAAAAAGTGTGAAAAATTGATGTTAAAATAAAATCTGGTTTTGCTGAGAGAACAGCTACTTTACTTCACCACACTGTACACTTTGGATACTTCTGTTTGAATCTTGATTTCTGATGTTTGTACAAATAGTAATGTTAGAATCAAAATTTGTGAGGTTTGTGCTAAACTGTTTAACTCTGGGCTTTTCAAATTTTATCGTACTTTTTTAATCCATTCCTCTTATTTTTATGTATGTGTTTTTTTTGAAAGGAAAATGTGATATAGAGCAGAATGTGACATTGCTAGTTAAGGAAAAGGGTACCACTGCTTCAGTAATAACTACAGAAGAGTTCCAATCAGGCTTATTTTACTTTGAGTATTCTCCCTTATATATAAAAGATGAAACAACCAAAATGACATTTTCTCACTGTGAGCGACTTCCGCTGTCAAGTTTCTTAAATGTTTGCGGCCCATCAACAATGTTTGCGGGACATTCATTTTGATTTTTGTATAATTCCTGTATAGTCATATTGGTAAGGTATACACTTCGCTATATTTGAGTTTGACACCTGCATTTTCCTATTTTTCTGTTTTCAAACATTCAAATATTCAAATTTCGAACAACTACAACTTTGTAAAATGCTTGACAACATGTGATTTTTATGGAATACTTCCTTTGAAAATGACTTTAACCCTTTCATCGCTGTAGACCACAATGGACTTGTCCATATCAATGCATGGCAGAGTCTACTAAAGTTACATGGGGATGAAAGGGTTAAATATTTCACAATAGTGATATTGGCAATAATGTAGATTAAGCTTCTGGTTCCCTTTACCTTAAAGAAACTATTTACATGGGTATATCATATGATAAAAATAATACCCAGTTCATTCCTGTACTGTCATACAACTCAATGTATCATAATTATAAAAGTTATATATAAAGTGAACTCATTTGAAGTTTCCTGTGTGCAGTTTATGAAAGACAACTGCTGAACATAAATGTAATAGTATATATGGTTGTCACAATATTTATTGTTATTTTGTAAAATTGATATGAGATACAGGTTTTGAACTTTGATTAGTGAATCATCAAAATGTATGTGAAAATTCAACTGATTGCAAGTATTTTTAATTTAATAAATGGAATATTCTTTAATTAAAAATGGCATTATGAGTAATAAAATTCATTCATTTATATTTTTTGTTTGAGATGAAAGAATTCACAATTTGTTGGAGATAAAAGAAATCAAATACACAAGATTTGTTTTTGTCATTTAAAGTGACCTAATAAAACATGTCTGCTTGGGTTGACATAACTTAAAGTGCAGTTACATCTTCTGGTGAAGGTGTATCACACACTGGGTTAAAGTAACTATCGTTTGTTACTTCAAACATGTTTCTATGCCACAATTTCCTTGCAATTTCTAACTTTTTGGATCTAACAGCTGTATTACAGTGTAATTCAGTATTCCAGTGTAATTCAGTATTCCAGTGTAATTCAGTATTACAGTGTAATTCAGTATTACAGTGCAATTCAGTATTACAGTGTCATTCAGTGTAATTCAGTATTACAGTGCAATTCAGTATTACAGTGTAATTCAGTGTAATTCAGTATTACAGTGTTATTACAGTGTCATTCAGTGTAATTCAGTATTACAGTGTAATTCAGTATTACAGTGTAATTCAGTGTAATTCAGTATTACAGTGTAATTCAGTATTACAGTGTAATTCATTTTTAGCATACTATATGTTTTTTTTTTTTTTGTGTAAGTAGTCACATTGTCGATTTATTCATTTATTTGCATCTTGACTATGGCGCAATAGAATACAAATTAAAGTTCTTGCATCTTAAAAAATAAAACATCTTCAGAAAAGGCCACCTTTCAATATGAAAATTAATCTCACTAGACAAATTTGTTCTTAGTATTATTTAATATGACTAGCAAAACTTTATGGAAATAGACAATATATGAAAGTTGATGTCGGACTAGGGTAATAATAATAATAATATACAACATTTATATAGCGCCCTATATAATTTGTAAAATTACTCTAAAGCGCTTTACAACATATGGATAATAGTAATGGTTACAATTGTGAAAACAAAAAACAAAGGCTTACAATCACTATCATACATTTAAGCAAGCAATGTGCACATAATTGAACAAATAAAAGGGTGATTTTTACATAAGGTCTTTGCAAAGATTCTAAAATGCAGACGTGAAGAGGTGAGTTTGGATGTCCCTCTTGAACTTGGCCAGGGTATTGGACTTTCTAATTGCAGATGGTAAGCTATTCCACAACGTAGCCGAAACCCTCCCAAAGCATCTGTTTCCGTAGGTCACAGTACGAGATTTTCGGACACACAACAAAGATTCTGACCGCAGGGTTATATGCATACACTCAGCTACTTAGTATTACAATAGCATATATGCTTGCGCATACAAAATGGTATAGATATCAAACATACGCGAGAGGTATTAAAGTCGTGTCAAATTAAAAAAGCTGTCGATGTCCAAGTAAAGCACAGTCGGTGACGACTGGTGAAGAGTTATACATGTACATGTGGAATTAGTTTTTGGTTGCCACAAGGGCACCTGTCAACAACATAATGATTTAAATTTTTAAAAACTTGATATGCCGTAGGAGACGCTTCTTTGGACCAAATTATTGACAGCAAGTTGAACGCTTTAAGGAAATTAAAACACTGTTTAGGGAAAATGCCCCTTAGGTGATCACCCTGTAAGAAATTGTAAAACTGCATGGGAACAAATGGTAGACCGCTAGTTGAACGCTAATTTGAAATTTAAGCTCAAACTGTTGACCGTTGGCACACCATAGGAAAACATTGCTAAGGAAGCACATTTGATCGTTAGATTAACGCTCAATAGAAATTAAAACACTGCTTGGGAGGAACGTGTTGATCTCTTGTTGAACGCTCCACTGACACTAAAACACATTTGAACGGAAAAGTTGACCGCTATATGAACGATCGACAGGAAAATACTTTATCGGGTCGAACGTTAACTTCTAGTTGAACGCCCTAGAAACTGAAACACTATTTGGTAGCGATCAGTTGACCGCTAAATGAATTTTAAAGTATTGTCTGGTAGAAAACTGCGATGAGAACACTCGATATCAATTGGAACACTGCTGAACAGAATTCAGTATGGCGGTAAAATGTTCGGAACATATTCCTGTATCTATTTGTCGATTTGATCAATAATAGCAGCCGATGAGTTCCAGCTGAAAGGAGATTTGGCTGATGCAGTAATACAGCATATGTTATTGTCACAATGTGGTTAATATACCAGGTATCTAATTAAAACACCTGAGTAAACAAACACACGTGGTCATGTTGTAAAAGACACGCATAAATTATGCACGAAGGAGAAGCATCTCGAATTCACGATTGAAATGCTGGTACGTGTCGCGTGTCAACTGGTATGGAGTAGTGTATCACCTGTAGTGTTATGGTTCGCTGATTCTTGGCACACCTGGATTACAAGATACAAGAATTTTTATCTAACGTCGCATATTTAAAACGGTAACCATTAGCACTGTAGTGCTATTCCTGCGACAAAAATTGGAACGCATTACCTACAGTTCCAGGAAAAGGACAACATGAGACGTTTGAGTCTCAAAGAGATTAGATTGAAACATTTGATGTTCGGCATAATACTAACTGTGTTAGTTATTGTTGTCTTCCGGATTCGTGCATCAGTTGAAAACGTCTATGTCGACCATGCATGGTATGTATGCTGTTTAATGATTTTTAACGGGATGGTTTCTGTAACTGTATACTCGAAATCGCTTAATCCTCATCAACTAAAAAGGATACATAACTGGTTCAGTTCACCGAATCCCCGTCTACAATGGGAAGATGTAAAAGTTGAAAAGACATTTTTTTTTTTTTTATACAAAAATCCTTTCAATATTTCAATTGATTTTTTCAGTATTTTTTGTGCATCCATGCCTACTGCTGTGTATTTTGCTGGTTTGAATGTGCCACTCAGTGATAGCTAACACCTTTGAACCTTTGGTAACCTTCGACTTTAAACATTTGAATCTATATAGCTCTATTCACTTCAAACCACACTGTCGATTTTATCCTCTTTGATTGTCTAAAGCATTGCTTTGTAGTAGTGGGCAAACGGATAATCATCAAACATAAAACTTACCTGTTGTTTAAACATATAGGCTCTATCGATGCCATAGTACATTTGAAGTCGTTCCTTTATTGATTGTCTCCCACACCGGATGGTGACTATAGTAAATACATTACTTGTACGGTATAGATTATTGGAAAGACATTGCGTACCAATGTATGACTGGGTGCCACATCGAAAGTGACCTCTATACCGAGTCTACTGATATATTAATATGGCCTAATTGGATTGATAAAGACTCTGCGCGCTTCCATTCGGCCGTACGAGAGTGACATATGCAATGTTGTTGAAAACAAGTAAAATAACTATTTGGATTGGTGAGGTTTAATCTAGGAATAACTACCTTTCTGGTCTCCGTACAGAACGGTCATTTTTGAAATACCTAACATGATTTTTTTAAGTACCCATCGACCAAATAAACGAAATGTACAAATATTAAAGGCTTTCGCCTGAATGTTTCTAAATACGGTATCTCTATTTTGAAAGATGGGCGTGGCACCCCCCAAGTGATTGCACTTTTAACCAATTGCTATTATGTTCAGTAAGCCAAAACGTGAATTGCACCATGCAGCTGTTTCGTCATTCTAGGAATCATCTGTGGTTATAGGGGCAACAGATTGGAAATCCGAATGGGTCGAATCTACTTTTGAAACAGAAGGGGAGTTGCTTACAATGCCTGTATCTTATGAACCATGACACTACTCAAAAGACGAGAAAATATTCCGGTTTTGTGACTTGATGCGGTGTTTATCATTGACACTTCCGGTTTTGTGACATTGCGACTTGATGCTGTGTTTATCATTGACACTTCCGGTTTTGTGACATGACGACTTGATGCTGTGTTTATCATTTACACTTCTGGTTTTGTGACATGACGACTTGATGCTGTGTTTATCATTGACACTTCCGGTTTTATGACATGACGACTTGATGCGGTGTTTATCATTGACACTTCTGGTTTCACAGCAATAATTTACCTAGATTAAATCGATGTAAAAATTGGGTAAACGTTTGATCAATAAAAGATAATATTCACCTCGATTAAGCACATAATTGGTAATTTGTATATATATTTGAACGAAATAGAAGTGTCCTAAGACTGAAAGTAATACATATCGTCTGATAGAAGTGCCATTCACTATTGGAAAAATCCATACTTATTGTACAGTGTCGACACTCATCAATAATTTACCATTCCCGATGAATGGAACCCATTGAGAATAAACTTCCAGCTTTCACGGGCAAACCACATTAGTTAGACCGTATTTCTATGTTGATTGTTACTTTAATATTACGCATGGGTTATTTTAAGGGTATTTGGTGTTTGACCCCAACATCCTGTCAGCTTGGTAGTTAGCAACTGATTATAACAGGGATTTCTGTTCATTTATTATATTTATTAATAAACTTGGTTACATAAAATGTGTAAATTGTGATGTTGTGTACATCAGACGTTACTTGGCATTGATATCAGCGATCCTGTAACTAGAATATGATGTCTTTGATCTTCAAACTGGATTAAAAACATGACTTGATTTTGACTTTTACAAAAAATAACCTTTAGCTATACGTGATAACCGAAGCAACAGGTGGCGTCGTTTTGGATACCCATCCTATAATACAGGACACATTGCGAGCGAACTGTTGTTGTAGTTGTTGCACCGCAAGTGTTTGCACTGTCCATGATTAAAACAAGATAAACGAGAAAAAACAGTAGAAAATAATATGTAGCAAGCTGGGTCAGCTGTCGAGTGTAAAAACTAGACACGAATCAAACCCCCGTTTCTATCAGATTATTGAAGAACATAACCGTCAGATCTAGAGAATGCACCCCTTCGGATACTTGCAAAACCACTGTTTATAAGTACACCTTCATTTTCCTTATAATACACACCTACCGATGAAGGATGAAACACCGTGATTATAGTTATTTTATAAAGCATAGCCTGTCGACTGCCTATGCAGTATCCCAAACAGTGTGATAAAGTCTTTATTTGAGTGAAGGTGGTTCCTATATAGTAAAAGTAGAAGTATCACTTACTTCGCGTTAACTCGGAGATCATACAAATCTAGTGACTTGTCATGTATTTAATACAATTTTGTATGTACCTAAGATCATATATGCAGTTGTATATAAATATCAATTTCAGGAAAGTCAAACCTACCAAGCAACCTATGTCTTCAAACTATACGATTCACGACGTTCTCTTAATCGGTTACGTCATGGGAGGCACTGTGTTTCCGGCTGAGGTACTGGGCATGCGCTCTGGACATTTTTACGTACAAGAACCATTACACAAAATCGCCAAACACCAGTATTTCAAACCAGGATACATCTGTAATATGCTGGATATGCAGTGCAAGTAAGTTTACAGTGAAGTTTTAAATGGAGGCTTTGTCACTAATACGTTGTTGTGGTAAACGAGCGATGAGAGGCAGTGCTGAAGTTTTAAATGGAGGCTTTGTCACTAATACGTTGTTGTGGTAAACGAGCGATGAGAGGCAGAGCTGAAGTTTTAAATTGAGGCTTTGTCATTAATACATTGTTGTGGTAAACGAGCGATGAGAGGCAGTGCTGAAGTTTTAAAATGAGGCTTTGTCATTAAAACGTTGTTGTGGTAAACGAGCGATGAGAGGCAGAGCTGAAGTTTTAAGTGGAGGCTTTGTCATTAATACACTGTTGTGGTAAACGAGCGAAGAGAGGCAGAGCTGAAGTTTTAAATGGAGGCTTTGTCATTAATACGTTGTTGGGGTAAACGAGCGATGAGAGACAGTGCTGAAGTTTTAAGTGGAGGCTTTGTCATTAATACGCTGTTGTGGTAAACGAGCGAAGAGAGGCAGAGCTGAAGTTTTAAATGGAGGCTTTGTCATCAATACGTTGTTGTGGTAAACGAGCGATGAGAGACAGAGCTGATGTTTTAAATGGAGGCTTTGTCATTAATACGTTGTTGTGGTAAGCGAGCGATGAGAGGCAGAGCTGAAGTTTTAAATGGAGGCTTTGTCATTAATACGTTGTTGTGGTAAGCGAGCGATAAGAGGCAGAGCTGAAGTTTTAAATTGAGGCTTTGTCATTAATACGCTGTTGTGGTAAACGAGCGATAAGAGGCAGAGCTGAAGTTTTAAATGGAGGCTTTGTCATCAATACGTTGTTGTGGTAAACGAGCGATAAGAGGCAGAGCTGAAGTTTTAAATTGAGGCTTTGTCATTAATACGTTGTTGTGGTAAACGAGCGATGAGAGGCAAAGATGAATTGATTCTGAATCGTATTGATCTTTCATTTATTTCGAAAAAAGAACAAAATGTTCTCAATACTACTTGATCTTGATTTGATAAGTGATTAACGTGTAACTCCGTGTTTAAAGCTGTGCTCAATGGGCGTAATTGGTTGTTACATGTACCCACAATGATGTGGTTATCATTGACACTTCTGGTTTTGTGACATTACGACTTGATGCGGTGTTTATCATTGACACTTCCGGTTTTGTGGCATCACGACTTGATGCTGTGTTTATCATTGACACTTCCGGTTTTGCAGCAATATTTTAGCTAGATTAAACCGATGTAAAAATTGGGTAAACGTTTGATCAATAAAAGATAATATTCACCTCGATTAAGCCCTTAATTGGTAATTTGTATATATATATTTGAACGAAATAGGAGTGTCCTAAGACTGAAAGTAATACATATCGTCTGATAGAAGTGCCATTCACTATTGGAAAAATCCATACTTATTGTACAGTGTCGACAATATTAGTTATACAGGTCTTTGGCAGGGTACATGGTCTCATGTTCGCTGTCAGGACCTTATGTACCCTTCGCCGTACATGGTCTCATGTTCGCTGTCAGGACCTTATGTACCCTGAGCCGAAGGCGAAGGGTACATAAGGTCCTGACAGCGAACATGAGACCATGTACCCTGCCAAAGACCTGTATAACGAATTTGTCATACTGCAAAGCAATGTTCAAGCGTTGTCGTCTTGTAAAGACTCCCATCCTGTTTCCTTGCATCGAGATAAAAATGGCCCAATGCCTCGTCTAATCTTGGCTTCGAGAAGTCCTCAAAATCTGTGTCTTGCTCCTTTTCGCTTAAGTATGCTCTGAAGGTTTTGCTTGCTGAATTGTTACTTTTCTTTGTGTTTGTAGGTATAAGTGACGCCCGTTTTGTCTCAATTTCACTCTCCGTGTGGCTTGCAAACCGTTTCGCCATTTTGTTCATTGTTGACATTAGCAGACGAACGTTCTCCGGTGTGTTCGATTCGAATCTGCGAGTTATCTCCCTTACAACAGGCGCGCGTGCTCTTATGTACCCCGGCAAGGATACTAACATAGCTTCAGGTACCTTGGCAATTCGACCAATCACCGTGCGACATTTTTCTTTGCAGTATGACAATTATCAATATTTTACCATTCCCGATGAATGGAACCCATTGAGAATAAACTTCCAGCTTTCACGGGCAAACCACATTAGTTAGACCGTATTTCTATGTTGATTGTTACTTTAATATTACGCATGGGTTATTTTAAGGGTATTTGGCGATGTACCCAATATCCTGTCAGCTTGGTAGTTAGCGACTGATTATAACAGGGATTTATGTTCAGCTGGAATTCAAGATATTTCGTCTATAAACTGAGGATGTGAAGCATACACGATTTAACGACAACAACAGTTTGAACTACTGTCAACATTTCGCTCATTTGTTTATAGCCTGAAAATAACCAAGTTGAAATTGATACATGTCCGTAGAAATAAGTTTCATTTGTTCTAATTACTTTCAATGTCGACTCTATGGAAGTTTACTAGATAGTCATATGTACATGCATGGCCATCACCCTTTTAGCAGGTGTACCGTATTGATATCAATATAAACATGGCCGTGTCGTGTGTCTTTTATGACGTCATCAATAATTTAACTTGTCCTTGTTTCAATCTTCTAAATATGTTGGTTGGTCGAAGTTCTTTCGGTAGAATGAGCGACACGTATTAGTAGTGTTATTTATAAAAAAAACCATGTTGGAATTTGGTAAGTACTGGCTGGTTACCCTCGAACAAGAATATTTCTAGAGGTGACTTACACGTGTTGGCATTTGGTAAGTACTGTCTGGTTACCCTCGAACAAGACTATTTCTAGAGGTGACTTACACGTGTTGGCATTTGGTAAGTACTGGCTGGTTACCCTCGAACAAGACTATTTCTAGAGGTGACTTACACGTGTTGGCATTTGGTAAGTACTGGCTGGTTACCCTCGAACAAGACTATTTCTAGAGGTGACTTACACGTGTTGGCATTTGGTAAGTACTGGCTGGTTACCCTCGAACAAGACTATTTCTAGAGGTGACTTACACGTGTTGGCATTTGGTAAGTACTGGCTGGTTACCCTCGAACAAGACTATTTCTAGAGGTGACTTACACGTGTTGGCATTTGGTAAGTACTGGCTGGTTACCCTCGAACAAGACTATTTCTAGAGGTGACTTACACGTGTTGGCATTTGGTAAGTACTGGCTGGTTACCCTCGAACAAGACTATTTCTAGAGGTGACTTACACGTGTTGGCATTTGGTAAGTACTGGCTGGTTACCCTCGAACAAGACTATTTCTAGAGGTGACTTACACGTGTTGGCATTTGGTAAGTACTGGCTGGTTACCCTCGAACAAGACTATTTCTAGAGGTGACTTACACGTGTTGGCATTTGGTAAGTACTGGCTGGTTACCCTCGAACAAGACTATTTCTAGAGGTGACTTACACGTGTTGGCATTTGGTAAGTACTGGCTGGTTACCCTCGAACAAGACTATTTCTAGAGGTGACTTACACGTGTTGGCATTTGGTAAGTACTGGCTGGTTACCCTCGAACAAGACTATTTCTAGAGGTGACTTACACGTGTTGGCATTTGGTAAGTACTGGCTGGTTACCCTCGAACAAGACTATTTCTAGAGGTGACTTACACGTGTTGGCATTTGGTAAGTACTGGCTGGTTACCCTCGAACAAGACTATTTCTAGAGGTGACTTACACGTGTTGGCATTTGGTAAGTACTGGCTGGTTACCCTCGAACAAGACTATTTCTAGAGGTGACTTACACGTGTTGGCATTTGGTAAGTACTGGCTGGTTACCCTCGAACAAGACTATTTCTAGAGGTGACTTACACGTGTTGGCATTTGGTAAGTACTGGCTGGTTACCCTCGAACAAGACTATTTCTAGAGGTGACTTACACGTGTTGGCATTTGGTAAGTACTGGCTGGTTACCCTCGAACAAGACTATTTCTAGAGGTGACTTACACGTGTTGGCATTTGGTAAGTACTGGCTGGTTACCCTCGAACAAGACTATTTCTAGAGGTGACTTACACGTGTTGGCATTTGGTAAGTACTGGCTGGTTACCCTCGAACAAGACTATTTCTAGAGGTGACTTACACGTGTTGGCATTTGGTAAGTACTGGCTGGTTACCCTCGAACAAGACTATTTCTAGAGGTGACTTACACGTGTTGGCATTTGGTAAGTACTGGCTGGTTACCCTCGAACAAGACTATTTCTAGAGGTGACTTACACGTGTTGGCATTTGGTAAGTACTGGCTGGTTACCCTCGAACAAGACTATTTCTAGAGGTGACTTACACGTGTTGGCATTTGGTAAGTACTGGCTGGTTACCCTCGAACAAGACTATTTCTAGAGGTGACTTACACGTGTTGGCATTTGGTAAGTACTGGCTGGTTACCCTCGAACAAGACTATTTCTAGAGGTGACTTACACGTGTTGGCATTTGGTAAGTACTGGCTGGTTACCCTCGAACAAGACTATTTCTAGAGGTGACTTACACGTGTCGGCAAACAACAATGCAGCTCCATCGGTATAACAGATATCTAAAAGTTGTGCAGACCACTTCTTCATACCAAATTATATGTTTTAGAAACCTTTACTGTGTAGATACCTATAATGTTGATGGGTGTTCTTTTCACTGCTAGATTTAAGTATAATAAAAACTCTGTATAGCTAACGATAGTATAATAACAACTCTGTATAGCTAACGATAGTATAATAAAAACTCTGTATAGCTAACGATAGTATAATAACACCTCTGTATAGCTATGGATAGTATAATAACAACTCTGTATAGCTAACGATAGAATAATAACAACTCTGTATAGCTAACGATAGTATATTAACAACTCTGTATAGCTAACGATAGTATAATAACAACTCTGTATAGCTAACGATAGAATAATAACAACTCTGTATAGCTAACGATAGTATAATAAAAACTCTGTATAGCTAACGATAGTATAATAACACCTCTGTATAGCTATGGATAGTATAATAACAACTCTGTATAGCTAACGATAGAATAATAACAACTCTGTATAGCTAACGATAGTATACTAACAACTCTGTATAGCTAACGATAGTATAATAACACCTCTGTATAGCTATGGATAGTATAATAACAACTCTGTATAGCTAACGATAGGATAATAACAACTCTGTATAGCTAACGATAGTATACTAACAACTCTGTATAGCTAACGATAGTATAATAACAGCTCGGTATAGCTAACGATAGTATAATAACATCTCTGTATAGCTAACGATAGTATAATAACAACTCTGTATAGCTAACTATAGTATATTAACAACTCTGTATAGCTAACGATAGTATAATAACAGCTCGGTATAGCTAACGATAGTATAATAACATCTCTGTATAGCTAACGATAGTATAATAACAACTCTGTATAGCTAACGATAGGATAATAACAACTCTGTATAGCTAACGATAGTATACTAACAACTCTGTATAGCTAACGATAGTATAATAACACCTCTGTATAGCTATGGATAGTATAATAACAACTCTGTATAGCTAACGATAGTATATTAACAACTCTGAATACCTAACGATAGTATAATAACAACTCTGTATAGCTAACGATATTATAATAACAACTCTGTATAGCTAACGATAGTATATTAACAACTCTGAATACCTAACGATAGTATAATAACAACTCTGTATAGCTAACGATAGTATAATAAAAACTCTGTATAGCTAACGATAGTATAATAACACCTCTGTATAGCTATGGATAGTATAATAACAACTCTGTATAGCTAACGATAGGATAATAACAACTCTGTATAGCTAACGATAGTATATTAACAACTCTGAATACCTAACGATAGTATAATAACAACTCTGTATAGCTAACTATAGTATATTAACAACTCTGTATAGCTAACGATAGTATAATAACACCTCTGTATAGCTATGGATAGTATAATAACAACTCTGTATAGCTAACGATAGTATACTAACAACTCTGTATAGCTAACGATAGTATAATAACAGCTCGGTATAGCTAACGATAGTATAATAACATCTCTGTATAGCTAACGATAGTATAATAACAACTCTGTATAGCTAACGATATTATAATAACAACTCTGTATAGCTAACGATAGTATAATAACAACTCTGTATAGCTAACGAGGAGTTTTAGTGGCCATCTTGGTATGGATGACCTTCAATAAAAAACACATATATTTGTTATGCTTGTCAAGTCGAAAAGCGTGAGTAGACATCATGAATTCACAGTACAGACAATTATGGAAGATATTTCTTTATGTTTGTGTGTGTTTTTTTTGTTTTATTTATTTATTTATTTTTTGACAATCATGATATTTTTTCTGTTACGTAGAAAATGTGCAGGAAATATTTGATTTTGTTGGATATAAAATTGATGAAGAAGGTTTATTGCTGAAGAAATCAAAGAAATTGTTTTACGATAATTCCACTTTGACAGCTGAGCTATGGAGGACGCAAGTTTTAAATTAAATGTAATCTTAAGCTAGTTCCAATATTCCTTGCTGAAGCTGGTTTTAACACGTGAAATGGCAATGGTTATAATCACGCCCTTGCTGCTTTCTTTTGCAGTGCCACGACTTTCGCTGACCGAGAGGCGCTGGGTATAGTACAGGCTGTGTATCAGTGTGACAACACTCGATACAAGGCACACTTACGGATGTGGCAGCTACGCAAAATAGTGGGAGACCAGTCGAACTGGCAGCAAAACGTCAAGACGCACTGTGGGGACGAGCAACATAAGGACTGTCGCGCAAGGATTTTGAGTCAATGTTCTGTTTCGGTTTCCAGGGTTGTCAGTACTCCTCGGCTCAGTTTAAGTTTGGCGTCGCGTCTGTTGGAACAGATTCCCAAGTTGAAAATTATTCATGTTTTACGAGATCCCAGAGCAATGATGAATTCAATCTTACGTGCTAAATGGCCTTTACAGAGCGAAGAAATAAACACTGCCAGATCTGTTTGTCAGAAACTGAGAGACGATCTCGCAGAATCCAGTCTAATTAAACGAGTGTTACAGGGGAGAATACTTACTGTTTTTCATGAAAATTTGGCAACAACACCAGAAAAAACAATGCAGGAAATATTTGATTTTGTTGGATATAAAATTGATGAAAAAGGTTTATTGCTGAAGAAATCAAAGAAATTGTTTTACGATAATTCCACTTTGACAGCTGAACTATGGAGGACGCAAGTGCCATGGCATGTTGTTAAGGTTACCAACGACGTATGCGCCGACCTATATCGTTTACTTGGATATCCGGGATTGGTCGATAGATATGAATTATACAATAACAGTATACCATTGTTGATACCGACAAATGATCGCGACACCATACAGAGTGGTTAATATACTTCCTATACTAATCCAATTATATTTTAAAACAACAGGCAACGATATGTTTTTCCTAGCAGGAACTACTTTATGTACTCCTTTGTTTCAGTTGTGCAAATGTATGTAAAGTGTATATAGTATGAGTCGTGCCAATTCCGTCTTTGCGTATTGCAGAGTTATCTTCTCTTGGGAGCAGGTATTGATTGTTACGTCATTGGTTTGTGTGAGAAAATTACGTCGTTTTCTCAAAAATTGATGACGTTACTCTCACAAACAAGTGACGTAACAATCAATACTTGCTCCCAGGAGAAGATAACTCTGCAATACGCAAAGACGGAATAGTTAACACACATGTTAGCATTGTAGTTTTATAACGTGTACACCTGATGTGGCGGTTATCGATATCACTTCTGATTTCATCTATATGTCGAGCAAGCTTAATTCAAATTGATAAATAAATAAATAGACAATATATTTGATATAGCGCGCTATATAGCTAACTTAAGCCACTCTTAAGCCCTTTACAGTACATAGATATACAAATTTATACAGTCAATACGATAAGCATATATATTAATCAATACAATATTGAGGAATTCGCAGGAGCTGCCTTATCAGGCGCTAACTACATGTACTAGTCCTATGCCACCTGGCTCATATCTCCCTATGTATGTATGCCTGTGTGTGTGCTGGAGATGTATTGTGTAATATTGATGTAATATTAGGTAAATTATAGGTCAATAACAGAAAATACTCACTTCCACAATGTCCTTAATTGATAATATTCATATTTATCCAAACGAAATACACGTGTCCTGAGATTGAAATTAATAAGCATCGTATGATAATAGAGCCATTCATTATTGGGGAAATCCATACTTATTGTACAGTGTTGACACTCATCAATAATTTACCATTCCCGATGAATGGAACCCATTGTGAATAAACTTCCAGGTTTCACGGGCAAACCACATTAGTTAGACCGTATTTCTATGTTGATTGTTACTTTAATATTACGCATGGGTTATTTTAAGGGTATTTGGCGATGTACCCAATATCCTGTCAGCTTGGTAGTTAGCGGCGTATTACCAGTAGGATTTATGTTACATTTACTTATCTATTACTTATTATTACATCTATTAGTGAACTTTGTTAAGTAAAATGTGTAAATTGTGATGCTGTGCGTGTGTAATGTACGACCATTTGAAAGAATAAATTAAATAATTGAACATTGATAGTGACTTGATGGAAAGTTGGCTTGTATCACGTTTCAATAATTGTGATACATTATATTTGAGTTAAAAATATCAGGACGAATATTTTTTTATCTTCCTGAATAATTTCGTCATCATTTGATTAAATGATTTCAGTTTCCCTTGTGTTATAGATTGACAAGTTCTTACCTGGATCGAACGAAACATCATGGCGGACAATGTTTAAACCAATAAACAAACTTAGACCATTTCTTCTATGTTTTCCTGGGAATTATATCGCAATATTTAAGTCACCCAAACGAAGTGGGGACTTATTGGATAGACTCCGTTTCTTCTTATCATTATTAAGTCACCCCGAACGAAGTCGGGGAGACTTATTGTTATTGTTCCGTTCTTACTTATTCATAATATTATTATTATTCCGTCGCTTTTTATCCGCGACTAATCTCAGGAACTACCAATGGGACTCTTATCATACTTTGCATACATAATCAGTACGATATCTCGTTGTGCATCTTAATCTTTTCATCCAAGATGGCCGTCGCTGCCTCTGATTGGCCAAAACCCTATCCAGTAATTATATTCGTTCTATTTGATGAAACATGATTAAACTTGGTGAAAGGAATGATACCGTCACAGCGCTCGTTTTCGACAAAAAATATATTTGACTTTGGATTCAAAATGGCGATCAAATACAGGCTTCTGATTAGTCGAAATTTGAATATCGTCTAATTCTGATGAAATTTGGTATGTAGGTGCAGTATGGCACTACAAACATAACTGCTGTGTTTGTTTTGTGAAAAAACAAAATGGCTGCCATTTACTGCCCTCTGATTGGTCAAACTTTTAATATTGTCTAATTTTTATAAAATTTGGTATGTAGGTATATCATGGGACACCGGTCATTTGTTTCTTCTCAAGGTGCCTAGGTTGTTGGGGCTGGGTTGAGGCAGTGGTACTAAGAAGGGTAGGGGTGACTTCCGCTATTGCTCGCAATTCTAGTTCTTCTTCCGCCGCAGCCTCTGATATATCAACACATTTAAAGGTGTACGACAAGATGATGACATTTGTCCGTCTCTTTTCCAAATGTTGCTTAAGCTTGGTATGTAAGTATATAATGGCACTGTCAACTCTACCATGACACCTGTTTTGCATCTTTGCGGCTATGGGGCCGGTTTTGGAGACTTCTGTAATCGTCCCTCATTACAGTAAGTACTTGTTGCCTTTGATTTGGTGTCTCGTCAGCTGTTGTTTTGTTGTATCAGATTGAAATTGTGATGTTGCTCTTGTGTGCTGACGCTTCGATTGAAATGGTTTATAAACGCAATTTCACCACAGCAGGCACCAAAAAGATGTTATGTCGAGGCTGACCTCTGATCGGCGTAATAAAAATATAAAGTCATAAGTATAACAAGGAGCAGACTTCTTAACAAATATCTGAAAATACTTGTAAGCTTTATCTTGCATATCTGTTTTTTTATGGAACTCTTTCTGTAAAAGATGTTTTGAAACGCATATTCATCTCCATACCTTTTTCAGATAGTTTTTTTCTCTCCAAAGATTGATGACTTTTGACTCCTTTTATGAAATCTGAATATATGACATTTTAAATAAATAGAATTTACTATATCTCTGAAAAGGTAGATTAAGCAGGAACATTAGGTATATGTGCAAGTTTTATCCAACCCAAGAACATCATTTTATACCTATCAGTGACTTGATGAAACTTGCACATATAATAAAATTTACTTCATTGAGTAAACGTAAATACCAATTTTTTTTCTCTCATGAATTTATTCCTCATTTAAATCAGCTAGTTGAAACACTCTAGTACAACTCCGTCCAGTTCATGGGTAGAGGATACAGCAGTCTTGTGGTATTTCCCTGAATGATAGTATGCTGAGACAAATGTGGAATCTCTGTACAATCCTCGTCTGTGTTTTTGATCGTTTTTTCATTGTGTCTGATAGCCAGCCTTACACTGGCTATGTTTCAAATAACGATTGCAGAAATGTGTATAAATGCTTTTTGATTTGTTGGTAAAGAAATGTTTTTAAAAGAACATGATTTTGGCACTTGCAAATAGTAAACAGGAGTCTTTGTTTTTCTGATAGGCTTAGTTTATTTCAAAAAGGGATGGACAGATCCATTTTTTAAGGACAGAACAAAATACACAAACATTGTTTTATAATTAAGAATTTTTTTTATTATACAACAGTTTGACATCGAGACAATTCCTGGAAATAACTGTACAACAGGGAAAATGGTGCAAATTTGACATACTGTATAACAAGAAATGTTCATTGTGTAAATACATTCGTGGTTTTCGTGGTTGTTATTGAACCACGAAAATAAATACAAACGAACTTGGATGATATGCGTGTCTACTGTTTGTTAATATAGTATATCCACGAACGTTTGTACCACGAAACGATCTAAATGGTAACACACCACAAAGGAAAGTACACACGAACCTTTCGTGTTATGCAGTATGAATAAAAATGAAATTAATTCTGATTTAAGAAGCAATAGTAAAGCACCATTCAATGTACATTATTACTGAAGTTCTATTACAAATATCCAATATGATTTATATGTTATGTCTCTTTGTGCTGAAATATCATAACCAGGGCGATTGCTGATAATGTGACTCTAAATATTTCTATTTTAAAACCCTAATAGTACGAAATTATCCTGACTGCGAGCAAACTTATATATGCTAGATAAATAAATAAATAGATAAATATAAATACAATGCTTCCTTAAGTAACCCATACATCATTTCTTAAACATGAAAAATTTCAGCACTTTTTTGTTTACAATTAATCCGTCTGCCTCATAAGATATTAGCGTAGGACACTAACGGCAGCGGGGAATAATTGACAGTTTAGCGATATTTACGATTTTTAGAACTCGGTGAAACCTCCTTATTTCTTGATGCATCATTGTTATTAATAATTCCCTTCTTGACCTATTGTTGTTGAACATCCTGGGGATATTTTACCTTCGTTCATTCATTTGTTTTACAATTTGTTCTCCAAAATTACGTCTGCATTTTGTAAAACTGATATTTTTACACATACAATATATTTCGATATTTTCATTGGATCTTTCAGCATTTTATTCATTCGTACGTTGACTATTCTACAGTATGAACTTTCATTTCAATCTATAACTTTTGTGTGTATTGTGTTAGAAAACCCAATTAAGATAAAAAAAAAGATAACAAGTGATATATACTATCTAGTGATCTTGCCACTGGCGATGTTACATTTATATCTCGCACCATACCAATGGAAGTATACAATAGCAGGAGGAATAGAAATCAACTGCGCATCAGTAACACATTTGCTAATATCTCACGATTCAGGCAATATTGATCTATTCACAATGTATAAAGCGTTATCGTTAATCTCATATTGTAAGCATGCTTTATACCAGAAATATATTGTTTGCATGCTATATACCGGTAATATACTGTTTGTAGCTATATACCAGTAATATACTGTGTGTAGCTATATACCAGTAATATACTGTTTGTATACTATATACCAGTAATATACCGTTTGTATGCTATATACCAATAATATACCGTTTGTATGCTATATACCAGTAATATACTGTTTGTATGCTATATACTAGTAATATACTGTTTGTGTGCTATATACCAGTAATATACTGTTTGCATGTTATATACTGGTAATATACTGTTGGTATGCTATAAACCAGTAATATACTGTTTGTAGCTATATACCAGTAATATACTGTTTGTATTCTATATACCAGTAATATACTGTTTGTAGCTATATACCAGTACTATACTGTTTGTATGCTATATACCAGCAATATACTGTTTGTATGCTATATACCAGTAATATACTGTGTGTATGCTATATACCAGTAATATACTGTGTGTATGCTTTATACCAGTAATATACTGTTTGTTTTCTATATACCAGTAATATACTGTGTGTATGCTTTATACCAGTAATATACTGTGTGTAGCTATATACCAGTAATATACTGTTTGTATGCTATATACTAGTAATACACTGTTTGTATGCTATATACCAGTAATATACTTTTTGTATCTATATACCAGTAATATACTGTTTGCATTCTATATACCAGTAATATACTGTTTGTAGCTATATGCCAGTAATATACTGTTTGTATGCTATATACTAGTAATACACTGTTTGTATGCTATATACCAGTAATATACCGTTTGTATGCTATGTACCAGTAATATACTGTTTGTAGCTATATACCAGTAATATACTGTTTGTATGCTATGTACCAGTAATATACTGTTTGTATGCTATGTCCCAGTAATATACTGTTTGTAGCTATATACCAGTAATATACTGTTTGTATGCTATGTACCAGTAATATACTGTTTGTATGCTATGTACCAGTAATATACTGTTTGTATGCTATGTCCCAGTAATATACTGTTTGTAGCTATATACCAGTACTATACTGTTTGTATGCTATATACCAGCAATATACTGTTTGTATGCTATATACCAGTAATATACCGTTTGTATGCTATGTACCAGTAATATACTGTTTGTATGCTATGTACCAGTAATATACTGTTTGTATGCTATGTCCCAGTAATATACTGTTTGTAGCTATATACCAGTACTATACTGTTTGTATGCTATATACCAGCAATATTCTGTTTGTATGCTATATACCAGTAATATACTGTTTGTATCTATATACCAGTAATACACTGTTTATATGCTATATACCAGTAATACACTGTTAGTTACGTACCCGTTAAATCATACTGTATGCATGCTATATACACGTAGTACTGTACTGTAGCATTATCCGTTTGAATATAAAGCAAAAAGAACGAATTATAGGTCTAGTAATATAGCTGTATCTGAAAATACCAAAAACTAGCGGACGTTTATCTCAATCGAATTCAATCAATCAAAGTGGAAACCATGCATAAACATAAGTGGTTATTAAATTCTGACAGTACATAGTAACGGGACATACGTATGTATTTGGAGATGTTTAACATTTAAATAGAAACGTTTAGCTATTTTCAAGAAGGCTTAGCATATCTTCTTGCGATTTTGTCGTTTGTCTTTTTCTTTTAAAAAAATTCAAAGGTGAACTGAAAATTGTCTTGATTTTCACATTTTTCTCCTTGGCAAAGCTTATAGCTCTTTTATGGGCGGCTTTGATATCATTCATTGACAGATCTACCTTAATGTCCCGAAGTTTCCATGCACTCAACCGATAGTACGACTGTCCAAACTTGTAAGGTGCGCGTGCACAAAAGTGGCCCAATGTGATAGCGCGATGTACTACCATGCCGATAAATTGGATAACAAAAAGGGATTCGAAGATACTGAGAAACAGCAATCCTGTAAAAATATAAGAGATGTTGGTATAACTGGTAGTCATTAACATGAGAATGAAAATAAAACAAACTTTTTAACATTCATTGCATTCACAATGATTATTTCATTGGTTGTTTGTAAATAAGATCATTCACCATCTCAACTAATTAAAGTTAAAACTGCATTAAGAAATAACCTTAAGGAAGCTGGTTCCTTATTGAAGATACCACATATTATGTTTCATAATATATGATACGTATTATCTATGTAATTATATTATGTTAGCATGAAACTAATGCATTGGAGGGAATTATGTGGTGTGTTAACATAAATGGCTTTTAAGAGGTTTGGTATATCGAGCAGGTTTAAATATACTTGAATACGTTTGTGACAAGGTGTCATAACAATAAAAAATCATTTTATAGGAAAAATTGTAGTCATGCTTATTTACAGAAAAAAATATATTTATTTTTATCGTGAAAGTAGAACTTGTCATTAATACCATGGTTAAAATGACATACATACATATTTTATCTCTCAACATTTACACTAAATATCCACCAGACTTTAGATTATAATGGCATTCACCAACAAATGAATATCTGCTATTGTTCAGATTAAAGACTATTTAAAACAACACAAATATCACAGACAGAACTGTATAAAATATTACCTATTGGATCAGTTCCGTACATCTTCAACTCAAGTTTCGTAGCCAATGTTGCGAGGAGAATCAACCATAACATATTGGAGACAGCAAGGGTCATTAGGAAATTGTTCCTCAGCTCTCCAAGTTTATCTAGAAAAGCTGGTATGGTCAGTATGTTTATTTTATTTTTGAAAGACCACATACTGAATATTCAACAGGTTTTGATAGGCTATCTCATTCTATTAAATGAATATTCAATATAAATTTCAGAATATAGAAAAAATAAATAAAAAAATACTCTCTTCATTTCGCTCTGTTTCCATGACTTACAGGGTGTCAATTTCTTTGATAAATGATAAAGTAATAGTGTTACTATCATTCCGGAGATGTGTCATAAGTGTGTGTGAATATGCGACTGTTTTCTATTTATTTTCACAACTTATGTCGGATGTTTTCATACACTGACACCAGGTTTTACGTACCCATGAGTTCTTCTGTGTGCCCAAAAGCAGCTGAGCCGGGTTGTAGGCATGTTTCTCGAAGTGTTGCCCAGAAGGCATTCTCCTCAGGGTTTATGATAGAAATCTCAAAGAATGCTATTGAATTCATGTCTCGCTTCACTTCGATTCTTTTGAGCTCCTCTATAAGCATAAATGAAATTCGATAAACAGAAATATTTTAGTTATATACTGTAAACGAATATATTTGAGAGCACTCTTATTTTTGCGGATTATCGAATTTGAATAGATGAGCGCATGTATGAACTGGTGCATCTAGAAAATAAACAGTAGATATCAATAAACAAAACCACTTAATGGGCGCATTTGTAATTTTGCGTGAAAATTAAATTGCAAAAGCGCTAAAACTAGACTACCTATTAATATATACGTTTACAACATACCGTGTATTTAAAAGTTAATATTTGGCAATATACTACCTTTATATATTGATTGAGATGTAACTTCATACTAAATATAAAGTACGTATAAGAGCCAAAAGTGATATCATATTAATCTCATTCATACTACAACCATAATGATAACTTGAGGGGAAAAAAGTGAGTGCAAATAGAAACAAAGCACTTGTCAACATTATAATAACACAGAGACGTAACAGGAGGATACAAATACGACACAATGAAACAGAATTAATGTCCACAATAGGTACCTTTAACATAGGAGATATTTCCTGCAGCACATATGGTAGACAGTGTATTTAACTTACCTGTCGTTGGATTTCGAAGATGTTTAATTGCCATCAAAAGTCGCGCGATGTGACCTGATAAACAACGTATAATGCGATTAGATAAACACAGACGGGAAATATTGTTTAAAAAATATTAAGGAGAGCGTATTAAAAAAACCGTGGTGTGATTCATTAAACGAAGCTCTAAGTGACCTAATAAACAAAGTATGTTGTTACCAAATTGACAAAGCTTTAAGTGACCTAATAATACACAGCATATTGTGACCTTCTTAACAAAGCTCTAAGTTGCCTCATAAAGCGTGTTTTACATAATTTTGATATATTTATTATTATTATATTATAAGTTTATTAAGCATGACAATGAGACATAGTTAATTTTCATTTGTATCCTGCTTCCGTACTTAACGACAAAAAATTCGAATTGCAATCGCTGAAATTTCATTAATATTTAGTACAAAAATAACACATATATGTCGACTCAATATAACTACCTTAAGATAATTTGCACAAATTCGCTCTCCCGATTTTAGAAGAATTCATAATATATAATGATAATCAGTTTCAAACCCAGGATGTGTGGGTTTTATTTTGACGATTTTTATAATTATGGAGATATTTCTTGAATGTGTACATTACTAGATATCATGTGTAGATTACTACCTGCTTTTGTTATCTTTAATTCTGTTTCGATTTCTCTTCGAGAGAAAGATTTCAAAACCTCCAAGTCTTTTGCAGTGATTATTTTGTTGTTTTCAAATCTGTCGAAGTACTGTTCAAGACCAATATCATGCAGCCAGTCTTGCACGTTGTTCTGAAAATGAATATATGAAATGAAAGCGATTCGGAAATTACTAGCCAATACAATGTACTCGTAATAAATTTCTTTTTTTTCTTTAATTACAAAATTGCTGTAAACCGAACATACAAAAAGGAAGTTACTTTGTAATTTAGAAATATCAATAAAATTCAGTCGAAGCTTTCCAAGTTATTGAATTTACTTATTTACTCAAACATAAGCATCCCCAAATTTATATCGTAGAATTAAGAAATACGAAATACATTAGCCTCGAAGGCAATTGATAGACTTATCCAAAACTAAAGAAACAACATATTTTAACATAGAAATATACGAAAGCCTCACATATTAGCGATTCTTGTTTTATTTTTTTTAATGATTCTTACCGGAACTTTGACCTCAATACGGAAGTCTGGGAGGTTCCGTATTATCTCAAGCAAAAAAGTCATGTGTGCTTTCTTTCTGATGCCGATGTTTTTCAAATCCTTCTCATTCATCCCGCTGATGTACAGTGTATTGTCGAATCCATGTTTTTTAAACAAGGGTCCATACTCATCCTGTTTAAATACAATTGTCGGGAACACATGTAGTTTAAACATAACAACAGGTCAAAACACATAGATAGAGTCATAATTACCAATATCAATCATCACAATTAAAAAATGAAATGAAAAAAAGTATTAAATAGACAACACACAAATACAAAATCCTAACTAAAGCTTAATATAAAAACGTTTTTTTTTTTTTTTTTTAAATAACAAACGAACATTTACAAAAGCAAAGCAAACATAAAGTCTTGTTGCAATATTCATCCGGGGAACACGGACAGAAGAAGTAGCCTACTTTGAAGTCATTGTCGAGCCACTGGTCCACTGTCATGGGAATGGGTTCTGGTAGAAGATGGGGTTCCTGTTCCTTCGCCTCCCGATCACTTGAGCTAACAACGTTCTTTGTTGCTAGAAAAATATCAAATATTGTCTATTATGTTCTAGTTGTTTCAATCGAATGATATTGCACATAATATAAAACTAGATTAACTGCTTGAAAGTCAGTAAGTATTTTTCAATTTCAATGTTTGTATTGCTGTTTTATTAATAATTATATCATCAGAATATCAATTGTGTCAATAATCCAGTTATAACGTTCCTATTTTCTATGATTTCCAACTCGATTCCGTAGAGTCATAGGTGGGTGTAGTCCTATCATGGTATATCATCGATGTTTTGCTATATATTCTCGTATAAGTACTACACTGCTCCAGCGTACATATAAATAGATTAACAAAGGTACTCCGATGGTAAAAAGCATACTTCTCTTTTCTTCCTTGGATTCAGCAATGACCAATTCCCTGAAGTTGGAGTTGTCGCTGGTTTCAGACAATGACGTGTCCCGATGTCGATGTGAATTTGATGTCGAATTAGCATCGTTATTAGGAGATGGTTCCTCTTTTTTGCAACAACTTTGAACAACAAAAAGGCGAACAAATTAAACAATATCGCATTATTTACGAGAGCTTTCATTTCCATAAACTATTAAGATATATGAACTGTTAAAGAACATATATGAACATATCCAAAACGCAGTAAATAAATAAATCATTTAGGAACAAATAAATTTAATTGAACAATTGTTCTAAAGTTAAAATGTAAATATATGATTTGAACGGCGTATTTTTAATTTTCATGCCGGTATGAACGCAAAATCCGTTACATCCATATTAAACATATCAAACTTCATGAGTTATGGATGTCACCGATTTGCGTTCACACCGGCATGAACATTAGAAATAACCCGTTCAATCCCTAAATGAAATAGTGTAAGGTTCTTTTATTAATGATATGATATATCAATTGGCGAATGTAGAATAAGAAAAGTTCAACCAGCCATATCGTTCCGTTATATCAACAATATGTCTGTAAGATTACCAATAACCAAACAAAAACGTAGATGTGATAAAAAGTTTGATGTCATGTATAAGACATATTTATAGTTTCATAAATTGTCTTGACATCAATGCAATTAAGTAATGACGAAATAAACAAAACATAGAGTGTTTAAAATTCTAACATACTTACAAAAAAATCGTTTTCATTTTCTCTCCAAATGTGTCATACCATGACCTGACATCACCAAAGGAATGAATTTCTTTTTCCTCACGTGTACCTTTTTAAAAAATACAAATTAAAATATTTTAAAATCAGATTGATGTTGCTTGAAACCTAGTCATCATTTAGGTTCCTTCGAAGAATGTGATCAAATACTGTAATCAATTGATCGCTGTAATGTTAGTCAGACAAATTTAATAAGAAAAAAAAGTAGTTCATCTTTCTGTTAAAATATCTTAAAACAACACTAGATTAAACTATAAAATCTGAACATTTTGAGTGAACCATACTCACTAGACTTACTTTAAATTTTGAATAACAAACTATAACACGCCATTTGTGTTTATTATCTCCCTTAGAAAACATTGTTATCAATCATATAGAGCAATCATATTGTAATCAATGCAAACGACCAATCATTTACCATTCCTTCAGGTTATTTAAAGATTTTTTGCGGATATCTTTTATGCCCAATCATGGTAGCAATCAGTCTTGATGCTTTTGCATATATTTCAAGTGAATAAATGTTTCCTTAATTTTCGATAAATGACTCCTTAAATATCAATGATACCTTAATATCAATTGCATACATCCTATTTCACATAGACTTTTCTCAATTTATCTTTCGAGTCTATGATATTTTATACAATGACTCAGTACTTATTTATATTGTATATAAGTATATATATTGATAATTGTTTAATAGGACTTGATAAACATTCACTTCATTCACTTTCATTTTCCGTAGAATAGAATCGTTCTTGCTTGCCTAATTATATATGCGATTTTTTAAAATTTTAAACACTTATTACAATTGATGACGTACCCCAGGTTCTATCTGTGATATTACACACACTGTAGATATTGAGGATGAGGTAACCAGATGGGAGACACATAAGGTACCAGAAGCCGTGGAGGAGGCACATGAAATCTCGCGGGTGGAGAAGTCCCGCGATCATAAAGAATAGTATCAAACTGCCCAAGTACAGACTGGTCATGGATATCTGTATGTCAGCGCTGATGTCTGGTAAGTGAAATAAAATAAAATATAAACAAAATGATGTCGACACTGAATGGAGAAATCGTATCTTAATTACCTTAATCAAGGAGACACCAAAACTAATGGAAACATAGTTTTCTGATAAAGAATAACATTCATGATTGATCAATTTCAATTTTTCATTGGAATATTCTGTTGTAAAATTGGTAAAGTTGTAGATGTGTCTTTAAACATAGCTAGTCATTCGTAAATCTCTTCTTTATCATTTTGAGATTGTTAATACCATTGTAATACAAAATGAATGTGTTGTAAAGTAAGTGATAAACAGTGGTGACCTTTATCAAAGTATTAATGCATAAGGATATTTTAATAGGTGTGTTCTGATTTGCTGATACTATCACTAGAAAGTCATTGTATTCCGTCTTTGCGTATTGCAGAGTTATCTTCTCTTGAGAACAGGTATTGATTGTTACGTCATTGGTTTGTGTGAGAAAATTACGTCGTTTTCTCAAAAATTGATGACGTTACTCTCACAAACCAATGACGTAACAATCAATACCTGTTCTCAAGAGAAGATAACTCTGCAATACGCAAAGATGGAATTACAGCAGTTTAATCATCAATACCAGACGCATCCATCTTTCCGCCATGGAAGTGGTTTTCTAAATCCTTCACCACCTGTTGCGCCGTTCCCACAGCCACTGCCATCATGACGCATGCGTACAAAAACGTCAGCAACTTTGCTATCTGTAAACAGGCACACATGCTATTAATACTATTTCCAAATTACCTGTGTCGCAAACATTGTTTATCCTTTATTGCGTTTGTATTATTTTAAACCTGATACTTAAGGAACTTTTCAAAACTAAAATCTATATAACAACCAGTTATTCTAACCATTCAAATTATAATGCGTTCTTTAATTTTCGTTTCTAATAAAACATTAAAATATTGTACTTTCATACGGACAAACAAGCTTCATCATGGAAACACGCTAGAATATTTCTGTTGATACGGATTCAGTTGACGAACAACACATTTCTGTAATTTTGACGGATAGCGACCTATCTGTGAACTAAAGCGACGCTTGAATGACAGGAAAATAGAATTAATGAGATAAAACACACTTCAGGTTAGGTTGTCGCACTGATTTTTATTTCTTAACCCGTCAACTTGGGGTAGCGAGTATCGTTTTTATAGTAACGAAACAAACCTTTTTTTTAAAACTATTCTTTTTAATACAACATCGAGTCTAATCTTGTGTATTTCATTTACTGAAGTAATATATAGTTGTTAAAAAATGCAGAGCTAAATTTTCGTGGCTGTCCCAGTCAGAACTTGTTCGAGGGGTTTAAAGTTAAAACAAATATCGTTCCTGAATTGCTTTATCTTCGTTATTCGGCAGTAATCGATTAAACAGATCTTTTCTTCAGCTCAGAAAATATATTTAAATAGTAACGGGATTTATTATTTATTGTATTAATACTCCATTAGTATTTCATTTCGCACTATTTTTGGTGATCGCAAATAAGGCAAAATTAAATCCCCGCGAATATTAACAACTATACAGTACACGATTAGTCATTGAAGTGCCATTTGATCTTGTGTTATATGCATTACTGTTAAAAATGTCAACACAATATCCGTAATTTGAGATTCAAAGTGATCCATATGAATTACTTTACACAAACATACCGAAAGTTCTGCAAATACTTTTGACAAATAAATTGAAATATAAAAGGTCTGGATAGATCCTGAATCATAGTGACTAACCTGTAATTGCGTGTTGTCGGAGAAGTAGAGACAGAGCATTGCATAGCCAACACATAGCAAACACTGTAATACGATAGTAGACATCCCGTCAAGGTTCCAAGCGTAGTACAACCCTCCTAAATACGATATCATGTTATATTAAATTGAATCATAGAGGTAAGCGAAATTAAATATGTGCTTTCCCCTTCGTACTTTTAGTGATTATTTGTCTGTCTGCATACGTTTTCCGTATTAATTCTTTACGTAAATTGAAATAATTGTTTTCAATATTAATGAAAATATTAATTTTATGAAGATAATTACACACATTTCATGATTTCTAATATTAAGGAACCTCAGCAATGTTTATACAATGTATAATGCTACCCTTTATTTGTTCATTTATGTGCACATTGCGACGATTCATGCTTGCCTAAATGTATAAAAGTGATTGTAAGCCTTTGTTTTTGTTTCACAATTATAACCAATACTATTATCCATATGTTTTAAAGCGCTTTAGAGTAATTTTACAAATTATATAGGGCGCTTTATAAATGTTGTATATTATCATATTATTATTATTACGATCTGAGGATTTCCATCTTTTCACGATTCTAGTTGTACTTAAAGACAAACTGTATACAACGATTCAAATGAAACGGCCAATCAAAATCACCTGATACAATCAAGATGATGACACTTGGGCTGATCAGCGTGGACAACAGAAGCAGGGCCTGATAGATGAGGAATGGTAGCGACACTCGGTAGTTAAACATGCTTATTTTCTTCCACTCCTGAACTAGAAGCATCAGATTAGCAATGGTTGAAGCGATCCACCTTCTCCTCTGTTTGTAAAATTCCTCAAATTCCTCAGGGCAGTGCGTCCAATTCTCTGCCGTAGCACAATACTCGATCCTCCACCCACTCTGGACCTAACAGAAAAGGGATAAATAATATCACCTTGATTACATATAAATGACAATTTGACACAACGAAGATATCTATTTTGATGGTTTTTTTTAATGTGGTTGTTCTTTTTTTCACCAACCCACCCACCCACCAACCCATTATAGATAAGCACTTTTTGTAGTGAAATGAAATAAGAATTAGGTGAAAGCCGGAAGAGACTTACAAGGAGAGTACAGAACCACCTGTCTTCTCCCATATCTTTGGTAAGGAATTCGAAGGCTTTCTCCACCTCTGAAGCGTACGTGGTCACAATATCCCTGATTGATCTGACTCTGTACACACTGAAACATCCTGGCGCACACAATACTGTTCCCAAAACATGTTCAGCTGCCTGTAGAAAACAAACAATATATTTAAAATAATGATAACATTTGAAAAAAATACTGGTCGACTGTGAAGACGAATACATGTTTTATTTATTCATTAATTTATTTAGTTATTGTCATTTTTACAGAAAGAGCAATAAGTTTGTCGATTTGAAATGGACACAAATCCTTTAGTTTCTTGATTAATATTTGTTAACTTTATATTATTTTATTTATTTTGATATTCTGTATTTTTTGTGAAAATATTGGACAATTCAATTTACAAACTGTGTATATGCTCTGTCTTTTACACCAAATCTCTTTTGAGAGAAACAGTCACCGCCTGAACATGTATGCTCTTAATGGCAGTCTTATGAAGAAATGTCTCACCTTCTGAAACCAATGTCCAATGGCGTATTCGAACTTCTGGTACCAGACTAAAGGGCCGAATCCTACGGGATGAGTGCGTGCGCATACAGCGCCAACCGTGTTGTCACATATCATCAGATCCAAAAGGGCATCGACAGAGGTAGGCGTGAAATCAACGTCGGCGTCGGTGGTCAGTATAAAAGCGTTATAGTCGTCGACTGTCAATATGAAATTAATGTTAATAACAATGGTGATATAATTGTGAGGAGATAATTATAGGTATTTACTGGAATAGCAGAATACCCACATTAAGATATTAAACTGCACAGTCACACATTCAAGTCAAAAGACAACGTACTATAGTTAACCTATTCAGTTAGACACTAACTAACTCGTAATGTATTTTGGGGGAATAAGTACAGTTTATTGTTGAAATAGAGTGATAAAGGGTAACCCGAATTTGGAATGTAATTAGTATTGTCCTCAGGGCAAAGTCCTTGAGAAGGGAAGGTGTTGTGAAACGACAATAGAACAGGACACTACTAGTAACCAGTTGCCCAAGCGTCCATCGGAGGTCCTGGGTTTAAATCCCAGCCTTGACCCACTTCCTCTTCCCACTGAATAGGATATCATGATAAGGAACCAGCTCTATTATGACATAAAGTTAAGAATCTTGATCGACATAATAACATAGAGAATGTAACTGCTTATCAAGGAGATTGGAGATATATCTATGTTTTTGTTATAGATATCTATATAAGCCGATACATAAAATGCTTATAACTGTTAATAACTACCTAGTTTGTTCTAGATAGATTAACCAGGGCCCAGCTTTTACCAACGTAAAGCCTACCGAAAAGTTCATAGAAATAGCAAATATTGAAATTGAAAACTACATTTCCATGTAAAAAGATTAACATCATAAAACAAACAACCCAAAAAACCCCACAAATTGTAGACTTTTCACTATTTTCTCAAAAACTTATTTTTTGTGTTGATGATCAATTCGATCAGGTTTTCATCAGATGGATAAGAATTTTCGACAAAGATGTAAGGATAGTCGATGTAACGTTCTTGTGAGATTGTTCTCCATTATTTACTTATGCAAGTGTTTTGAATTTTTATTCTCTGTCATGATTTTATTTCATTTGTTCTTCCATTATGTTCTTTTATTTTGTTTTTCGTCATTTTGTTTTCCATTATGTTTTTTTATTTTGTTTTTTGTTATATTTTTTTTCCATTTTTTTTTTCAAGATGTAAGTTTCTGGTGGCCGTACCTTCGTTACTTCCAGAGGAATCCAGGTTGTGTTTGACAAGGTAATCAAGCACATAAGACATATACATGATTTGACTCCATCGTTTCTTGTTCTTTACCTGATCAAATAGAAGTATAACACATATTCGATACTTGTATACCATTTTAAAATATTTTTAGACACATAACGTATTTTTATTAGCGATATCTTCTTCAAATCCTTATTGGTAGTTTAAAAGTATATACAGAATACTGAACGGACTTAGTGGTGTAATAGCTATTATCATATTTAATTTGAGAGTAACAAATTTGTCCCAAAGTCTTTTATCTTACCTTCCTGTTATCCTTTAGATGTATAGCGAACTTCATCTTGCGAGAACTAAGTAAATCAGTGTGTAAACCCGGTTCACCTGTCGTAAGTTCCCACGTAAGCTTCATACCATACGGAGTCATGAATCGGGTACAGCTTTTCACATCACAACCTAAAACAATACAGACATCAGCACAATGAAACTGATAACTGGTGATAACAACGTATTAATTTTATTCAAAAATCGGAGGGGAGTCCGCCTGCACGACAACTATATTTATGAGTGTTGGTTATTCTATGCCTTCTTATTTGGGACAATGCTAAATTAAAATCGATCTATCGTCTCACTGAAACACTCAAAATATTTGTCTTATCTAAAACATGTTCGATGGTGTTTCCTAAGGCATCTTTGATTAACCCGTTGTCGGAACAATATGACCGGGTGTGGTGTTAAGTTTCCGTGTAATGATGGCTAGGACAGTTCGGTGGGATAACACTTAAAAATAGTTCTTTGGGCCCATTAGCCGTGGACATGGTCTTCATATGACAATACCTATTGTAAAGAAGTACATATCCGATACATGGTGCAACATTATTATAAAAGATTAAATTAAAACCATAATTAATTGGATTTTTTTGAAATTGACAGGCTGATTAAATATAAAATACAAACACAACTACTGGGTCATATGAGTTTACGCTAGGAATTTGAATACAAATAGCAGAACACGATGTTACCCCTCCTTGTGTGTATCTTTCCTACCGAGTGTGTCTGGCAGTAGACTGATGAGTTGTAGAGCGAAGTCTGTCGGTGTTCTGTCTTTTACACCTCCATCAAAGAATACATGCGACTCGAAATACTTGTCAGAGTAGGTTTTCTGTATCCGGTTTATGGATTTCAGCAGTTGTTTCATCTCATTTCTTGTCTGTTAAAAATAAATAATACACTTAATCAAAGTAGTGAAAACAAATGTTTGCTAAATCCCCTGTCACACCTAGCCGCGTTGCCACTGCGATTGCACGGCGTTGTTAAATTTCCTAGTGCGCCGTGAGATCGCCGGAAAAATTGATATTTTTCATGAAGATGGCAATGTCACGGCGTTCTCACGACGACCTTGGCGTTTCTACGGAGCTCAATGGCGTTCTACCGCGTTCCTACGGAGTTCTAGTTGGCGATTGTCTGCGCTCTCATGGCGCTCTCATGGCGCTTCCACTGCTTGCAAAGAGTTGTCACGGCGCGTATAAGCGCGGTAGAGACGCAGTGTCATCTCTCAGAGAACGCCGTACGATCGCCGTGCAAGCGCAACCGATAACCATTGCGTTCGCACTGCGACCTCTGTGCGCGCCCGCGGTGATCCTGTGGCGTTGTAGGAGACCTAACTGCGCTGCTACGGCGACCTCACGACGATCCCACTGCGCTCTTATCAGAACGCCGAGCGACGGCGTTTGTTTTGGGCATGCTCAAAGTGCGCGCCTTCGTTCACTGGCGATGCCACTTCGTTGCCGCGGCGACGTTTGCGATTCCACTGCGTGCAGATCGGCGTTCTAGATTTTTCTTGGACGCCGTGGGAACGCGGCCCTAGTGTGACAGGGGTTTACATCAGAGTGTTGTTTTCTTGTATTCATTTTTTTATTATTATTTCTACGTATTTTGTTTAACTCTAATGAAGCCTTGAGCAACCGCGGTCAGAAAATATTAATCTGAGATTTATATATCGGGGTCATATGCATATTAAATATGAGTTATTTTCTTTATCTTATTTTCATACATTTTAATGAGTGTCAATTTAATCAAACATGTCTAAAATATGAGAAAGTGATGCTTGTCATAGTAATGTAGAATATGATGTTTATATTCTTAACTCTCTGTACATTTTTGTACATAGGTAGACATTTATGTTCTTACCTCCCTGTAAATTGTTGTTCATATGTGAACGTTTATACCCGTACCTCCCTGTATATTGCTGTACATATGTAGACTTTTATCCCCGTAGCTGCCTGTATATAGTTGTACATATGTAGAAATCGTATATTCTTACCTCTCTGTACATCGTTGTACATATGTAGACTTTTATCTTCTTTGCCACACATTTAGGCGCTTCCCGCTGCTCAGTCAGTCGATTACGTCTTGACAACAGAAGCCATTCCATGAGTAGAATACCGGAAAACGTTGGTAACCAGAAGATCTATCAATTGTCAAAACTTGAATATAAATGTTAATTCAAAATAAAACGTTTGTTACCAGAATATTTTCTAAGCATCAAAAGGCAATAATATTTAACAGAATGCATAGGTTGCAATAAAACCTTCAAAGTATCAAGAATATAATATCGACAATAATTGAGCAAAGATAAAGCAATCTGTACAAAGTTGTTTTTAACATGAGTACGACTAAATTATGAATTATGACCGTGCACATTTGAGCCGTCCCTTATCAAAACCTTATTTGACGGAAAAAGTGGACGAGAATAAAACAAACAAGAAAACTTATTATTATTGTGCGAGAAACTCTATGCATAACTTAATATTATTAAACACCTCATACATTTTTGTAATTCGTCTCTAGACGTTTTGTTCAGTAGAACCCAAGATAAATAATTTAACTTTATTTAACACTTTCTAAGGTAGATATGGTTTTAAAGGTGATGAACAAAAAAGGTGATAACCGTTAGTAAATAGGCACAAAAAGGGTTCCACATTTACATTAAAGATGTCAACGGACATTTTAAACTCTTACACTAAAACAATGGAGAGAGCAAAACTGACTTGGTAGACAGATGACCCGAGTAGATCGATTATTTAGCACAATGATAGGATATTCGTTAAAGAACAGTGATCTAGAGCGTAGATGAGTGGGTTGGATTCTTCAAATGAAGTAAAAGAATGCAGACACAATTTAGATTCTGAAATGTTCTGACATTATAAATAGCATTTGTGATGTACACATTGACTAAAATATATTATCTGAAACTACATGTAGTATAACCCTTATAAAACAGACTATTTAAACATCATCTATCTCATGTCCTAGACACAATTTCCTGGCCACTTTCGATGTTGTTACACATGGTTTCTATCAAATTTAAAAAGTTATAATTTGCCGTTATAGTTTGCAACATCAATAAAGGACAACGGCAACGACAAAATACAGCATGACCCTTCATAAAAAGTAAACACTATATCAGGTGCTACATGAGAGTAAGCATTGGTTTATAGATATATAACTTTGATGAAGCAAAGAGTATATCAATAGTGCACAAACCGAACACTCCTATTACCGAAACTGAGATAAACTACAATCGTGAGAGCGAAGTATAAGTTGTCCTACCTCTGCCTCAGTACACAGGACAATTGTATTTGTGGTCCAGATGATCCACCCAAGAGACAGACACAGGGCCAGAAACACGCAGACAATGGCTGGGACGTTGAACATCAGCTTCTCGTGTTGACACATGTGCAAGTTATCAGGATGGAGAAGGCTTGTTATTCTCTTGCATGCGCTTTCGACAGATAGAATTGAAAAGACGACCGGAGTCGCAAATAAAAGAGGCAAAACAAAAGCGCCTCTCTGCATGGTTATACGACAGGCAATCGACGAAACAAAATAACCTCCAAATGTACAAAGCAGGTTGGTAAATAACATTCTGGGTTCAATGTGCTCAAAATGCCAATCCAGTGAATCACGAAATGAGTCGATGGCATCCGCATTTTTGTATTTGTCACTGTCGACGAAATGCAACAGCAATGAAAATGCAACTATACAAGGCATACGACATGCTGACAAGATGATGGCGGATTTCCAGCAAGCCTGTGGTCGCTTCGTTACCAGAACATCTCCTTTATCTGTGATATCATGAAGAGCTGAATTGTGTTCGTCATCAGTTTTTGAGTTACTGTCATTTACATTTATCAACCGTTTCTGTACTAAAGGAGACCATACGATAGTTAGACAGAGGACTGCGGCAGGGATAAGCCAGATGTCTTTTAAGTTTCTCATAAAGAAAGAAAACGAACCAATAATGGATATGAACACAGATAAAACCAGGAAGAAAATTGAGACTAAACCAGCGATTTTCACAGCGCGAGGGTTGTCAGACTGCTGTCGAATCTTTATAATGTAAGCTATTGGGAAAATGAAGAACAGTGATGTCGATAACAAAAGCCCATTCACACCAAACAGTTGTAACGAAAGGATCTTGAACGCAAAGACGCATAAGCCAAATGATTCCAAAACTGATGTCAAAAAGATCTGAAAATTATAAATATAAATTATTAGAATGAGATATAAGCAAAGATAATATCTAAAATCGTTGTATATAAGGAACAGAAATTGTGTTCAGTATTAATTATCAAATACTTTCCCTTGTCATTAAGATGTTTAAAAAGTGGAGAAAAAATCGTTTCCATAATGAGGCAAATTCCCGTAAATTTATAGACTTATTCATCTAAACAAAACAGCTTGTGTGCTCGTTTTAAAGCATTATATGACATTATAATGTATAAGCAGTATCTTACCCAGTTGATCGCTCGTTTGTTTGGCCATGGCATGTCATGACGGCGCAGACCATTCCACAGCGCCCGAAGTAGGTTAAATACATTGGGAACAAAGAGAATGAGTAGAATTGTGGAAAATGCTGAACACGATTCTTTATTATCTGCCCCTGGTAGCCTTGCAGCAATCTCAATGAAAGAGAGACTGCTTCCAACGATGCATCCAAGTCCGATCAGACCAAAGATGAAAGTAACGACCCATTTAAAGATAATCACAGTCTTAGAAGGTGACAAATCGAGAACTTCTTTTTTGCTCAGCTCTCGTTCGACTTTAGACTGTTCGTCCATTGTCAGTTGAAAAGAGGAATCTTGAGATTGATTGGATACGACCGACATCCTGGGTGATTTAGACATATTTACTTGCTCCTTTGGTGAAGCGATGTTAACCATTGTAAATTCACTTGTCACGTCGTGTTGAGAAGAATTCCTCGTCAGTGCTGTCTGTTCCACCGCTATTTCTGGATTGTAATTCATCGTAAAGAGAAGTTGGTCCTCCTTAGTCATTTATCGATATCTCTTCCTTACTACAAGTAGAGTGTTTCTT